CTGCGCCGTCTACCTTCAAGGGTGTTGCAATCCGTCCTCACCTTCATGCTGGCCTCAGTGATCGCCTCCTTCATACGGTACTTGAGCCCTCCAGCGGTTAACGCAGGCCTGAGTACTGGCCTGAGCTGCACGCTCATTCCTCCCTCACAGCTCGCCCACCTTCAATTTCGCCACATCCTCACCTTCATGCTGGCCTCAGTGATCGCCTCCTTCATACGATACTTGAGCCCCCCAGCGGTTGACGCGGGGTCCTCCTCATCTCCCATAAAGAATCCCATCACCTGCAGAGCAGTCACGGGGCAGACAAGCAGGCAAGTAGGCAGGCAGGCAGGAAGAGACAGGGAGGAGAAAGGGCGCAGGGGTCAAAAACTTGAGTCACTCGTCCCTGGCGGTTGACTCGGGGTCCTCCTCATCACCCATAAAGAACCCCATCACCTGCAGAATAGGCACGGGGTTGAAAGGAGGAGACAAGAGAGACAGGGCGCACCCCCAAAAGAATGGCACATTTAAACACTGTGTGCACCGTAATGCACTGCGCTGTATAGATCTACACCGCACTGCACTGCATTGCTCTGCATTGCACAGCGCAGCACTGATCTGCATTGCACTGCACTGCGCCGCACTACATCTGCGTTTCACCGCAGTGCATCGCACTGCACTCACCGAGGTGTCCTTGGGATCCGTGCCGAAGTACTCGTGCACTGGCTGTGACTCCGAGTCCGACCCGTTGACAAACACAAACACCAGCTCGCCCTTTAACTGCTTCGCTGCTGCTCCTCTGCTCTACTCATTACACTGCACCACACTGCACTCACCGAGGTGTCCTTGGGATCCGTGCCAAAGTACTCGTGCACTGGCTGTGACTCCGAGTCCGACCCGTTGACAAACACAAACACCAGCTCGCCCTTGAACTTCCACCACACTGCACTGCACCGCACCTAAGTTGGATCTTACGTTTACGGTTCCTTACGTTTTCGTAAAATTACGACAATTTTTACGTTTACGAACGGTGGCCCTGATTCGGCCTTACGTTTACGGTCACCTCAAAACTTTTTTGAGCTGCCCAAGGGAAAAGAAATGACCAGAGTATTAGGGGGATTCATTGGGTAAACCATGAATCTGAATTCTCGATTCAGATCCAAGTTCGACAAGGGTGGTGTCAACCTAGCAGCTCGTTCGTAATCTATCGTGTTTCTCTCCTACTAACCAGGTCAACGCTGAATCTGAAACTTTCACGGACTCAAAAGGCCCTCCATACGTAGTAAAGTCGCTATTCTAGAAAAACACACGTCGGATTAGTAGTAAGGATCTAGTACACATACAAAATCCTGGAAAAAAAAGCTCTAAACTTTTTTTTCCTGCCCGCCTCATACTTACGCGTAATTTACGTTTTCGTTTACGTTTACGCGAAATTTACGTTTACGTGACCTCCAAAAACGTAAGAGCCCAACTTAGCACCGCACTGAACCACACTGTCCTTGCATTGCAGCGCACTGCACCGCACTGCACTCACCGAGGTGTCCTTGGGATCCGTGCCAAAGTACTCGTGCACTGGCTGTGACTCCGAGTCTGACCCGTTGACAAACACAAACACCAGCTCGCCCTCGAACTTCCACCACACTGCATAGCACCGCATTGCACTGCACTACACCTGAGTTTCACCGCACTGCACCGCACTGCACTCACCGAGGTGTCCTTGGGATCCGTTCCAAAGTACTCGTGCACTGGCTGTGACTCCGAGTCCGACCCGTTGACAAACACAAACACCAGCTCGCCCTTGAACTGCTTCGCTGCTGCCGCCACGGCCGGCACGACCTTGAGGTACTCCTCGTGAGGCGCGAATAGCATCACCTGAGAGAGGGGCAAGAGAGGTATGGGCGAGGAAGCAAACGAGACAGCAATCAGAGATGTCATGAGCTGCTGCCGCCACGGCTGGCACGATCCTGAGGTACTCCTCGTGTGGGGCGAACAGCATCACCTGCGACAAGAAGAGGGGGGAGAGAGGGAGTTGGGGAGGAAGCGAGTGTGAGGGAAGCAGGCAAGACAGGGACGACAGCCGGCACAGAATTGAGGTACTCCTTGTGTTTGGTGCTGCTTGTACCAAACAACACATCATACCTTCTTCTTGATATCGCCAGCGAAGATACGAGAGGACTCTTCTAAAAATGAGATGAGCAGCGGGAGCTCCTACATCATACCATATAGATCTCATCTGCCGCTCATGCAATAAATGTCGTATCCGCCACGTCATGACGTACCTGCTTCTTGATATCCCCAGCGAAGATGCTGGCAGAGGTCTCCTCAGAGAAGGTGATGAGCAGCGGCAGCTTGTTGGGTGCCGTACATGCACACAAACAGAGTGTAACTTCCGTCCCAAGGCGTACGTCAGAGTTTCTATGTTGTGTATACTACACACCGTACCTGCTTCTTGATGTCGCCAGCGAAGATGCTGGCGGAGGTCTCCTCTGAGAAGGTGATGAGCAGAGGCAGCTTGTTGGCCGTCACGAACGCGGCAATGGCCTCCTTGGTGTACTCCCCGTCTGCAGCCACACGGGCAGAAAGGGCATTCAGAGAGAGAGTGAGGGAGAGAGGGCAGGAGAAGGTGATGAGCAGCCAAAGGCGAATATTGCCACACAGAACGTACCAAAGGTGACGAATTTCTCCTCTTCCTTCTTCGCGATCGCGACTGCGGGCTCTTGTCCTTGGCCAGGCCGAACGCAGCAGCGGCGTCGGCGTCACTCACTGGTGGACACTAGCAGCTAGTCGCGATTTGGCACTAACAGCGACAACAAGGACGGAGACGCTGCTAAAACGTACGTAACAAAACGAACGTACGTACGTACGTAAGCAACAAGGACACAGCCGCTGCCAGAACGTACCAAAAGTGACGAATTTCTCCTCTTCCTTCTTAACTCTCGCGACGGCGGGCTTCTTGTCCTTGGCAACGCAGCAGCGACGTCGGCGTCAGTAGTGGGTAACTACTACTAGAAGCGACAACAAGGAGGGAGACGCGGATACGCTGCTAGGACGTACCGAAGACGACAAATTTCTCCTCTTCCTTCTTAACGATCGCGACTGCAGGCTTCTTGTCCTTGGCCAGACCGAATGCAGCAGCGACGTCGGCGTCAGTCGTCAGCACGAACTCCACGCCGTCAGTCTCCTTGGCCGCTTCGTTAAATGCAACAGCCTCTGGTGCCTGAATCCCGGTAAACATAAGCAATGGTTTGAGAAATAACAATGACTGATAGATTACACTAGAACGTTGAAAAATACTAATATTTTTCACGAAACACGAAGTTACACGCGGAAAATTCCGCAGAAAAAACGAATCGGGGTTCGAGCTTACATCGGAAGAAGCGAAAAACCCAACAGCAACCGCCGCGGAGGACTCGATGAAAGGAGCCGCTTTGGCGACGTCGGCAGCAGTGAAGGTGGCCACTCCCATGCCGATCTTCTTCTTCACCCAGGAGACGATTTCAGCGCTGGAAGGGAGAGACAGGATTGATAGTATAGAATAGAAAAAGGAGGCAAAACGTGCCTTTTTACGTCTCACGGAGGAATTTGAATCAGGGAAATTTGAAAAGGAAGAAAACACCTCATGTCTTTAGTTGATTCAGATCATTCCCTGATTTGCAATCTGCAGCTTACCTTGTCCGGCCGCCATTGAACGGCTTCGATTCTCCGTCAGAAATGAACACAATCGTAGGAAATCCCTCCACGTTGTATTTCTCGCTGAGATCCGCATACTTGGTCGCATCCACTTTCGCCAGAACCACTCCAAACTCCTTCAAAATCGCCGCTGCGCTCTTATACTCCGGAGCCAGGGACTTGCAATGGCCACACCAGGGGGCGTAGAATTCAACCAAGATATGCTTGTTATCTTTAAGAGCCTGCGGGAAAGTCGCATCCGTCAATGCGATCACGTCGCCGTCGTCGCCTTCGGGGATTTCGGAGTCGTCAGCTTCTAACGGCTCTTCGTCGTCGCCGGCCGAGTAACTCTCGTCGTCCACTACGTGAGCTCGCGAAAGGAACGAGGCTTGCTTCGCGAACGGCTGCGCGATGAGCAGCAGCGCGAGGAGGAGAAAGAACAAGCTCCTCATTATGTTCAGCTGTGAGATCCTGTAATCGCTGTTATTGCTAGCGGTCTAACACGACTACCACACAGATTGTGGTGATGGTCAAACGGCCAGAAAGCCCAACGTTAACAAAGTGTTTCAAGACCGTTAGCTATGGCCGTTACAACCTGAAATTGCTGCGGCAGGATAGCTAAACCGGCCACTGATGGCCTTCCCTTCAGGCTGTCTCTTGAAATGCTGATTGCACCTAACAGGTAGAATAGCTGCCAGGAAAGCAAGTCTGATTCTTTATTCGGATCATGGAAATCGCTTTTGTTCTCGAAGGGGAGTGGAGTGCCAAGCATAGTAACCAAGCCTGTTAGCCGATTGCGGTTCTGCTGGGTTCTTCACGATTCTACACGGCAATCGCTCGTCACCGCTTCGGAATGCAACGCACCGAAGTAGAACTTGGGAAACGGGAAGATCTCGAGGATTTGGTTTGGTGGAGCGGGAGATCCCAAGGAAGCGGCGGGAAACTGGAAATATCGGAAACTTGTTCTGATTGGGTGACGGTTGTCAGGCCCCAGAATTGTACAGAAGGGCGCCGACATTGTCATACAGTATGATCCGCTACTGATTCTCGCTTGCACAAAATTGAATTACCAGAAAATGAATTCAGAAACACATTGTAAAGTCTGGGGCAAGGGAGAAGAGTGCCAATGTAGCAGTCAGCTCCACGACTACAAAAAAAGATATGGTCAAAAGCCGGCTGTGTGCTTGGTGCCATTTGAGCACCGAAGAGATAGCTTCACACTAATATCGCAGCTGTTCAATTATACCTGGAGGGATTTTGCTCATTGATACTAGATGCCCTAACAAGTTTGGCTCGATCAGCGGCGCTCATAATAGCACCTTCCATTGAGAACTAGTCTGTCATGTAGAAATCTATGGAGGCAAATGATCCCTGAATCTTCCCAAGAACTGCCAAAAACCAAGAATAGTAGTGAGTGTAGCACACACAATAATAATGAACTCACTCCCAAATCGAAGGCAACCAATGAACTCACTCCCAAATCAAAGGCATCCACTCATTGGATACAGCAGCAAAATTACTTGGGACTTTCAAGCGCTGGGATGAAGCACTGCAATTTAGCGCACCTGGCGCATGTACGGTTGATCCAGCAGCCATCCGAGCACGGGAATCCGTTGCACAAAAACGAGAAGAGTGGGAAGAAAGCCGCTGCCAGGCGATAGAGCAAGAGGAAGCGTAAGAAGAGTAAGAGGAGGAAGCGGAAAAAAACCAGGAGGAAAAGGAAGAGGATGAGCAGGAGCAGGAGCAGGAGCAGGAGAAGAAGCAGGGGCGAGGGAGAGAGAGAGAAGCAGGACCCCCAGGATTAAGGAGAGAGAACGTCTTAGGAGGACATGATTATGAGCCACCAGAGCATATGTCACTTTTTTTTCTCGATGCATCTCAAGACAAAGTCAGGAAAATATGGCTTAAGAGTCAACTCAAAGTCACCTACGGAGCAGAAGTTAGTGGAATATGGCTTCTAGTCGAACTCCAAGGGGTTAAAGGATCACATATTCAAAGGAGGGGAGACATTCGTAACAGTAGCCCAGTGCATGTACACTTTAGGAACCTCATATGAAACAATACCAAATGCTGTCATGTCTACCTGAAGACTAGAAAGAAGCCATATGCTTGAATTGCCATCCCATTGATTATCTAGCTTCTAAGTTGACACACAATACACGCAATACACACAATAGACCTAGAAATTCATGCCTACCTGAAGAGTAGAACGAAGCCATATGCTTGGATTGCCATGCCAACGATTGTCCAGCCAATCACAACAAGGACCAACCCGGAGAGGAAAAAAGCTGAGCCCTGTTGGAGAGAAGAAAGGAGAGCACGTCAAACATCTTCGAATGAAGCTGTGTGCTTGGATTGCCATGCCAACCATAGTCCAGCCAACCAACGAGCAGGGGGGGGACATGGAAAATCAGTAATGCATAAATATGCTTGGATTGCCATGCAAACCAACGAGGGGAAATGATGTCAGGCAACATTGTCCAATGGCTGCACCGAAGAGCAGGGGCAGGAATAACGATTCTTCACGTGTGAGGTGACTTCTCAGTCAACTGATAAGATTTTAGCCTTTGAGGGAGTAGCAGGAGCAGGTAACGATTCTTTGCAAATCCTTCACATTTCAACAAGGGTCTCAGAAAAGAAAAGGAGGCCCTGCTCCTCCACATTCTGGAAGGCAAAAAACCGGTCATGAAACAACAGACGGGCGCTAGGACTATAATGACAAACAATCCGTTTCGATCCCAAATGGGGCAATGCATGTGCAAAGACCAGGAGGGGTAAATGGAGGGAGTTCGGAAGGCCCACAATCTTACCTTTCTGTTTCTCCGCCTGGTGAAAAAGGAGATGGTGGATTGCAGGCCTATCGTGAGCGTCACACCCGCAAGAAACAAGATCTGCCACAAGCAGTCAGGAAGGATTGAGGCTATTACTGGTCCAGCCATTCTCTTTTGGTTCCCTTCACGATTGAAGCTATGCGTGATGCAATGTAGCGAAGGAAAAAAAACAAAACAAAAGTGACCGGTCTGCGAGATTGTTTGTATGGAATCCAGAGGGGAGAGAAGACAAGCTGCATTCACATTCCTAGCTGGATAATCGCATCCCCCGAGCCACACCCACATTCCCATGGCAAATAGTCCTTGGTCAGAGCAGACCATAAACTCAGAGATCGTAGTCACATCAGCCAGAAGAGTTATCACATTTTCTATCAGTCGATGGCATATCCCATGCCGCACTCACATTCTCCATTTATCAAAGAACGAAATGACGCCGAGGTCGTACTCACATTATCAGAAATATCATCACATTCTCCGCAATAAAATTGCACTTCCCATGCCGTACTCACATTTCCCATGGCTAGTAGCCCTTTATCAAAGAAGAAGACGACTCCGAGGAACGAGAAGAGCACGCCAAACGCAGTCAGCCCAATGCCGATGTCTGCACCCTCCCCTCAATCCCCCCCAAAAAGGGTTTCCCATGCCGTACTCACATTTCCCATGGCTAGCAGCCCTTTATCAAAGAAGAAAATGACTCCGAGAAACGAGAAGAGCACGCCAAACGCAGTCAACCCAATGCCGATCTCTGCAAGACGCGCAATTAGTAAATTCGAAACACACCGAAGAGTCCGTGAGACCAGAACAGTCCAGAAAGCCAAGCGCAGCGCAAATCACACCGTCCTATGCGACAAGCGAACTCGGGATCGACGGGTAACCACCAAGTCGCGCAGATCCTAGTGTAAGCGACAAACGTACTCTTCATATCGGTCATCTCGAGCGAAGCCATTGTGTCGAAAGGCTAATCTGATAATTGCTGGGTCCAGTCAAATTATGTCGCAGAATCGAATCAGAAGATTCGTCCCTCAAACTTGATCCCCTATCGCTCTATAACGAACTGACAATCAGCCGGTAACGGTTCCAGCCAGCCAATCCAAGCACTAGGAAATATTGGATTCTTCCCCGAAAGCAGCTTCGCCGATCCCCAGCGTGAGCATGCAACGGAAGAACAGCGACCGAGCTACGTAACCCTAATCATCGACTACGACCCATCGGTATCTTGAGAGTATAAGGGATCATAAACACGCGTTCTCGGTCCACGCGCGTTGTCTCCTAGCTGCTTGGCTACAAGGCAAAACGCGATGTCAAGAGGAATTGAGAATAGATCGAGTGAGCAAGACGCAATGCTAAAGGAACCAGCTGGAAGCAGAGATCGTGTCGAGTGAAAATAATCGGAACAGGTAAATACTTCGGATCATACTATCCGCTCATTGGCTCCGTGATCTGTTCTGCTCTGCTCTCTCTCGAGAAACCGAAGGTGTTGGGAAACTGGTACTCAGCGGTATTTCCTAGGTTAGGACCAGCTGAAAAGCCTTATGCCAAAAGTCTTGCCACCAAAGCGTATTTCTCTTGACGAAATCGTTGCAGTGCAATCACTTAGCAAAGAGACCACAAAAGCGCGTCATTCTCCGCGCCTGACAAAGAGTGTGAACGTACCAGTTGCGAAACTCGCCACTCGTTATGGCGGGAGGACTGAAAGTGCTGTCACACTGTGACAGGATGCTTAGAGCGTAAAGCGAATAACTACATTATTGAGAAAGCTTGCTTTCTGTTCTTGCAAGGCAACGTGCTTCATTTCAATGGGTTATTACAACATTCTCGTCCAACGATCAATGACACATGATAGTACCGATGGGGGGGCGGGTGGGAAGTGGAACGGAAGTTCCGAAACGAAGACGTGGGTGGAGGCCAAATGGCCTCCAACCCTCGTTATGTACTCGGAGTGAAGTTCAGCAGTTGCCTTGCTGCGTTATAGGCAGCTGCGCGTTCACAATATATATTTTTGGAAAGTGTATACACTTTCAAAAAATTTCATATTGAGAAAGCTTGCTTTCTGTTTCTTGCAAGGCAACGTGCTTCATTTCAATGGGTCTTCTGAGACATGTGCGAGTGGAGAGGCGAACGTGGGTTGTGTTGGTCGCGTCGATGTTGACGTCGAAGAATGAAAGTTGTTGGTCGTAGCGCCGTGTCGCTGAAGTGAAAGTTGCTTTTTCTTGGACGTCGGTGTGGTGGATGCATGTGGTTGAAGTTAGTTGCTTGTGTTGGCAGTTGAAGCAGAGTAGCTCGTCGTATAGGATTGTCCACGTGTCGAGTGCAGTGATACACTATCGGTGTGATGCAATAATAGGTGGTGCAGCAGGTGGGTGCTGTGCGTGTCAAACTGTAATGGTGCTTGTGCGGTGTAGGCTGTAGATGGGTAGCCCATATAGGGTACAACCCAGTTTAGGGTTAGCACTTGTACCCACGTGTCTGCTCAATGCAATAATTTTTGTTCGTTAGTTTCTGAAAGGGCATTCCCCGCTACGGATACTAAAGCTCTGGCTACCTTAAGTTTGCAGTGTTCTCAAATGGCGGCAAGATTTCCCGCGTGTCAGGCACCACGGCCAAGCTGCAATCTCCACAAATGTCATTGGTGCTCAAATTGTAGGTCTGTCCTCACCCATTATCTTCCTTACACCTCTTCATAGTAGAACCATGCATTTTAGTGAGACCATATTTTCCAATGTGGCTCCTACGACATGTATTTTTAGCGAGAATCATATTTTTCCAATGCGGCATAGATCAAGAGGAGTTTGTACTTGTTGCACTAGTGTCTTAGGATGTTGGGTTGCCAAAAGCAGATACGGTACATATACGGTAGTTGCATGTCATACTTTATACCGTAGGTGTCTTACGGTAACAAGTCCCCCAAGAAAGGTGCCTACACTATTTGTGACCATCCGGAATTTGTTTGGGACACAACATTTTTTTTTTTAAGATATTGTCGTAACAACCAAGGGCGACATGAAACCACATAGAGTAAATGCCTGCAATGAGCATCATCCATGCTCTGTGTAATGGCCCTTTGCCAACTGCAATCCTCTTTCCCCCCTAAGGGAACACCCTATGGTCAGCACGGGACCCCTGGTCCCCTTCCCCCCATAGGGAACGGCCCTATGGCCAGCACGGGACCCTCGGTCCCCTGCCCCCCATGGGGAACGGCCCTATGGCCAGCAAGGGACCCTCGGTCCCCTCCCCCCCGTGGGGAACGGCCCTATGGCCAGCACGGGACCCTCGGTCCCCTTCCCCCCGTGGGGAACGGCCCTATGGCCAGCACGGGACCCTCGGTCCCCTTCCCCCCGTGGGGAACGGCCCTATGGCCAGCACGGGACCCTCGGTCCCCTTCCCCCCGTGGGGAACGGCCCTATGGCCCGCACGGGACCCTCGGTCCCCTTCCCCCCGTGGGGAACGGCCCTATGGCCAGCACGGGACCCTCGGTCCCCTTCCCCCCATGGGGAACGGCCCTATGGCCAGCACGGGACCCTCGGTCCCCTTCCCCCCATGGGGAACGGCCCTATGGCCAGCACGGGACCCCCGGTCCCCTTCCCCCCATGGGGACGGTCGTGGAGATGCAACGATTGACGATGTGGCCATCATTGCCCGCATTGTCACGAGTGATGCCCTCGTGCCGCGTCGGCTTCCTCGCATTCCATTTACTGCGACCAAGAAAATAAACAAGCCGAAGAAACATGAGTTTATGTGTTAAAAAACGGACAACACATACCGGTAGAAGATTACTCAAGAGGTGTGTGTGCCTTGGCAGTTTTGTATATGGTACGCGTCACTACAATTGACGCCCGTCATGTCTGGCGATTACGTCGCTCGTGAAGCTTGTGGCGATTTAGTTGGAAGGCGCCGCCAATTACGACGATCTCGACACCAGGCGCGCCATCGGCGAGCTCGTCGCGAGGCGCGAATGTTGCAATTTCGTCGCTAGGGGCGCGCCTTTGGCGATTTCGTAGCCAGGTGCGCCCGTGGCGATTTCGTCTCCAGGCGCGCCAGTGGCGATTTCGTCGCCAGGCGCGTTACTCGCCAATCGCGCCAGCGGCGATCTCGTCCCAGACGCACCAGTGGCACGTTCGCCACTTGCTCTGGGCCCCACTGAGCCCTGTATCGCGCCCCAGAAGTGAAGTCGCGGACGCGACCCCCTTGCCTTTGATGGCGCTGGAACTTCGTTTTAGGAGCTCGATCTAAGAGAGAGGGAGAGCAATAAAATAAAATAAAATAAAATAAAAGCATATGTGTATAACATCACCACTCCGAGCCTCTTAATTTTCTGGAGGTAAGCTGTGGAAACTAGTAGGCATGACTGAGGTGAGAACGGGAAAACTAGAACACGACCAGGTAGTTGGTAGTTGGACGAGAATGAAGTGGAACGGAAGTTCCGAAACGAAGACGTGGGTGGAGGCCAAATGGCCTCCAACCCTCGTTATGTACTCGGAATGAAGTTCAGCAGTTGCCTTGCTGCGTTATAGGCAGCTGCGCGTTCACAATATATATTTTTGGAAAGTGTATACACTTTCAGAAAATTCCATGTGTGAACACAACATACAATAAATATGGATATGTCAGCTCCTAGTCTCTAGGGTTGCAGATATAAAAATACATCATACGATGTGTTTGCATCCCCAATAAAATAAGTTATCTAATGTTGTTAATTCAAAAAATACATTGATGTGAACATTCATTTATTGTCTCGTGACAAAGCTGACTAACTATCAAATGGTATCTTGTGGCTCTAACCCAAACCTTTTCCGTAACAGTTACTAAACGCACTTCGGCTTATTTCGCCAATTATCCAGTCTCACCCAACGGAACATTTTGGACCGACAATGATTTTCTCATTGGTTGGCGCCATCGCCCACATGCCCGTAGATTGCGCTTGAGCCATTTTTGTAGCAGATCTGTGGCGATCCGCAGCCTCACTCAATTCTTTGTGCCCAACGTGCTCGCCTCGACGCGACCCCGATGTTCCCGCTTGCCGACCCTGCGAACCGCGATGGCGCCAAATTTTGCAGGCGAAAATTCGCCAGTCCGCGAGACCCGCTCGGCAAATTCTTTGGGCCTTCTCTCGCAACGCAACTCCAGCTGCCGCAGGAACCAAACCCGAATTCCGACCATTCTTCATCCATACAAATTAGGAGCTGTCAACCCTCAATCTCACCATTCATCACCCGTCGTTTCTCGCTCTTACTTCCAAAGCACACAGCTTGACAGCTCTTGTGCCGCTCCAGCTCGTTTTCTTCCCTCGCCTGGTCCGTTCGGATTCATCCAGAGCTCCAGACAAATTCGCAAGAGAAGTCCGGCGGTGTCAATCGGTGAATCCTTCGTTCCGTAACCATGGCCGTTTCTCGATCCACTCTGCTGCTGGTTGCTCTTGTGGGCTTGGCTGTTGTCTGCTCGGCTCAAACACCTGCGCCCAAAACAACAACTTCACCCAAGACCGCCGTGGGAGCACCATCTCCGCCCGCCGGGAAGGCGCCGCAGACGCCGTTCGACGAGGCGATCCAGAAGCTCAACAAATCGGGTTACACCAGCTTCGTCTCGCTCGTCAACGCATACGGTACGAACCGCCAAGCACCTCGAATAGCCGAGAGTCACGAACTTCTTGGCTCAGTCTCCGACTTTCACACGTTCAGGTTATTTGTTCCAAGGCGTACCACTGTGTCCCGATATTCTTCCCACTGATCCATTTTCTCGCTCACTCTCTCGAAGCCTTCCGCTCTGGCCGCAAAACCCGGTCAACCTCTCATCCATCGGCCCTCCTTCCCACTCGCTCTTCCCCTCTCCCCTCTCCCCTATCCAACAGGCAAGCTGAAGCAGGTCAAGGCGGCTCTCTCCAAGCCTCTCACCATGCTGGTGCCTTCAAACGACGCCATCGCCAAAATCAAGATCACCAGCTACAAGACAACCGAGCTGGCGGTGATCGTCGGATTCTCCGCCTTCAAGAAGGTGATTCCCTCCGATGCGCTCAAGAGCCTTCCCGTGGGCAGCAACATCACGACTCTCGCGGTCACCAAGTCGGGCAAGCCAATGACGCTGCAGAAGCTGGCGAACAACAAGAAGGGGCAGGTGGTGCTGCAGGGGAAGAAGGGTAGCGTCGTGACCCTCACCAAGCTCAACTTCTACGTCAAGCCGTCCGTACTCGTCGTGCACACCACGGATGCTGTCGTCTTCCCCGACACGCTCAAGGGCGACGTTATGTAGACGGCAAAGCAGCATTGGCGCAGCAGCGGCGCAGCATTGGCGCAGTCACAGGGAACTTCAATAAGTGAGGCATGCGAATCGGTAACGACTTAGTTGCTCATTCAGGGTTAGCTGCTAGGATAGGACTACGGATAGAAGAATGTGTCCTGTCCATGTGAATTTTATACGAATCGAGATTTGTGCAAATAAAAAAAAAAACAGCGAGGAATAATTGAGGGGGGAATCTGCACCGACCAACATATAATCTTCCGAGGCTTGAGATTGGTTCAATATGATTTAGACTTCAAAAATTTGAGAATTATTATTGACCTCACCAGGCTCACAACAAGTCTAACCGGAATGAGCGCAATCCTCCCTCATGTCCCGTCGAACCTCCCTCTGGTGCCGTTGCCCTAGCTATCTCCCTTCCCCCTCGCGATCTTCTCGTGTTTCTTATCATAATAAAACTATCAAGAGTCGTATGTGAAGCATGATTTTCCAGTGGTACTACTGACAAATTTAATCATCATGTAGTCAGAGTATAGCAAAAATAGATAGCAAGCGTTACAATTCCACTCGCTCCGGCCTCTCGTGATCAACTAGTAAATCTGCATCTTCGCCATCCGCCGAATCCGCTGGTTTGCCCCCAGCGAGCTATCGATTATTAGCGCCAACGCATGAGCAAAAGCTTGAAACTCGCAGCATGTGCACCCTGTCTATCGCGTCACTTCATTCCAGCGGGAAACACAATCGCATCCGTCGTGTGCACGGCCAGCTTCCCAACTTTTAGGTAAAAGTCGCCCTTGGTAATCATCAGCTTGCTCCCAGGCTTTCCCTGGATCGCCACCCAGCGCGCCTTAGGCGGGGAGAGCTTCGTGAGCATCAGCGTCTTCTGTGACTTGACGTCTGTTGCGAGCGTCGCGAGCGTCGCGTTCTTCGCGAGGCTTCGCAGCTTCTGGAAGGGAACGGCGCCTTTGATGGCGTTGAACATGACGAGCGTGGAGAGCTGCGCTGTAGAGTAACTCGTTATCTTGACTTTGGCAATGGCGGCGTTGCTCGGGACGAGCATGGTGAGTGGCTTGGACAGAGCCGCCTTGACCTGCTTCATCTTGCCTGGAAGGAAGGCACGGAAGGGAATGGAACAGGTTAGGGGAAATCAAACCAGTTAGAAATGGGCGAAAGTCGTTGCGCAGCGCAAAATGCGGGGAAACCCGAACGGAGAAATGCAGTTGAGGAGAAAAAGGCGAAAGCGAAAGTGGGGGTGAGAGGGGCCAACCATAAGCGTTGACGAGGGAGACGAAGCTGGTGTAACCCGAACTGTTCAGTTTCTGAATGGCTTCGTCAAACGGCGAGAGGGGCATGGGCGACAGAGCAGAGGCGAAAATCGCACATCCAGCGAGAACGACGAGGGTCAGAGCCGTACGAGAGATGGGGATCGCCATGGCGTGCAATGCTCTCGCTCAGTCGCTGAGGGCTGGGTAATTCGTCGCAGAAGAGTATGATGAGTTGAACTTGCGATGAATGAGCCAAGCACTTACGGCGCTTTTATGCTTACTGAGGAAGAATTTGACTCCCCAGCTCTGCTGCGACGCTTGCGACAAAGTGGCCGACACATTCCGAGCGTTACAGCACCGCCCTTGCGGCCTGCGCCGACGATGTGCTCGGTGAACGACGTCGTTCAAATACTTTGTCCTGCTCCAAACAGGGGGAGGCGGCGCTCTAACGACCAATTTTGAAGTCGTCCGTCGCAGATGGTTTCGTCGCAGGTGCGACAGAGTGCAGTTACCAAGTACTCGATATAAACAAAGGTAGGAAGCGGATATCTATATTGTAAGACCATGCTGCACTATGCATGCTATTGTTCAAATATACCATGACAAAACCAAAAACCCTTCATTTTCCCTGGTTTTCCACATCGCGACAATCGACATTACTTTGTCTGGTTTACTGAGACCCAGATTGTTTCTCTCGATTTTTTGGCAGATCTCGCGTTTCGAACACCAAAAAATCGGTGTGGCACATTAGCTACTGTGCGAGTACTCACAGTAGTAGCTACTCTCTCCAAGTCGGCAATAGCCTAGATCCGAGCCTGCATTCCGGTGCCCCGCTCTCTCCCCACTTCTCCTTCCAACTCCATTTCCCCCTTTCTTTCCCCCGGATACCCCCTTGCGGGCGAGTGTTCTCTCCCGCCGTCCCGCGGATATCCGTGCGCCAGTATGTCTGCGTTAGGCCTTTCCGCCGCTGCCCCCGCCTCCGCGCGCCTGAGCGTCTCCGCGGAACCCGCGCACTTGCGCCTGCGGGGGGCACGCGCCAATCCATCCGCATGGAAGATCACGCCCCTATCCTCGCTGGCGTCATCCCGATCAACGACAGCGCAGCGACGCGCAGGCCTCGCGATCCGCGCTTCTGCTGCCGCGGGAGCGGACGGCGCGGCGGGAGATGCGGCGGGAAGTGCGGCGCAGGGCGGGATGACGTACAAGGACGCGGGCGTGGATATCGATGCGGGTGCTGAGCTGGTGAGGCGCATCGCCAAGATGACGCCTGGCATTGGCGGATTTGGCGGGCTGTACCCGTTTGGTGAGATCCGATATTTGATAGAGCACTCACATTGTGGTCCTCGCGAATTTTCTCCTGAATTTGTTGTGTGCTGTTGTTGTTTTATTCCGGTTATTTCAATCACATCGTGTTTCGTTAGAAGTAAATCTTGGTTTTTTTACTGTTTCAGGGGACCACTATCTTGTAGCGGGTACGGACGGGGTGGGCACGAAGCTGAAGCTGGCCTTTGCAATGGACAAGCACGACACAATCGGCATCGACCTGGTGAGTGACTGCCGCTGACTAACGTTGACTGGCGTTGACTGACTCCAATGACTCCCGTTGACTGGCGTTCGCAATGGACAAGCACGACACCATCGGTATTGACCTGGTGGTACTGCCGTTGACTCCCGTTGACTGACTCCAATGACTCCTGTTGACTGTCGTTCGCAATGGACAGCATCGGCATCGACCTGGTGAGGCTGGCATTGACTGGCATTGACTGGCATTGACTCCCGTTAACTGGCGTTGACCGCCATGACGTGGCAATGAGGTCAATGACATCAGCGCGTCCGGCCCCCGTCCCCTCTTCTTCCACTGCTCCGCTTGCCGCTCCTCAATCACCTCCCACACACCCCACCCCACCCCACCCCACCCCACCCCACCCCACCCCACCCCACCCCACCCCACCCCGTCACACCCCACCTCACCCCACCCCGCCAGGTGACGATGAGCGTCAACGAAATGATAGCCTCAGGGGCTCGCCCCCTCTTCTTCCTCTGCTCCGTGTGCCGCTCCCCAAATACCACTCCACGCACCCCACCCCACCCCACCCCACCCCACCCCACCCCAGCTCATCCCACCACACCCCACCAGGTAGCGATGAGCGTCAGGGGCTCGCCCTCTCTTCTTCCTCTGCTCGCACTCATCGCAGTCTTACCCCTGCCATCCCATCCCACCCCACCCCACCCCACCCCACCGCACCCCACCGCACCCCACCGCACCCCACCAGGTGGCAATGAGTGTCAACGACATCATCACATCCGGTGCTAAACCCCTCTTCTTCCTCGATTACTTTGCTTCCAGCAAGCTGGAAGTGGATCAGGCAGAACAAGTGAGTGGTGTTGCGCGGTGCAGAGCGTTTACTTTCTAGTGCTGTGCGGTGCTGATGGTTGCTGAGGCGTGGGCTCACCCGCGCTTCTTCCTCGATTACTTTGCTTCCAGCAAGCTGGAGGTGGACCAGGCAGAACAAGTGAGATGCAGAGTGGTTCCCTGTGGTACTGTGCGGTGCTGTGCGGTGCTGAAGGGTGTACAGGTATTGTAGCACTCTCGCCCGCTCTTCTTCCTCAACTACTTTGCCTCCAGCAAGCTGGAGGTGGACCAGGCAGAGCAGGTGAGATGAAGGGATGCTGTGCGGTGCTGTGGGGTATTGTGTGGTACTGAGCGTCTAGTTTTGAGGGGTTGTCGCAGGCGTCAGCTAGCCACGTTACTAGTTCCCAGGCGTCAGCAGGGGTGGTACATCCTCGACTACTTTCCAGCAAGCTGGAGGTGGACCAGGCCGAGCAGGTGAGATTCAGAGTGGTGCTGTGCGGTGCTGTGTGGTATTGACTGGTGTAGTGGGCTAGCCACGCTACGCTCTACTTCCTCAACTACTTTCCAGCAAGCTGGAGGTGGACCAGGCCGAGCAGGTGCGTGGGATGCAGAACGGTACTGTGTGGTCATCAAGGGCATCGTGGACGGGTGCAAGCAGTCCGGCTGCGTGCTGCTGCTGCTGATGCGCTTGTGTTGGAATGCGATTCCCACGCCCATGTGGTGACCTTCCTCCTCTCTCCCCCGTCTCACCATCAGGTCATCAAGGGGATAGCGGACGGGTGCAAGCAGTCCGACTGTGTGCTGCTTGTGTGGGTATGCAGTGCAGTACACATGTGCTCACCTCCCTCCCCTGTTTGCCGCAACCACCACCCCCATCGCCCCATTAGGTCATCAAGGGCATTGTGGACGGGTGCAAGCAGTCCGACTGTGTGCTGCTGCCCCTGTGCTGCTGCTGGCCTTGTGCTATGTTGGTATGCAGTTCACACGTGGTAACATCTCTCCTCTCCTTGCTACCCCCATCTCCCCATCAGGTCATCAAGGGCATCGTGGACGGGTGCAAGCAGTCCGACTGTGTGCTGCTGCTGCTCCTGATGGTGATGTTCTTGTGCTTTGTTTGCAACACCCATTTGGTAACCTCCCTCCTTTCCACCCCACCATTTCCCTTTCCACCACCCCCATTTCGCCCCCCCATCAGGTCATCAAGGGTATTGTGGATGGATGCAAGCAATCCGACTGCGTGCTGCTGGGAGGGGAGGTGCGTGAGAGATGGAGAAGAGGGGGAAAAGGGGACAGAAGTGAGGAAGTGGGGAGGGAGGACCGGTCATGGATGTGTGTGTGAGGGATTGGGGTTGGATGGGTGCAAGCAATCCGACTGTTTGCTGCTGGGAGGGGAGGTGCGTGGGAGACAAGGGGAGGAGGGGCGGCAAAGTTGGGGATAAGGGGTGAGGGAAGGGTTGGGCGGGGGGAATGGGGGAGGGGGGAGTGGTTAAAGCTAGGTGTAAGTTTGGCAATGGTGTGTGTCGGGGGTTAGTGTTGGCTGGGTGTAAGTAGTAGTGGGTTTGGGAGTGTGCGCTGCTGGGAGGGAAGGTGCATGGGAGATGCAGAACAGAAGAGGGAAGAAAGGGGATGTGGGATGGGAACATGCTGAGTGGTTTACCCTAGACTTGTAAGTATTGGGTGGGTGTGTAAGACGGCTGAAATGCCAGGTTTCTATGCTGACAAGGAGTATGATCTGAGCTTGTTCGCAGTGGGGGCGGTGAAGATTCACTGAATCTTCCTTTGTTCCCCCTCTCCTCTCCCCCATGTTTTTTCCACCAATCAGACGGCGGAAATGCCCGGGTTCTATGCCGACAAGGAGTACGATCTGAGCGGGTTCGCGGTGGGGGCGGTGAAGAAAGCTGAGCTTATCGACGGGTCGAGGATAAAGAAAGGCGACAAAATCATTGGTTTGCCGTCTTCTGGCCTGCACTCTAACGGGTTCTCCCTCGCACGCAGGTGAGGGTAGCGAGCAGCAGCAGAGAAAGTGCCCTGGTTGTGTGGGTGTATGGTTGTGGCACAGCAGAGCTTGTAGACCGATCCGGTATAAAGAGGCGATAAGATCATCGGTTTGCCATCTTCGAGACTTCACTCCAATGGCTTCTCCCTCGCACGCAGGTGAGTCAAAGGTTGTTGTGATTGGATCAAGCATAGGGAAAGTATAAGGAAGGGCTTTAAGATCATCGGTCTGCGCTCCTCGGGACTACACTCTAACGGGTTCTCCCTCGCACGCAGGTGCGCATGTGGTTGTTGTGGTCGTGGCAGGAAGGTGGGGCGAAGGTTGGGTTGTGTGGTTGTGCAGAGTACTGTCCTCGGGACTACACTCCAACTGCTTCTCCCTCGCACGCAGGTGGGCATGTGGTTGTGTGGGTTCTATGCTGACGGGGAAGTGTGACCTTAGTGGGTTTGCAGTGTGGGTGGTCCAGAAAGCAGAGCTTATAGACGGATCCGGTATAAGGAAGGTATAGACGGATCGGATCATCGGTTTGCCGTTCTCGCATGTGCACGCAGGTATTGTGGTTGTGGACAAAACTTCAAGACGTGTCTAATATCTCAGGGACTTCTCGAATTGTCCTAGTCTCAAAATTTCGGGACCATGTCCCTCCCTCCTTCCCTCTGTCTCATCACGGTCTCCCAATTCCCTCTCCTCGCCTCGCTCCTTCCCTCCCCTCCCTCCTTCCCCCTCCTCCTGTCCCCCTTCCCCCTTCCAGAGTGGTGGACGCCAGTGGCGCTTCCCTCTCAGACCCCCTCCCAGGCGCCCCTGCGGGTGTGACTATAGGGGGCGCGCTGCTAGAGCCCACTGTGATATACGTGCGGCAGGTGCTGGAGATTATAAAGGGGGGCGGCGTGCATGGGATTGCACATATTACTGGAGGAGGCTTCACTGAGAACATTCCCAGAATTTTCCCTGAGGGGTTGGCTGCGAAGGCGGATATGACTGCGTGGGAGGAGCCGCCAATTTTCAAGTGGCTCAGAAAGGTAAGCTGTTCTGTTCGGTCTTGTGCATAATGTCTTGTGGGTTTCTAATGTTCATTTTGCATTACGAGTGATTTTTGTGTTCCTTCTGCGGCAGTTGTAAGGAATTATGTTGTTTGTCTTCTTTTCTCAATTGCCTGCTAATTTAGGGTGTTTTTGCCTCTTCTTTCTCCCCTTGGCTCATTCTCTGCAGGCTGGCAATATCGCTGAAGATGAGATGCGCCGTGTTTTCAACCTTGGAATTGGCATGGTGCTTATAGTGGATACGGATGCTTCAAAGCGCATTCTAGAAAGCAACCCATCAGCCGTGCTTGTAGGCGAAGTGGTGGAGGGTGAGGGTGTTTTCTTCTCCTAACATTACCTTGAAAACCATTTTAGAATTTGAGTTGACTTTCGTTTCTGAACATATCCGCTCTGCTTGATTTGAGCTCCTTCATAAGATTCATGGTCTCTGACAATATCGAGGATGACCTAACGGTCTGACAATTCGAGATTCCCGCGCAAACGCGATCTGCGTCCGTCCCGGCTTCGGCTGAATTTGTTTCCTTTCGTGAAGGGAAGCGAAAGTCCATGCCTTGCTTCCATTCCAATCCAAGTTCCAACCGCATGCACGCTTCAGCCTGGTATAGCTTCCTATCATATTCTGACGCTTCAGGGCTTGCGTAGTGTAATGTTGTCCCTGAGAACTGTACCTTAATCTCTGAGCTTCCAATTGTGTCCTGACGCCGTAATGGTGGCGTCAGTTGTTGGCTGAAGGATGCGCTTCGTTTGATCTTCCAGTTCCCGTATCATATCAGAGTAGTATCTTAGAGTACGTCGTGAAGGTGTTGCTCTACCCATGTGGGACCTGTTCGAGTAGCGGATGTGAGCATAATCCATCACTTCGCAACGCCTAGAATGTTGTGTGTAGGAGGGTCCTGCGCGATAATAGTTGCAGATAAGTTATGTTGCCGTCCCGTTGCTGATAGTTTGTTGTAGCTAACTGAACTTCTGACAACGTACATTGAAGCTAAGCAGAGTCAAACGAATGTATAAGTAGCTGCTAGCTAGGAGCATTTTAGGAGCTTCTTCAGCTGGCTTAGCGCGGCCGCCAATGCGTCTTAGACCACGCGAGACGGCACCTACATTCGTGCTTAAGAGATTACATTCGTCCTCGTTACATTTGCCTTTTCGAATTTCGTTAACTACTTTCGCTCTGCTACTGTAGTTCCTCCCATGCGGTCCAAGGGTGGTAGGCGGCATAGCCGGTGAGTTGAGATTCGTCACGGTGCACTAATCCATTTATCGTCAGTCATTATCTAATCTGCGATTTTCGCTAATACTTTATTGCCGTTGATTTACTGCGGTCCAAAACGTACCAAATGTACGTCCTATGAAAATATGCTTTCACATAGACTAGAAAATGGACGCACCTGTTACACACGCCATCGATGTACCATGCTTAGGAGACATGCACACGTAAACGCACGTCATTATGTTGCATCATAATACGTTAACATTGTTAAGCTCATCATTCTGTGCATTCGTCATCCTGGTTTTCGCAGGCACTTCGCGGACAGGCGGTCGTTCTTCGCCTCATACTGCACCCTCGAACGCGTGCTGCTGCTCGTGCTGCTCGTCGCTTTTGCCTTCAATATCATCCCAAGGTCAGAATGTTTTGGGTTCAACTCTGCTCGTTTTAATTCCTTGTTCTTCCTGGTATCTTTCGAGTCAACTCAGAAATCACCAATCAGCTCTACTCGTCTTGCTCGGCGCCTCTGCCTTCAACAACATCTCAAGGTCAAATCTAACTCCTGACGTTTTCAAAAGCGCGTACGCAACGTTCCATAACATTCCATTATGTTCCTTTCAACGTCATTTCCTTTCCACTCCATGCCATGCCATCCAATTTCTTTACGTTTTCCGCCATTCCTTTCCTCTACACCATGCAATGCCATTCCTTTCCACTTACGGCTGTACCATCTCATACTATGCTGTGCCTTTCCTTTCCACCCATACCGTGCCATATTAATCCATGCCATGTCTTGTTGCCGCACCAGACCCAACTTCAGGCGAGGTCTTGAAGATAAAGACACCTTCCCTGGCCTTCGGACCTCCTCCTCAGAATCGGGCGGGAAAGCCAAGGCCGAGCCTGAGGAAGAGGATCGGGTGTATGACTGGGTGAATGGCGAGTTCAAGTCGCGATCAGGCTCGGCAGAGGATGAGAGTGAGGGGTACTGGGAAGAGGAGGGTGATGAAGGAGAGGAGCTGAGTAGGATAGGAGAGAAATGGGTCGACGTGGCAAGGAGACGCAGAGAGAAGGGAGGAGGCGGGGAGCTACGGGGATGGGGAGAAGGAGAGCACGAAGTGGATTCGGAAGGGGGGGGTTATATGGGGAAGAAAAGGGGGAATAAAGGGAGAGGGAGGGGGAAGAAGAAGCGGCGACTGCCAAACGAGAAGCTGAGAAAGCAGCATGAGGAGGAGCAGCGGCACAGAGTGAGAGGAGAGGGGACAGGAGGAGGGGGGGGAGAGGGGGAGGGGGGTGAATACGCTGAAGGGATAAGCAGTGGTGGTAGTTATCACGGCCCTGGGGGGGAGGTCTGGGGGGCGGATGATTATGGGGGGAAGTGGGGGTTCGGTTGGGGGGGAGAGGAGGTGGGTTTGGAGAGTTTGAGGGAGGAGGATTTGCAGGGTGAGAGTGAGGAGGAGAGGGAGGAGAGGAGGGTGTTGGAGGAGGATGGGCTGCCGCCTCTGCAGGAGGGGAGTGGGGGAGTGTGGAATGAGAAGGAGAGACGGCTGTGGGAACAGGTGAGGGGATGCGGCTGAGGTGGGTTGATAAGCTGAAAGAATTGATTTGATGTGGCTGGGAAAGGAATAACGTGAAGTTGTCTGACTGGCTAGTGATGGAATGAACAAAGTGATAGACTTTTGTTGTCTCCTGAAGCCCTTCTTCCCTCCCTCACAAACCTTTCCTCCCAGCCTCCGTCCCTTGGGTTGAAGTCATGCCTGTGCCACTCCCCCACCTTCCACTCATGTTGTCCCTTTTCCCCGCTCTCCTCCCGTTTCCCCACCCCACTCTCTCCCGCTCCCCCCTCCAACCGCCTCCCTCCCTGACGCACCCTCCCTCCCAGCCTCCTTCCCTGGGTCTGAAACCGTGCCTACGCCACTCCCCCACCTACCGGAACCACTCCATAGAGGCTTTGAACCGAGGGCGATACCTGATGGCCGTGGTGACAGGAGGACTCAACCAGATGCGGCTGCAGATAGGGAACGCGGTGGTCATTGCTCGCATTCTCAGGGCCGTGCTGGTGGTGCCGGTGCTGCAGGAAAACAACATCTGGCACGATAGGAGGTAAAATGGGGGGGGGGCAGGGGAGTCTGAGGGCTGTGCGTATGGTGCTGGTGGGCAAGAGAAGGGAAGGGAGGGAGGCGGGTGGGGAGAAGGGTATGAAGGGATGAGAAGTACCCAAACAGAGAGCGCTTGAATGTGAGTTCCATTTTCTCTTGGCCTCGCTCTTATTGTGTGTTATGCAACAAGACTTTTGCGGTAACCACCCCTTGCTTCCCTGTAACCCTGAACCCTTATTCTCATATGTGCAGTGAGTTTTCCGAGATATTTGACGTGCCTCACTTCCAGCGGGTGTTACGGAACGAGGTGAGGGTGGTAACCACCCTGCCGCCCCACTACTTGCGAGCCGCACCTGACGAGAAGCTTCCTCCCACGGGCTCCACACCGGAATGGATAATTTCGCACCTCCTTCCACCTGTAGGTGCCACTACTCCCACCACACTACTTGTGTTTTGCACATTTTTAATGTTAGTCGCGTTCTGAGTGTTACACACTTGGAATGATAAGCACACTCTGAGATTGTAAGTGTGTTGTGTTGTTACACACACACAATGTGGGATCTTCTCACCCTTCTAGTCCCATCAGCTTCCCTGCCACTCCATCCCTGTTGCACCCATTTTTACTTGCCTCCAATAGTCTTCAAAACAATATTTATTTACTTATCCTACCCCGTTACACCCACCAGCTTCGCCGGCAGCACGTACTCCTTATAAGAGGCCTCGACCAGGCCATAACGCCCGACCTCCCTCGGGAACTCCAGAAGCTGCGCTGCAAGGTCGAATTTCATGCGCTGCGGTTCATCCCACCAATCCTAGCCCTTGGTCAGAAGCTCGTATCACGGATGGCTGCATCTGGACCGTTCATCGCATTACATCTACGGCTCGAGCCAGATGTCTGGATCCGGACCGGATGCTACCCGAGGCTCGGGCCGGAGCTAGATGCAGCGGTGGATCGGGAGAGGGTGGGCCGGCCCGACCTGCTGACGGGGCGGCTGAATTTGACTGCAGAGGAGAGATTCGCCGCTGGGTTGTGCCCTTTGACTGCTGACGTGATTGTGCGGTGAGTTGCGGTGTGGTGCGGTTGTAGAGGGGTGTGGTGAGTTGCGGAGTGCTGTGGTGTGGTACTTCTCCCTTGCCTCTCTTCTTCACTCCTTCACCTCCCCCAATCTAACTTAACCCTACCTTCTCCTCCCCACCCCCCTGTTCGCTCACGCGCTTCCCTCTTCACTTCACTCCTCCCCTCTCCCATCCCACACCAGTCTCCTCAAGTCGTTCGGAGCGACCAATCGCACGCGGGTGTTCTGGGCGGGGGCGGAGCCAATGGGAGGCGCACAGCTGGCGCTGGCGCCGCTCTGGATGTCCTTCTCTGCGGTGCGCAGCAAGGAGAGCCTGGCGCTGCCGGGGGAGCTGGAGGTGTTTTCACGGCAGGCCAACGTGCTTGCCGCTTTGGACTTTATTATCTGTGCCAGCAGCAACGTGTTCATGCCATCACATGGCGGGAACATGGCGCATGTCATTCAGGTATGGTGCGAGCCTAATGATCGTGAAGGGTATGTGCTTTGGGGCATGCGCTTGTGGACTTGTGTGCGAGCAGCAATGTGTTCATGCTGTTATATGGAGGGAACATGGCACTCGGAATTCAGGTACAGTGATGAGACTTTCATCTACTGTACTTTTGTTATGGGGCATGTGGGGTATGCGGGGGACTGTTGCACGCATTTCATTTGCTTGCGATTGCAATCTTATTACCTCTCTTCGCTCCCCCCAGGCACCATGTATTGACCACATGACTGCCTTGAAATCAAGTTTGATGCTCGTGCTGCCCCCTTCTTTGCAATTTCTTTCAGGGGCATCGTGCCTATTTTGGGCACAGAAAGACAATAATGCCCAATAAACGGAAGATTGTCAAGTTATTGTTGGATGAGCAATCAGGGGCTGTGAATGGACGACGATTGACAGAAGAGGAATTTGAGAAAGCAATGGTGGAGATGCATCATGACTCGATCGGAGAACCACAGTTGCGCACTCATAAAAAGGGCAAGGATGCCATTATGTACCCAGTGCCTGATTGCATGTGTAAACGGAACTCGCTGTAGAAGGATTCGTGTCGTTCATTAGGAATTTTCATTCAGTAATAGGTTTACGCTACATTGTGCACAACCCTGACTTTTGGAACCACTGGCCTGTATAGTGTATAGTGTGCCTAATTTAGGCCACGTCTGTTTATTCCACTTGCATTGACATTTCTTCTCTATATCGTGTTTCCCGTGATCTTATTACTGATAATTCATTAGGTAAAAGTGTAGGTATTTGCCTGCCACTGTCGAGTCGTCAGTAACAAGAATCTGCGGCGCCTGCGATGAAACCATTTGCGCCTGACGACTTCAAAACTGTCGTCTGAATGTCGCCTCCCCCTGGTTCGAGCAGCGTACAGTGTTTGAACGACGTCGTTCACACAGCACAGTGTCGGCTCAGGGCGGTGCTGTAACGCTCGAATTGTGTCGGCTACATTGTCGCAAGCGTCGCAGCTGATTGGAACGACGGTTGTCAAATTCTTCCTCTCACGACAAGCATATAAGCGTCGCAAGCACGACCATCATTCATCGCCAACTCCAGTTCAACTCCCAACAGCTGCTCTCTGCGACGAAATCATCCACATCCTTCAGCCACCAAACAAAGGCTTTCTGCGCCATGGCGATTCCTATCTCTCGCTCAACCCTGTTCTTTGTCGTTCTCGCTGGATGCGCAATATTCGCCTCTGCTCTGTCGCCCATGCCTCTCTCGCCGTTTGACGAAGCCGTTCAGAAGCTGAACAATTCGGGTTACACCAGCTTCGTCTCCCTCGTCAACGCTTATGGTACGCCCCTCTCGCCTCCATTTTTGCGTTCACCTTTTTCTCCTCAACTGCATTTCCCTGCTCACTCTGGTTTTCCTTCTTCACAATTTAGTTTCCCCGCATTCTGCGCTGCGCAACTAATTTCGCGCATTTCTCTCTGAGTTATTCAAATCCCTAACCTGTTCCGTTCCCCCCACCTTCCTTCCCCATCGCAGGCAAGATGAAGCAGGTCAAGGCGGCTCTTTCGAAGCCCCTCACCATGCTCGTCCCCAGCAACGCTGCGATCGCCAAGGTCAAAATAACGAGTTACTCTACAGCGCAGCTCTCCACGCTCGTCATGTTCAACGCCATCAAAGGCGTCGTTCCCTTCCAGAAGCTGCGAAGCCTCGCGAAGAATGCGACGCTCGCGACTCTCGCTACGGACGCCAAGTCCCAGAAGACACTGATGCTCACGAAGCTCTCCCCGCCCAAGGCGCACTGGGTTGCGATTCAGGGCAAGCCCGGGAGCAAGTTGATGATCACTAAGGGCGACTTTTACCTAAAAGTCGGAAAGCTGGCTGTGCACACGACGGACGCGATAGTGTTCCCCGCTGGACTGAAGTGACGTGTTAATGAAGAAAGCAGGTCATAAATCAGTGGCATGTGCAGCCCTACTCGGAGGCGTTTCCTAGGTCTCCTAGCTTCAAGCGTTGGCGTGAATAATGGTGTTGAGTCATCTTTTGGAAGAGGAAGGAACGGGTACGTTCACTTCACTAGAACTAAAATGTACGGCGCTGGTTGATGGAAGTTTGCTTTAGAAAGAGTTTTTATGAATTATAGCATCTTTCACATTTGCTGTACTTTCGTTTCTCTTTGCCAGACCAACTAAATGAGGAAACGAGGCTTGCACTATCTATGCTCCGCGAGGTTCGGAATGCTGGTCAGGCTGACACGAAGCGAAAGCCCGGAGCAAGACTAGAGGCTGGAATAAACAGTGCTGTACGCGAGGCTCGAGTGTCGCGAAGTAAGAATACGATCAGACCTTTATATGTGAGCTGTATATTCGATATTGTTAGCTTCGAAAATAGCTCTTGGTCATGTCCCCTTTTACACCACCTCGTCGTCACTTGTGGTCTGTCCTGCGTCGCATGCGAACTCCTCGTGGTCGTTCCACACGGCGTCGTTGAACGCATTTACGTCGCACAGCCTGTCAGTTTTCGCAGAGTCAGGAATGAGCCGCTCGCGGCTTTTCCGCACTGAAAAACGGTAGACCCTGTTTACCGTAGTTGCCGGATACCCTAAGACGTAACCAGACACGCCTTTCCTGCTGCGAATCCGGTCCTATCCAGTACGCGAGTCCACATTGGCGACTCTGTCCGAGAGGTTGACTCTGTCGCGCAAGTCGCCATGCGACTTGTGAAGCCGTCGTGGGTGTCGCACGGCGGGCAGGCGATTTTCGCCATTCACGTGCACCCAGACGGGACAAGATTCGCCACTGGCGGAGGAGACCACAAGGTGAGCGAGTGGGTAGGCACATTAGGGTTACAAGGTGTTACATGAGGTGGGGGGGGGGGGGGGGGGGGAGCGGGAGGAGAAGAGGGGGGGGAAGAGGATGGTGGGGGGAAAGGCTACAGGGAAGGGGAGGGTTACACAAGGGCGCCCATCTTTTCTCACACTCTCTGCCTTGCTGCCAACTCAAGCTGCCTGAAAGCTGCTTTCACATCTCCCCGCTCTCCCCCCCCACCTCCCCCCCTTCCCCTTCGCCCCCCCCCACCCTCCCACCCACATCTCCCCTTATTCCAGGCCGTCGGAGCCTTCCTCCCTTGCTCTCCTATAAAATTGAGTCCAATGCTGCACTGCCTTCCTCCTTTGCCTTGCTTACCCCACCTCCCCTTGTTGATACCCTCTTGCTTACTCGCCCCACTTCCTTCCCCCTCTTCCAGGCCGTCATCTGGAGCCTCCCTCCGTTGCTCTCCCCTGATGCTGAGTCCGATGCTGCTCTGCCTTCCCACTTCCCATCCCTCCCTCTCTCATTACCCCTTTTCTCATCCCTCGCTCCCTCACAGGCCGTCATCTGGAGCCTTCCTCCGCTGCTCTCCCCTGATGCAGAGTCAGATGCATCTCTGCCTTCCCGCCTCGCCACTCTCTGCGACCATTTCGGGGCGGTCAGCTCTATCAGGTGGGTCAGGAGGTAGTGTCAGGTGGGTCAGGAGGCAGTATCAGGTGGTTTCAACAGAGACTCAGGTGGGTTAGAGGTCTGACGGGTTGGTTTCAGCAAAGTCGCTGATGGGTTAAGAGTGCAGGGAATGAATCCCTGGTGGGATAGGGAAAAGGTGAGGAAGGTTGATCAGACAGTGCATGTGTACAGCACGAGGGATGTGCGGGGGAGATGGAGCGGTGAGCGTTGTTTGCATTGCATGTGTTGTGTATCATTCCCACCTTGCTTGCGTCCTCCATGCCTTTCCTTCTCACAGGTGGTCCCATAATGGCTTGCATCTGGCAACAGCGGCGGACGATCAGACAGTGCATGTGTACGGCAGGAGGGAGGGGCGGGGGAGCGTGGTGTTTGGGGAGATGGAAGGGAGGGGAGAGCACTAAGGTTTCAACCCCCTCCTTTCCTGTCCCTCCCTTTCAGATGGTCCCATAACGGTTTACACTTAGCAACAGCAGCGGACGATCAGACAGTGCATGTGTACGGCAGGAGGGAGGGGCGGGGGAGCGTTGTGTTTGGGGAGATGGACGCCCCTAATGTGGAGAACTGGACACTTATGCACTCTTTGAGAGGGCACACAGGAGAAGTGGTGCGTTCCTTCCTTTGTTAGCCCTGCTGCTGCCCTTGCAAGTGCCATCCATTTGTAAGGCAGAGAGGGGAGCGTGGTGTTTGGGGAGATGGACGCCCCCAACGTGGAGAACTGGACGCTCATGCACTCGCTGCGAGGCCACACAGGGGAAGTGGTGAGTCTCTTCCTTTGTTAGCCCTGCTGCTGCCTTCCAAGTGCCCAGCCAGCCATGTGTGAGGCAGAGGGGGGAGCGTGGTGTTTGGGGGGATGGACGCCCCTAATGTGGAGAACTGGACGCTCATGCACTCGCTGCGAGGCCACACAGGGGAAGTGGTGAGTCCGTTTGCTAGCCTTGTTGCCCTTCCAAGTGCCAATCTCACCATGTAAGGCAGAGAGGGGAGCGTGGTGTTCGGTGAGATGGACGCTCCCAACGTGGAGAACTGGACACTCATGCATTCGCTGCGAGGTCACACGGGGGAAGTGGTGAGACCTGCCTTGACAGCACCGTGCGCATCTGGTGTGGTCCTGCTGCCTGAACAAAACAGGCACTCGTTCAAGTGACTTGAAAGGAAGTAAACTGTCACTCGTCCCTCCTGCCACTCCATCTCCAGGTCGATGTGGACTGGTCACCTGACGACTCACTAATCGCCACCTGCAGCCTCGACAGCACAGTGCGGATCTGGCAGCCAATGACGGGCCGACAGGTGGCGGTGCTGACGGGGCACAGCAGCTTCGTGAAGGGCGTCGCGTGGGACCCCATTGGCCGGTTCCTCGGCAGTCAATCAGACGACAAGAGCGTGATCGTGTGGCGGGTGAATGATTGGTCGGTTGCAAAGCGAGTGGAGGGACCTTTCCCAAAATCTGTGAGTCATGGAAGGGGAGGGCCAGCTGTTTCAAGCAAGTCGTGTGTGAGTCAGTCAGACAGTGGTGAGTGTGGCGGGTCAACAATTGGTCAGTGGCGAAACGCGTGGAGGGGCCATATCCCATGTCAGTAATTCATTCATGGGTGGACTGCTCTTGGGATAGAAGCATTTGTAGGATGAGCAGGGGAAGGGAAAGGGGTAGGTAGCCAATCAGACGAGTCAACGATTGGTCTGATCGTGTGGCGAGTGAACGATTGGTTGTGAAGCGAGTGGAGGAGCCCTATCCCAAGTCCGTGAGTCATGGGAGGGAGGGTGGGCTGATTCGAGATAGACGCAATACTGAATCGATATTCGAGCCGAGCTGAGACTTGGAGACTGGGAATATTACATGGGCAAAGTGACGAGCCGAGTTATACTCGGCTCGTCAGAGGGCATGCTCGCCGAGCATTTGTCTCGAGCCGAGCAATGCTCTGGCGAGCATTTTCGTACTTTTGCCAGACTCTAGACTCGTTGATTTAGGGTATGCTCGGGCGAGTATGTGAGAATACTCGCCCGAGCACTGAAATACTCGACTCGCCCCTATGTACCTGCACATGTTGCCCTTCTAATACAAAGGACATGGAAAAAACCAATCCGCCAGGCGTGCCCATGGATTTTTTGGGCCATGGTGTAGCACGGGAAGTCTAGGGAAGCAATAGAAAGCCCAGGGATACCGCGAGGAGGCCTGGTGATAATCCAGCTCGTGGTGGACCCGGGTATCCTATTAACGCCCAACGACACCCCCTGCATATCACTCTTTTCATGCACTCCAAGCTAGCACCAATACCATCTAAACATCGCTGTGCATGTGATAATTTAACTAGGGGCCAGGTCTAGCGCCCTGGTGAGCGTGCGCTTGGTGAGAAACAACATGCAGTTTAGCAACAACCAAATCGCTATAAATATGACCCGCCCCGTCGCCTTACCCTTCCCCTTACGCTTACCGCGACCAGCTGACACAAGCCTGTTTTTGGACGCCAATTCTTTATCGCGAGCGGGAGGCATTGTAGAATATACTAATGTTGTGACAAGCGCGTACGTGAGAAACGACACAATAAACTAGTACAGCTTAACAGTAGTACAAAACCCCACGGAACCAAGCGCGACCTATTTTAAGAGGCCAATGGCGATGCTAACATGGCGCGGGCTAAGCTTAGGGAGTTGCGTGGGTAGGGTGACGACTAGGCAGTGATTAATTGAGCCGTTGAATGTGACAGGAAACATCCATCAGCTGACGGTTTGATTGTGCAAATGTTGTCGAACCTGTAGGCAAAATGGTTGGGATCATTTGCCGGGTTCAGATCTGGGGTCAAAATTTCCCGCCAAATTTGACCCCCGGGAAAATTCTACGCGACGAGTATTACATGCTCGACGAGCATAAAAAAACTCGTCGAGCATAAAACGAGCACGCAAATGCTCGTCTTAGCGAGCGAGCATTACTCGGCTCGACTCGGCCGAGTAATTTTGCAAAAAAATCATGCTCGTTACTCGGCCCCCAACGAGCATTTCGAACGAGTAGAGCAAAAACCCTACACTCGTTGCCCTGGGAGGCACATTCTTCGGCCGCTCCTCCTTCTCCCCCCTGCGCCTCCTGCCTTACTACCCTCTCCATGCCTACTCAACAACCCATCCATTTCTCTGCCCATTCCCTCCTGCGTCCTCGCCCCTTTTTCCTCGCCCCTTTTTCCTCCCTTTTCCTCCTCTCTTTCCCCCCCTGTGCCTCCTACATCACTACACTCCACCATGCCTTCTCATCAACCCAGCTATTCGTCCTCCTCCCATTCCCTCTGCTTCGGCACGTCTCCTCTCCACCCCCCCCTCTCACCCCCATCTAGTGGGAGATACTTTTTTCCGCTGCCTGTCCTTCTCCCCATGCGCCTCCTACATCACTCCACTCCACCATGCCTTCTCATCAACTCATCTATTCGTCCTCCTCCCATTCCCTTCTGCTTCCACACCTCTCCACCCCCCCTCTCTGCCCCATCAGGTCGGAGCGACTTTCTTTCGCCGCCTCTCCTTCTCCCCCTGCGGCTCCTACCTCACTACAGTCCACGCCTTTGCCGACCCAAACCACACTGCGGCGATCCTAGATCGCACGCTCGGGTGGGCCAAGACTCTGGACTACGTCGGGCATACCGGACCTGTCACCGTGGCTCGGTACAGCCCCGTGCTTTACCGAACCTCGCTGGAGGGTGGGAAGCCTGGGAAGGGTGGTTCGGAGGGTGAGGGGAGGAGGATAGGTGTTGCTAAAAGGGAAGGAGAGGAGGATGAGGGGGGAGAGAGGGAGGAGGAGGGAAAGGCAGAGGAGGAGGGGAAGGTAGAGAAGAGGGGGGAGGTAGACAAGGGGAAGGCAGAAACTGGGGGAGGGGCAGGTGACGTTGGTGCTGCTGGTGGCACTGATGCTGCTGGTGCAGCTAATACGTCTGATGCAGGGGCTGCTGGTGGTTATACTGCTGCAACTGGTGCTGCTGGTGTTGGTACTGCTGCTGCTGCTCCTGCTGCAGCTGATGCTGCTTCTGGTGGCGCTGCCGCTGCTGCCACCGCCGCTGCTGCTGCTGCTGCTGCTGATGGTGGTGGCACTGCCGCTGTATCTACTGCTGCTGATGGTGGTGGTGCTTCTGATGGTGCTGCTGCTGCTACTCCTGTTGCCACTGCTTCCGCTGCTACTGATGGTTCTGCTGCTTTGAACGACAATGATATTGGTAAACGAGGGCTTGCAGCAGTTTCAGCACTCTATGGCGCTGCTGATGGTGCTGATGGTGCTAAGTCTGCTACTGCTGCTGCTACTCCTGCTGCCACTGCTCCCGCTGGCACTGATGGTTCTGCCGCTTTGAACGACAATGATATTGGCAAACGCGGGCTTGCAGCAGTGTCAGCGCTCTATCTGGTCACAGAAAAGGCATCTGAGCCGACTCAGAAGGAATTGACTTCTGAGGCGACTCAGAAGGAATTGACTTCTGAGGCGACTCAGATCAAAGAGCAGACTTTCGAGTCGACTCATAACGACAATGCTTGTGGCAAGCGAAGGCTTGCAGCAGTTTCGGCTCTCTATCTGGTCACAGAGAAGGGGAAAGCGGGGGGAGGAGAGGGTATGGGAGGGGGAGGAAAGGACGGGAGTGGATTGTCGGGCTGGAAAGGCGAGGAGGGGAGGGAAGCTGGTGTGTGGAAGAAGGGAGAGGAGGAGAGCGAGAGGGAGAGAGTGTGGGAGCAGGAGGTGCGGGAGAGGGAGAGGGAGAAGGAGCGAGTGAGGGTGGAGGAGGAGAGGAGGAGGGAGAGGGAGAGGGAGAGAGTGAGGGAGGAGGCGGTGGGGATGATGAGGAGTGGGCCGTATGGGTGGATAGCACTGGGCGGCATGGATCGGAAGGTTACGCTGTGGCCCACGTACCGCCCTTCACCGCTCTTCACCGCGAAGAATCTCTTCAAACAGCCTGTCTTGGACATTGCATGGTATGTTGTGGTGTGGTATGGTGCAGTGCGGTGTGGTGTGGTACGGTGAGGGATAGCATGGTGTGGTCAGGTACAGTGTGGTGTGGTGTGATATGGTAATGTATAGTGTGGTAGAATACGGGCCATATGGAGTGGGCCATGAGGAGTGGGCCGTATGGGTGGATAGCACTGGGCGGCATGGGCGCCCTTCACCGCTCTTCACCGCGAAGAACCTCTTCAAGAATACGGGCGGTGGGGATGATGAGGAGTGGGCCGTATGGGTGGATAGCACTGGGCGGCATGGATCGAAGGTTACTCTGTGGCCCACGTACCGGCCGTCACCGCTCTTCACCGCGAAGAATCTCTTCAAACAGCCTGTGCTGGACATTGCATGGTATAATGTGGTATGGTATGGTATGGTATGGTATGGTATGGTATGGTATGGTATGGTATGGTATGGTATGGTATGGTATGGTATGGTATGGTATGGTATGGTATGGTATGGTATGGTATAGTAAGGTATGATATGGTATGGTATGGTGCAGTGCAGTGAATGTGGTGTGGTATGGTTTGGAATGGTATGGTGTGGTGTGGTATAGTGTGGTGTGGTGTGGTGTGGTGTGATGTGGTGAGGTATAGCATGGTAGGGTGCGGTTCGGTATGGTCTGGTATGGTATGCACATGCTCTGTTGCTCTCTTCTTCTCCCTCCCTCCTCACCTTCTCCTGCTCACGTTCCCCCTCCTCCCCACATGCTACCTTTCCCCATGCAGGTCCCCATGCGGCATGCACATGCTTTGCTGCTCTTTAACTCCCTTTCACTTCTCTTCTCCTTCATCATCCCTCATTTCGGCTCGTTTGCTCTGTTCTCCGCCTCTTCAGTTCCCCATGCGGCATGCACATGCTCTGCTGCTCGGCCGACGGCACTGTAGCAGCCTTCCTCGTCAAATTTCCCTTCTTACTCATCTATCTCTTTATTCTCCTCCTCTCTTCCTTGCTTCTTCAGGTCCCCATGCGGCATGCACATGCTCTGCTGCTCTGCTCTGGCGTGAGCCTTCAGAGAGCAATCACCCCTTCATCTACCCCACCCCCCCCCTCTGCGCCCCTTCCTCTTACCCCTCCAACAGGTCCCCATGCGGCATGCACATGCTCTGCTGCTCTGCTCTGGCGTGAGCCTTCAGAGAGCAATCACCCCTTCATCTACCCCACCCCCCCCCTCTGCGCCCCTTCCTCTTACCCCTCCAACAGGTCCCCATGCGGCATGCACATGCTCTGCTGCTCTGCCGACGGCACTGTAGCAGTCTTCCTCTTCGACCAATCAGAGCTCGGCATCCCTCTGACGCGCCGAGAGATGGACGGCCGGATCGCCAGCCTGTACGGCCACCGCCACGTGGCGGCCTCCCATTCGCTCGTGGAGGACCCGGAACTGCTGGCACTCCAGCAGCAGTTGGAAAAAGAAGAGGCTGCTGCTGCTGCTTCTGCCGCCGCTGCTGCTGTTGCTGCTGCTGCTGCCACAACTGCTGCAGCCGCCACTGCCACAACTGCTGCAGCTGCTGCAGCGTTTGGGAATCCTAGTGTCAGAGCGGGTGGGTCAGCCGTTGGTGCTGCTGCTGCTGTAGAGATGAGTTCTGAGAGTGTGAAAAGGCAGCAGGTGGTGGTGCGGAGGAAGGATGGGCGGAAAAGAATCACTCCTGTTGCTATCACTTCTATTGTGGCTGAACCTCCTCCTGTAGTGCCAGATGTAGCTCCCTCTGCTGTGAGAGAAGCAGCAGCACCATCAGTGGGAGAAGCAGCAGTAGCAGCACCATCAGCAGCAGGAGCACCAGTGACAGAAGCAGCGGCTGCAGCAGCAACAGCAGCTGCAGCAGAAGCAGTGACAGTACCAGCAGTGACAGCAGCACCAGCGACAGCAGCAGCAGCGACAGCAGCACCAGTGACAGCAGCAGCAGCAGCAGCAGCGGCAGTGGTATCAGCAGGGGCAGGCGCAGCAGCAGTACCAGCAAAAGCACTGGTGGAAGCAACGTCACCAGCAACAAGAGCAGCAGCAGCAGCACCAACAGTGGCAGCTGCGTTACCACCAGCACCAGCAGCACCAGCAGCACCGGCAGCACCAGCACCAGCCAGAGCAGCAACAGGAGCAGTACCAGTGACACCAGCAGCTGTAGCAAGGACGGACTCTAGGCTACAGCAGCAGCAACAGGGTGGTAATCAGCAGATTGGTAACCAGCAAGAGAGGGAGAACAAGAGGCAAAAGCTGGGGGAGAGGCTTGGTGCAGGAGGAGTAGATGGGGGAGGGTTTAACCACGTGGGTTGGAGGCTTGGAGATGGGGTAGGCTCGGGGAGAAATTACTTGGATAGGCCTGGGGTGGCAGGAAGGGAGGAGGAAGCTGCTGGGTTAGCCAGAAAGGGTCGTACCTCAGGATTGGTGGTAAGGGTGGAAGGGAGGGGTGCGTATGGGTTAGGCGGTGGTTCAGAAGGGTGGGAGGCTGGTGGGGAAGGAGAGGGAGCAGGAAGGAGAAAGGGAGGGGGAGAGGGAGAGGGGGCAGGAGAAGGGAATGTGGGGAGGGTGGTGTATGGGAGTGTGATTGCCGATGCGATGGCCTTGCAGAGAGCTGCTTCTGCTGGTGCTGGCGGTGCTGCTGCTGCTGGTGCTGGCGGGCGGCTTTGCAATGGTGGCAGCAGGGTGGTGCTGGAAGCAAGAATGCAAGCAGACACAGGTGAGGGGGTGGTGGATGGGAGAAGGGAAGGTGGGGAGGGTGGTGTATGGGAGAAGGGGAGGGTGGTGTATGGGAGAAGGGGAGGGTGGTGTATGGGAGTGTGGCTGTGGATGACGTGGCCTTGCAAAGGGCTGGTGGTGCTGCTGCTGGCCTGCTGCTCTGTTCTCTCAATGGCCACGTGGTGTTGGGGGGGCCACTCCATTCCCCCGTCACTGCCGTTGCCAGCTGCCCACCCACCACTGCCTCTCTTCTCCCTTGCTCTCTCTCCCCACCTTCTCCCCCACCTCTCCCAATCCAGATACCTCTCCCTCTGACCTCCTCTGCTCACTAAACGGTCATGTGCTGTGGCGGGACCGCCTACCTTCCCCCGTCACTGCCATTGCTGGTTGCCAAACCCACCCTCTCCCTGCCTTCTCGCCCCCTTTTTTGCGCACCTTCTCCCCCATCCCCCCACCAACCAGTCACCTCTCCCTCTGACCTCCTCTGTTCCCTCAACGGCCATGTGTTGTGGCGGCATCGACTCCCTTCCCCCGTCACTGCCGTTGCTGGCTGTCTCCCAAACCCTCTCCCTGCCACTCCCAACCATCTCTCCCACTCTCTCCCACCCACACCAGACACTTCCATATCTGACCTCCTCTGCTCCCTCAACGGCCATGTGCTGTGGCGGGACCGACTCCCTTCCCCCGTCACTGCCACTGCGAGCTGTCCCACCCTCTTCCTGCCCTTTTGTCCACCTCCTCGTTTTTTGCCCACCTCCTCGTTTTTTTCCCACCTTCTCCCCCATCTCCCCCACCAGATGCATCGCCCTCTGACCTCCACTGTTCCCTCAACGGTCATGTGTTGTGGCGAGGCCGACTCCCTTCCTTATTCACTGCCATGGTCGTTTGTCCGGTGCCCACCTCAACCTCCCTGCCTCTGCCCCTCCCGTCTCTCCCCCTTCTTTCCCCAACCAGACACTTCCCCGTCTGACCTCCTTTGTTCGCTCAACGGGCAAGTGCTGTGGCGGGACCGGCTCCCTTCCCCCGTCACTGCCATTGCGGGCTGTGACCCCTCTGTTTCCTCCCATCATCCCTCAACACTCTCACCCTCACCCGGATCCTCTCTCTGGGCCGTGGCCTGTGCCAACCACTCGCTCCTGGTGAGTCTTCCTCTCCCTCTTCTTCTCCCCTGCGTCTTTCCCCCATCACTGCCATTGCTGCCTCTCTCCTTCCATTCCCCCACTGCTCCCTCTTCCCATCCCTCCACTCCACCCTCTCATCCTCGCCTGGAACCTCCCTTTGGGCCGTGGCCTGTGCCAATGCCAACCACTCGCTCCTGGTGAGGCATCGTTCTTCTTCCCTCTTTCTCTCACACTCCGCACCCTCACATTACGATTCTCACTCCCTCACTCCAATTTTTACCTGCTGTTGGCTGTCGCCTCCTTTCCGAAATTCTTCACGTACCTTCCTACCGTTCCTCACCCCTTACTACCGTTCACCCTTCCGTACCGTTTCCCACCCCTCCCTATTGTTCCTCACCCCTTCCTACCGTTACTCACCCCTTACCACCGTTCCCAACACAGATATTGTCCTCTGCCGGCCGTCGCCTGCTTCCCGAAATCCTCCTTGATTCCCCCGCCGTCCTTCTCTCCTGGTCCACTGCTGAACCTCCACTCCAACCACCGTTCCTCACCCCTTGCTACTGCGCTTCACCCTGTCTTACCATTCCTCACCCCTCCCCACCGTTCCGTTCCCAACACAGATCCTTTCTTCTGCCGGCCGTCGCCTGCTTCCCGAAATCCTTCTCGATTCTCCCGCCGTCCTTCTCTCCTGGTCCGCTGCCGAACCTGAACTTCCATCTCGGTTCGGCGCCGAACCTCCACCTTGGTCCGGCACCGGGCCTCCATCTTGGTCCGGCGCCGAGCCTAAGAACCAGGCCTGGTTCGGAGTTTCCAGACACCAGCGGCTCGTGTTTAAGACTCCCCTGGAACAGCTATGGGATCGGCAAGGGGAGAGGGGGAGTGGGATGTGGGGAGGACGAGGGGAGGGGGGAAATGGGGTGGGGAGAGGTCGAGGGGAGAGGGGGAGTGGGGAGCAGGGAGGGCGAGGGGAAGGGGGGATGGTGGGGCCGATGCTGCTGGTGGTGACAAGGGGAGGGGGAGTGCGCGTGTGGGATATGGGGAGGCTGCAACTGCTAGTGGATGGTGATATGGGCGCACTGGGCTGTGAGGCAAGAGGAGGTGAGATAGAGGGGAAGGTGGGATGGGAGCTTGCCCTTTGCTTGCAGTAAGGGGTAGAAACAGCTGCTACAGCGGGAAAGGGGAGTGCAGTGCGCGTGTGGGATATGGGGAGGCTGCAACTGCTAGTGGATGGTGATATGGGCGCACTGGGCTGTGAGGCGACACAAGGTAAGATACAACAGGAGTTGATTGACAGGATTGCTCTTAACACAGTGGGCGGGAGAGTGCGCGTGTGGGATATGGGGCGGCTGCAACTGCTGGTGGATGGCGATGTGGGCACACTGGGGTCAGAGGCAACGCAAGGTGAGGAAGGAGGGCAGAAGTGGGCACTGGTCGAACCTTTGCTTGCATTAAGTGGTAGAACCGGTTACCATGGCGGGAGGGGGAGTGCGCGTGTGGGATATGGGGTGGCACGTGTGGGATATGGGGTGGCGCGTGTGGGATATGGGGTGGCTGCAGCTTCTAGTGGATTCTCACATGGGCGGCGCACCGGAGGCAACCGGAGGTGAGAAAGTAGGCTGTGGTAACTCTTCTCTTGAGAAAGTCTTTTCTCCTCCACCCCTCTCTGCATGCCTGGATGCCTCTCTCTCTCCCTTCCCCACCCCTCATTTCACCCCAACCCCGTGGCGCCCCCACCCCTTCTTGCCCCCTCCAGGCACACTCCGCATGGCATCTGCACGTCTGGATGCCTCTCTCTTCCTTCCCCACCCCTCTACATCCTGCCTCGTTCGCCCGTTTGATCATATCCCCTCCCTCCTTCTGTTCCCCCCATCCATCCCCACAATCCCACCAGGCACACTACAAATAGCATCAGCGCGCCTCCTCCCCCCGTGCACCCCTGTGGTAACCCTATTATCTGGACGATCCTTCCTCCTCCACCCCTCCCTGCACGCCTGGATGCCTCTCTCTCGCCCCCACCCTTCTTCGCGCCTTTCCTCCAATTGGAGGCCGCCACCTGGCACGTTTCAAGCTGGGGGGTTCCGAGATTCCAGCAGGGACGGTGCTGCTGGTGTTGCTGGTGGTGCTTTGACTTTCCTTTCAAGGTTAGTAGTCTGTTGCTGGTGCTTCTGATGGTGGTACTGGTGCGGCTCATGGTGCTGCTGGTGCTGCTGGTGTGACGTCCTCTGTTCTTTCAATTCCCTTGTTTTCTTTCTAGGCAATTCTCCCATTCCACACGCCTTGCTTCATCCATCACCTTATTTTCTGCTTCCCACCAGTTTACCCTTCACCCAACCTTCCCCTCCTCTGCATTAGCCATTCCTCTGTCTCCCACTCATCCCCTTATCTCTCACCTCTCCCGTCCCTCTCTTTCATTACCTCAAGCAGGCAAGCACCTGGGGAGGAGGTTTTTGAGAATTCTCAAAAACCAGTTTGAGAATTCTCAAAAACCAGTTTGAGAATTCTCAAAAAACAGTTTGAGAATTCTCAAAAACCCGCTCATCCCCTTCTCTCTCACCTCTCCCGTCCCTCTCTTTCATTACCTCAAGCAGGCAAACGCATGGGGAGGAGGCACACGCCACAAGAGCCCACCTGGAAAACGCCCTGGCGGCCTGCCGTCTGTTGAAATCACCTGACGAGTTCAGGAGACTCCTGGCGGAATACGTGCGTCTGCTCATCAAGTGAGTGGCCAAAACCGGAAATATGAGATTTCATTTTTCCAATCCAGTTTCCTTTTAGTTTCCTTAGTTTCATTCTGCTTTTTCCAGTGCATGCCTTTCAGCTATGCCCTTTGTACAAAGAAGAATGGTTCCTCTCCCTTACTCATCTGTTTCATTCTTTCTGACAGATGAGGGTGATGAGAGTTGTCTGAGGGAGGTGTGCCAGGAGCTGGTGTGCTTTTATTGACATTCAAGTGTGTTTTGATAGAGTGGGCTTGTACGAAGCGAAATGGTTTCCCCCCCTCCCTCATATTTTGCATTCTTTCCTTGCCAGAGAGGGTGACGAGGGTCGGCTGAGGGAGGTGTGCCAGGAGCTGCTAGGGTCAGTGGTCACTGGAGCGTTTGATAAAGGCCTCCCAGGGCTGCTTTGAGTCGCCTCACCCACCTTTCCTTCCACTCCCCCGTTCCTCTGCTTCCTTCTGTTCCTTCCTTGCCAGGGAGGGTGATGAGGGTCGGCTGAGGGAGGTGTGCCAGGAGCTTCTAGGGCCAGTTGACGCCGGGGAACATGCGGTTACCACATGGGCGGACATGGTTACCAATAACCGGGCGGGAACAGTTATTCAGCGCAATGCTCAAGTAGATGAGGTGAGTGATTGGGGTTTTGATGATTTACCTGTGCGGGTTTTGTTGAGGCCAGCTTGGGACTTGAGCGTGTCAGCTTGTAGATGATAATTGAGTGCAAAAAAAGTTTGTCTTTGCATGCACGCACTATGAAGTGTAGGAAATTGCAAATAACAAGTTAATCACTTGTGGAGAATTAGTTTTTAGGCCTCAGCAGCACCGTGAGAAGTTGTCAAGGCCGCCATTTATGTGTGCTTCCTTACCTATGTTGTGCTTCTTTCCGACTTCCTTGACTTGCGTTAACAGGAGCTGAGAAGAAAGCGTGGCCTTTTACGAACTGTGGTCTTTCCAGCCTTACTCTCGAGCAAAGGGATGCAACGGGTGCTGTTAGAGTACATGGATCTAGTAAAGGAAGCAGAGGCAGGATGAAGTTTCACAAATGGTGATGTATGACAAATGGTTATTACAATCCTCACTGCATGTCTTGCGCTTTTTGAAAAAGAGGGCTGTAGTGTACTTCCGAATCGCGCTGATGAATGTTGAAAGCGTGCCCCTGGTCGCCGACGGGCTTCCTTCGTCACCTTTTTTCGCGGATTTCAGCTCGCCGCACGATGGGAACTCGCTGAGCTCGCAGACGGCTGGCGGTAGCACTCAATTTTCGCCAGGCGACATTTTCCATCCTTCGCCGTCAGGTCAGTGGTCGTTATTCGTTGTACTGGTTCCCATTTTCTCGCGCAAACCCCGCTCCCTCCACATTTTTCGCCCTCCGGACGCGGCGCGCTGAACGGAGCTGAACTGGCGGCTCGAAATTGCAAATTGGCAGGCGAAATTTTGGGGGACGGCACATTACGTTTTTCTAGCTCCTCTCCCAAACCACCAACACCTTGAACTCCCCCCCTCCGTCAAACCGACAGCCAACTTTGTTCGGACCCCAATTTGGTACCAGCCCAACAACCGCTTCCGTCGGAGCCTTGGGTTTAGGCCCCTCATAAAAGCGCCTAGACCTCTCATCATCGAAGCATATTCTAGCCGTTATCAACATAGCCTCACGCATTCTTCTACCCCGGCGTTGTAGTTTCCCGTGGAAGTTACAATTTACGGCAAAGGAACTAGCTTCTCGACTTAGCCTCGCTCGCTCTCTGTTTTGGTCTCTAAGCCTTCGATTTCTCAGTCTCACGATGTCGTCCTCTGCATTCCTTGCAAGGCCAGCTTCGCGCCTGATTCTTGCGACAGTCATCTTATCGTTCGTCCTTTCTGCGGCATGGGCGGCGCCATTAACGGCGGCCAAAAAGCCGAAGCAGACGGTTCCGCTGCCGCCATTCTACGAGGAGGCCCTCCAGAAGCTCAACGCGTCGGGTTTCACGAGTTTCGTGTCGCTCTTCACCATGTATGGTACGTATCGGCTTTCACTATGCTCCTGTGATGCGGTATCGAGCTGTTCAGTGCGCCAGTGGTGCGGTAGTGAGTGGTGCAGTGCGCCAGTGGTGTGGTGGTGAGTGGTGCAGTTCTGTAGCCATATTACAACGAAGAGGCACTCCAGAATCTCAACGTCTCAGATTTCACGAGTTTCGTGTCGCTCTTCACCATGTATGGTACGTACCGCCGTTAATGATGCGCCAGTAGTGCGGCGGTAGCGAGTGGTGCAGTGTGCCATTGGTGCGGTACGCGAACGGCGCGGTGTGTATTGCGTCGACTCAAGGAAGTCGGACTTACCCCTTACCCCTCGCAGGCAAGACAAAGCAGGTGAAAGATTTCGTTACAAAGAACTCAGTGACCGTTCTCGTACCCACTAACGACTTCCGCCTCTCCCCTTCCGCCAACCCTTTCCCTCCCCCCACCCCACCCCCCCCCTTCCCACCAGGCAAGACAAAGCAGATGAACGACTTCGTTACGAAGAACTCTGTGACCGTTCTTGTACCTACTAACGACGCTATCACTAGCGCGAACCTGACTGGCTACCCCATGGAGAAATTGCTCACGATTGTCGCCTTCCAAGTCATCAAGGGAGTGAAAACGAAGACCGAGTTACAAATGTTACCACCTGGCACCCCAGTGCTGACCATTTCGATGAACGCGCAGAAGAAGCCACTCTTTTTGACGAAGGTTTCGCCAGCGTCGCCGAAGAAGCGGGTTAGCCTACGCGGGAAGGCTGGCCCTAATAAGAGCGTGGTGACTATAATGGGTCCGGATTTCTACTTCAAGGCGGGTAAACTTTCTGTTCACACTACGAACAACGTGGTGCTGCCGGAAGGGTACTAGATAAAACAGTAAACGATACAGCTCACAGTGTAGTGTATGATACACTGTGGCTGATACGAGGTTGCGATACAGGGTTGCGTCAATATGGCGTGGAGGCGCCATAACCCAGCTTATAGCGAGGATAAGCTCTGCTAGGTGCTACATTGCACCTTGTACAAGAGCACTGGTGGCCATGCTTGTGCCACATACACTGATTGTTGCTGTCATTAGTTCGAAATATGTTCCCTAACCATTTCAATATAAACATCAGTTCTTATTTTTGGGGGCTCACGGGTGTGACTAGGAGAATGACTAGGGCCTCCAAGAGTGTATTGAAACAGGAAACCCTCAACAAACACAATCCATGAACTAGTATAGACCCAATTGCTGCTACAACAAACAAGTGAAACAGACCCAAGATAGCGCATGTAAGCGAATGTGTAGAGTGCTCAAGGTGAATGCTAGAACACCTGGCACTCACTGCCAGGCTTGAACCTACTGTAGACTGTACCGGTAGCTATGTCCACAAGCCTTCTGTAGACTACACCTACCGGCGGCCATCCACGTTAGCAATGTAGCAGAACTAATCTACTGTACACTTGGCAGCACTACTGTATGCTGCATCTGGAGCCTTGTGAAGTTGTGTAACATTTCCATACGCACTCTGTTCAATCAGATCCATTTCCACTTCTGCATTCAAATGCAAAGTACCAATCAGCACTGTACACTCGGCCCTACTGTATGCTGCATCTGGAGCCTTGTGACAGTTGTGTAACATTTCCATATGCACTCCTTTCGATTAGATCCATGTCAGCTTCTGGATGCAAAAGGCATGTTTGCAAAGGGATTATGGGATGGGCGCGGGGGAAAAGAGGGGCGAGGGATCCATGAGATTCTGGATTCGCAAAATACGCGAGATTTCACTTCAGGACAAGACAGACCCAGGCAGATTTGGGAAGACAGATTAGGTTTGAGGGTAGTATGGAGGAAGGGGGTCAGAGAGGTGAGATTCTGACAGGAGATTGCACGCGATATGCAAAAATAATAGAGTGACAGTAGGAGGGAGGAGGAAGGGGACCATGAGAAGAATGGGAGTGGATTATCTCAGGTTGCATGAAAAAGGAGGGTGGTGTATGAGGCATGAGGAACAAATGTGGCCAGGACAAAAAAGAAGAATATATGTACCATATGAAAAAAAAAACATAGGATTATTTATATATATAAATATATATAGCAGAAACAGGTGTTCCTAAAGGCTAAGTCACTCACTTACTATGCTCTCTCCCAAAAATTCAATGCACCCCCGCTATTACCCTTCCCCCATTCACACCTCCTCAACTCTTCCCCTCGTATTCCCGCCAGCCAGCACACCTGAAAATTCCCTGTCAAGAATCCGAACGTCCCGAGACGACCGGGGTGACTTGCAGAGAAATGTCTGTAAGGGGTACAGGGTGTACAAGTGGAGAGCCAATGCGATATAGAATGTAAGGTCTTGGCGGGTATGGGGCAAGGAGCATGGGAGATGCTCGCTAGCAGGTTGAAGTAAAGGGCATAGGGGTATGGTAGAGAGGCATATGGAGCATGAGGAATGGCTTGTAAGGGGTCTCGAAGACATACTAAAGCGCTGTGGTGGGTGGGGTATGGAGCACGAGGAATGGATGGCAAAGGGTTTGGAATACATGTTGTGGCTGTGGTGGAATGGGCTATTTATGATGAGGAATGGCTGGTAAAGGGTCTGGGAGACATACTATAGGGCTGTGGTGGGACGGGGCATGGAGTATGAAAATTGACTGGGAGGGTTAGTGAGTAGTTGGAATACTCATAGTAGGGGTATGGTGGGTATGGTGCGTGGTGCAAGGGTGCGTTAAGGCATGGTGTGTTTGGGATACGGGATATGGGTTATAACATAACACTATCACACCACAACAGGCATTGCCAACAAAAACACCCTACTCGGCCGTGCTTCACCGCACAGCACCGCACTGAGAGCAAGCTATACACACCTGGCGAAGGGTGCCAATAAGAGTCTCCCATTGGGGTGTGGCGAGAGAAAATGGACGCATATATGCATGCAGTACTGTGCATCACCGCGCACGCAGCACCACTCACGTGCACAAACACACTGCATTCTACCGCACCATACCGCACAGCACCGCACAAAAAGCCCACCTGGCGAATGGTGCAGTTTTCCACTGAGCTGTCGCCTCCCTGGAATCACGGGGCGAAAGGGAGACAGGGGGAATGCGGGGGGGGGGGGGGGAAGGAGGAGGGAGGAGATGGGAGAGAGAGGGAATCCATTATCCATTCGTGAGGCCGCTCAAAAATACACTGAGCTGTCGCCTCCCTGGAATCATGGGGCGAAAGGGAGACGGGGGGAATGCGGGGGGGGAGAGAGGAGGAGGGGAGACGTGGGAGGAGAGGGGGGAAGAGGGGTTAAGTAGGGGAAGAGGAGGGAGGAAGGTGGGGAAAGGAGGAAAGGGGGTGGAAAGCGGTGTAGACGTTTGAAGGGAAGCAGTGGGGACAGAGGTGTCAGACAAGCATGTTTCCTTTGAGGGGGAAGGTGGGGAAGGTGGGGGAAGGCGTGGGAAGGGGTGGAAAGCGGTGCAGACAGGGAAGCAGTGGGGTCAGAGCTGTCAGATAAGCATTTTTCCGGTGAGGGGAAGGGGGATGACGGAGGAAAAGGGGGGATGACGTGAGGGGGAAGGGGGATGATGTGAGGGGAAGGGGGATGATGTGAGGGTAAGGGGGATGATGTGAGGGGGAAGGGGGATGATGTGAGGGGGAAGGGGGATGATGTGAGGAGGGGGATGACGTGAGGGGGAAGGGGGATGACGTGAGGGGGAAGGGGGATGACGCGAGGAGAAAGGGGGATGATGTGAGGGGGGAGGGGGATGACGTGAGGTGGAAGGGGGATGATGTGAGGGGGAGGGGGGAGGATGTGAGGTGGAATGGGGATATGTGAGGTGTAAGTGGGAATGACGTGAGGGGGAGGGGGGATGACGTGGGAAGGAAACAGTGGATGACGCAAGAGAGGGGGAACACATGGGGAGCGAGACGTGCGGGGAAAAAGGGGAGGGGGAGAAACGCACGACCCTATTTCGGAAAAGAAGGAGAGTGCAAACTACAGTTTCGCATCCCCCTTTCCCTCACGACACATGTGAGGCGGGGGACACACACACCCGGCGTGGGGCGTGCGGGGAAACAGAGGAGGCGGAGAAACGCACGACCCTATTTCGGAAAAGAAGGTACTGCAAACTGCGTAAGACGTCGCGTCGCATCGCGTCTCACCTTATTTCGAGGGACGATACGGTCGAACTCGAAGCAGAAAGGGCCGTCGCACGAGTCGAAAGCGCGGAAGACTACATTCCCTTCGCTATCCCGGCGCCATCGTTCCGGATCGCGGCCTTTAACTACGTCCGCCTTATTCCAGCACGCATCTTTAACTTCGCGAGAGAATTTCTTTGGCATAGACCGCTTTCGCGACGGCCGGGTTAGATCGGTATTCATCGGTTTAAGCTCCCGTTCGTCTGACGGCTCCGGTGGGCTCGACATTAGACCGAAGCTGTCATCCACGTTCGGTTTTCCCGAGCCCGACTGATCCGTCCAACCCTGTCGTCATCGAGGTATCGTCAGGCTGTTGCTGGAAGATAAGGGATCATGGCGATAACCCTGGAGGATTGATTCGATTTTCATGACATCTGAATATTTTTCGATTTTCTGGAACAAGTTCCATTACTTCGCTTGCGCGTTTCCTGGCGAGCAGCGAATGTCGCTTGCCCTTCGTGCTGTCGCACTAGGTCGTGAAGATTGAAACGAGTCTGTTTGCGATAATTATTGCTGTATTCTTGTTACACTCGTGACAACACCGAACCTGGAGGTTCAGAATCATTGCCCGCAACGCGCACCAGAAGAGAACCAGCAGAAGCTTGTAAAACCGAACCAAACTGACTGGCCTGGCAAGCCAGCAGGCACGCCCCTACCTCATCTGTTGTCGTCAAGTTGTGGCTAGGTTCGATTTTCTACTACACTAAACCGCGCTAGAAACAACGAAACCTGCCAGAACCGTGCAAACATAAATTCGGGTCGAAGAACTGGAAGACAAGTAGCTAGCAGGGGCGATTAGCAGGGAATGCCTTGTTCACGTTCCTTCCGATACTTCTTCGTCGAGTCCTTCTAGAAACCATTACTACTTTTCCTGTTCCTTACGCTTCACTAGCGGTATTATCTCCAGCTCTTAACGATGGCTCGTAATAACAATGACGTCTCTAAGGAAAGAGAACGCCAAACTCCCTCGCGTGGAGCGGAGGGAGAGACAGGCTCTCGTCATAATGACGAACTGAATGGAAGGGAGAAATCGTCGGCGAGGAGACGTAGCGTGTCTGGAGGAAGGAGCTGCAATGAAGTCAAGCGCCAGCGACGAGACTCACGGGATTCTGAAGATATTTCAGTGGCTAGTCCGCCGAGAGCGGACTCTCCGTCAAGTCAAGGTACTTTCTGATGTATAAATCTCACGCATTTGCATGTAATGTTCAATATTTCGATTTGTTTTTTTATTATTCATGACCATGAATATTCTGCAGGTTTCATACATAATCTTGACATTGTTCATTAATCCAACAGAAAGTCGATCAAGGACTCAACCCATGTCGCGCGCTTGGCAACAGCGAGGGGACGAGATCATGCGGGGTATGACGCTGATGTCCGACAGAATAAAAAAAAAAACTGCAATTCATGATGAGAGAATGAGAGAAACATTCAACGAGTTCATGGCCGATATAGAACGCCAGCCTTTATCGTCAAGGCGTCGCAAAGAAGCAAAATTTCTATGCTTCATGATGATGGCCTTCATGATGTGGCAGAACATAGTTCTACAAGCTTCTGCCATGGCTATCTATGCAGTGCTGGCACTGCACGAGGAGTTTCTTAATGATGATGAAGATTTTCTTTCAAACGAAGGCTTCCTCTCAGATGATGGTTCCCTTCCTGAAGACAATCTCGCTGTTGGGAGCAATCCTGCTGTTGAGACTGCTTAGGTTCCCTCTAGTGGTGTAATGACATCGGTTGGCTTTTTAGGAACTCTACCCCTGCTCTGCCTTCGGCAGGGCAACTTCCCTGGTCGTTTTGCTGATCAAGTGTGCGTCTATTGCTGGTCCCCTCTTGAAGAAAATATGGACAAGTGGGAAGAGGCGACTACATTTGCTTGTTTGGTCCCCATTTAATTACCGTGTATAGTGGCGTTGTGTTATTGTGGTGGAATGGATATACTGGTAGTGGAGGAGTCCTGTTAGCTTTCTGTTTTTAATCACTTGCTAGTAATCTTGAAGTTTCTTTACCCCAGCTGCTGGTTTGCAGGTCAATTCTAGGCTAGAATCCAAGGTTTCTTGCACGCTGCAGAATGGCACCAGAATCACTACTGATTCTGAATTACCAGCAGCCACAAAATATACCATCAATTTTGTTAGGCAGAGGTGTTCGGAACTACTCCGTGCCTTTGTTCGCGGAACAGCTCCCTCGTCTTGTACCGAAGGTGAAAAGCGCGGGAAGCGTTTCCGTCTCTCCAACCGGATCAAAACTCGAAGCGCATGATGTTGGAGCAGAAAATCAGGCCGTTAGGGCAGGCGTCACCAAGAAGCTGATTTATTGGGAAAGGTATGTGCTGTCTGTCCATGCTATGACAATTACTTGGATTCTCGCTAGCACATCAGACCTCCGAGGTATAGAGTCTAGAAACCGTTAGTTTTTAGCCTAGTTCTTGGTGCTTTACTAGAGGTCGCATTTCTAAGCCGAAACGATGGCGCGCAGCCATGAGACAGTTCCCGAAAGTGTATTAATGTAAATTTTTTAAAGTGTGTAACACTTTTCAAAATTGTGTATTGTGAATAGCGAAGCGAATTGTACCGAAGCAAAGGCTTCGGCGAAACGCTAATTCCCCTCTTTTTCGGTATAAAAGAGGGGGCGAAGGCCATTTGGCCTTCACCCACGTTTTCATTTCGAACTTTCAATTTCAAGTTTCGAGATTTTCTTCGTCCAAGCTGGCGAGGACCAAGACTCTGCCTCGCTTCACCTCTCCGTCGACGCTTCTCTCCGACATTCTCGATCGGAACTTAGCAACGATGGCGCCGGCGAGCAACAATACCCCCGGGGCTAAGGAGTCGCCTGCTCGTCAATCGACGGGACTTGAAAAAACGCCTCGGGAAAACGCCGCTGAAAAAAGAAAGCGCCATGCCGAGAATCACGCCGAAGCGACCCACACGGGGGTCGACGTGTTGCTCGGTGAGGGCGGAACAGTCGCGCGACCGTCCCAGCCACGCGCGACCCACACGCAGGCTCATGGGCCTGCACGCGGCGACAATGATGGCGATTTCGTCGCCATCCCTGCCGCCGCCACTGCAGATCCGAGCGGATCTCGCGCCCCCCCGAAACGCAGGGCGACAGATTCGGCCGCGTCAGACGGGGCGGGCGCGAATCTTTCGCCCCCGCAACTTGCGGCACTGCTGGCGCTCCTCCAGAAGCAGGTCTCGACTCCTGCAAAAGCGCCTACAGCAACAAATGAAGAAGAAATTTCTGCATCCGCTAAGACTGCAAACGTGCGCAACAACATTTCTACCTCCGCACGTGTCGCCACACCCACCCGCGCCGACAAAGAAAAGGCGCCTGCCATCAAAGACGAACCGGCTGCCCCCACTGACATCGACTCCGACTCTGACAGTGACGAGGGTGAGGAGCCAAACAACCTCATTCCGAATTTGCCTAACGATCTTCTTCCCCCTCTCCCCTCTTCTCATCCCTCGACCGCGGCCGCTGCCTTCAACCGCAAAGGCGTCCGCGACCAAGCTGAGGTCTTCGAAGCGCTCCAGATTTACTTGGCGCACGTGGACCACAAAATCCGCGGCGGCGACACTACCGGCGCGCTCAAGACCGTCGCCCAAGCCCAAGAACTTATCAAGCGTCGTTTCGACGTGTTGGTTGTCGCCGACCACGCCGGCTTCGACGTAGCTGAGCGCTACCAATTGCTGAAGACTACAGCGGTGCTTACCTCGCGCTCCTTCAAGATGGCAGTGGCGGACATGGCGGCGCTCAAGCGTGTGAAGACCGGCCTCCCTCGCGGAAGCCGCTCTTTCTCCCGCGAATCCGTCGCCTTCATGCCGAAGGGCATGGGAGGAGGAACCGGCTGCCGCGGCTTCAAGGGCACCTGCTTCCGCTGCGGCCAGCAGGGACACATGGCCAGCGCGTGTCCCCATGGAGGCCATGGGGGCAATGGGCCCGCACCGGTGGTGTGAGCGAAGCCCGAATGTCCCTTGTCACCTCTCCTCCCTCTTTGCTCCAAGGTGACCCCCGCCTTGATTGCCTTTGAGAAAGGAGTTGGTGAAAGGGTAGGGCAGGACCAGTGGGTCCTTGAATAGGCTGTTTAGCCTTGGCTAGATGCAAGGATTGCTCTAGGCTTTTGAGTGTGTGTGTGTGGTGTGCGCGTGTGCGTGTGTGCATTCACGCTTGAGCCCGAGGGGCCTTAATGTGTAATACTATATTGGAATTATACTCCAGGCTGCTGGCCTTGTGGTACACGGTCCCTATCAAGCCATGGCATGGTTTAAAAAGAGAGAGAGAGAGAGAGAGAGAGAGAGAGAGAGAGAGAGAGAGAGAGAGAGAGAAGGAAAGAGAGAGAGGGAGAGAGAGGAGAGGGAAGGGACTTGACTACACTTCGAACACCAATGGTGCGAAGGTTATTGGTTACGCCTCGAGTGAGGGAACGAGAACCAAGGGCATCCTAATGTGGAGAGTTCCGCAAGGAGAAAACTCAAATATGCGGGAGGGAGAAAGAGAGAAGGAGAGAAGAGAGGGCAAGATGTGACATCGCCCGTATAGCCTCTCGTGACCGCTAAAAAAAAAAAAAAGGGGCCAAGCGGTGAAGGGGAGGGTGAGCCTCTGCAATTCATAGCCCCGAGCACGCAGGTCAAAAAAAAAAAAAAAAAAAAAAACAAGGGAGAGGGAGAAGGGAGCGAACACGAACGAGGGCGAGACACCAAGCCTAACAAGAGGGTGAGGTTATTGGTCAAGCATTATCGTGCGCATCACGACTCACATGGGAACGCAAGCAGGTCGTTCTCATGCCCACCCGTTCATGCGCATCCTTGTGGACGTGCACAAGCATGTACGAAGCCGTTTGGGTATCGAGCATACACAAGTCGTCCCACGATGCCAACTAGACCGGTACTCTCATTTTTCTTTTCTCGATCACAATGCGTATCTTGTGGCTCGAACCAAAGGATTGACGCGCCAATTCTGTTGCCCCAAACTTATCGCCACTGCAGGCGCCTACCCTTCACGACCGGGTGAATGGAGTAAACCCATGGAGCACGCGATCACCGACAAGGAAGTCACCACCATGGGGGGTCGACTGCGCCAAGCCTTCGCTTGGTGGGCCTCATGGTGCGAGAGCAGCCTCATCCTGTCGGTCATTTCCAACGGATACTGGCTCCCTTGGAAAGCGTTGCCACCACCTTCATTTCGCGACAAGAATCACGCCGGTGTCGAGCGACACAACGAGTTCACACGTTCAGCAATCTCTGACCTGCTCTCATCTGGTGCAGCAGCAGTTGCAGCTGGCCTAACCGCAGTGGCATGCACTAGTCCACTCAACGTCGTGGAGCAACGCGACAAGTGTCGCCTCATCCTGGACTTGAGGAAAGTCAATCAGTACCTCGTCATCCCCAAATTCAAGTACGAAGGCTTGGTCCGAGTCGCCGAATTGGCGCAACCGGGCGACTGGATGTTCTCAATCGACCTGAAGTCTGGATACCATCACGTCGATATCCACCCGTCATGCTGGAAGTTCCTCGGTTTTCATTTCAACGGCATGGATTACTACTTCAAGTCGTTACCGTTCGGTCTCGCAACAGCACCCTTCCTGTTCACCCAGTTGATCAAACAACTGGCTCGAAGATGGCGAGCGCAAGGCACCCGAGTCATTCCATATGTGGACGATATCTTATTCCTCTGCAGTTCGGAGGAGGACGCATGCGCGACTCGTGATGCAATCATTCGTGACCTACGACAGTCGGGCCTTGTCATCAATGCCAAAAAGTCGCACCTTACCCCGACCCAGAAACTGCAATTTCTTGGGATGGAGTTGGACACCCAATCTGGGAGATTTACCATCGGCCCCGAACGTCGGGCACAACTCATGCACACGCTCCAGGTGCTTATATCTGCTTACGAGCGACGACAACGGATACCAATCCGCCTTGTCGCACGGGTTACCGGCATTCTCGCTTCCATGGCGCTAGCCCTTGGCACAACGGCATGCGCATTCAGTCACCAACTCCTAGAGCTCATCAATGCAGCAACGTCATGGAATGCCAGGACACACCTAACCCTGGAGGCTCGGGACGAGCTCAAATTCTGGCTAGAGAACTTTGATCGTTTCAACGGGGCGCCATTTCACATGCCCCACAGCATCGACACAGTGATTCATGTCGACGCAAGTGCTCACATTTGGGGTGCGACCCTAGCTTCCTTCCCAGGTGAAAACATACAAGGTAGCAGCCCTATGCCACACGAGCTCCTCTCCACTTCAAGCACACGCCGTGAACTCGAAGGTGTGCTCTGGGCTCTGAGTGCATTCTCAAGTCAAATCCAAGGCCGCCATGTGCTCATGCGCGTCGACAACCAGGGCGTATTCTTCATTCTTCGAAAAGGCGGTTCCGGGCAACCCGAACTCACCCTTTTGTGCAAATCCATCATCGCACACTGCATGGCGAATGAAATCAGGCTGGCAATCGAATGGATTCCCCGAGCTCTCAACGCGGATGCGGACGCTCTCTCTAAGTTAGAAGACAACGACGACTATTCCTTGAAACTCCCCTGGTTCCGGCTACTGGAGAGGCGCTGGGGTCCATATACCATCGACCTTTTTGCAAATGCCAGTAACGCGCAACTCTCGCGTTTCTTTTCAAAGGTTCCCCATCCACGCGCAACGGCCGTCAATGCCTTCTCCCAGAACTGGGGGGCAGAACACGGTTTTGCATTCCCCCCACCGCACCTGGTTCCCGCCACCCTGCGCCATGCCGCGCGCACGTCTGCCACGCTGACATTGGTCATTCCTGAATGGACAGGAGCATCATGGTGGCCCCTGATCCGGCCTTCCCCTAGGACCTGGGCACCCGGCATATCATCATGTCTTCATCTTGCTAGCGGTCGCCAGTATCTGCATGTGGGTTCGCATATTAGCGCATTCTCAGGAGTTGGTCTCCCGGTTAGTAGAATCCTTGCACTACAACTTAACTTCCATCATTAATGTACCGCCGATCTTTTCTTGATGATGACAGATATGATTCCGAAGCTGCATCAACAGCTACTTTTAATGACAGCCCAAACACGGTCCGTCTCAACAATCAACACATACGAACCTTATTGGGCGAAGTTCAGGAGTTTTTGTGTTAAGGCAAAAGTGGCATTTCTGCCTGCCGCAGACCTAACAGTTGCACTCTACCTGGTACATGCGATCAACCACAAGGCCACCGTCTCTAGCGTCCAGCTCACATGTGCCGCGATAAGCTTCGCCCACCGCATGACAGGCTCTGCCAATCCCACATGCGGCCCCTTCACGACACAAGTACGCGATTACGCCAAACGACACTGCCCCCGGCCAGCACGGGTGAAAGAACCCGTCTCCCTCCATCAGGTCCACGCCATGGCTAGGCCATTTCTCCAATCGAGCCAACCGGGCACATATCAGAAAGGCCTCATCGTGCTACTCATGTACTCTGCATTCCTACGCTTCTCAGACTTGGTGGCAATCCAATGGGAGGACATCCAATTCGAGGAAACAGCAATGTGGCTATTGATCCCACACTCAAAGACTGATCAGGAGGGTAAGGGTGTGTGGGTTCCCGTCGCCGCATCGGACGGACCATTCTGCCCGGTAAGGTGCACCCGCAATTTCATCCGGCTAGCACACTACGGGCCGACCAGCACAGGGCCGCTGATACGAGTCTTTCGCGGATCATCACCGCCATCCTCATCCGACACTGCCCCGTCTTACACTACAATCCGCACATGGTGCATGCAAGCGTTCGAAGCCGCTGGGATCGATTCAACACACCTTGGCACACACTCTTTTCGCAAAGGCGCAGCCACGGTTGCAGCTAGTGCGGGAGTCCCGGATCGCGTCTTCAAACGGCTCGGGCGCTGCAAAGCGAGACAGCAAAGGATTTATACATGACCATCTCGCAGGATCACCTAATCGCAGCATCTCGCAACATCCAAGACGAAGCTCGTGCGCCGTCAACCTCACAGCATCATCGCGCCATTACGAGGCACCGCCGACCTCCCCTCCCCATGTCTCAGAAGTCCCAGTTGAAATGAGACGTTGCATTTGCAAGGCAAATCGCAAGTGTTCACAATATGTAAAATTTTTAAAGTGTGTAACACTTTTCAAAATTGTGTATTGTGAATAGCGAAGCGAATTGTACCGAAGCAAAGGCTTCGGCAAAACACTAATTCCCCTCTTTTTCGGTATAAAAGAGGGGGCGAAGGCCATTTGGCCTTCACCCACGTTTTCATTTCGAACTTTCAATTTCAAGTTTCCCGCTCCCCCCACCCTAGCATGAGATGCATGGTAGCTCTATATGTTGTACAATGCTTGGACGATAAAAAATCTTGTACTTGCCAGTTGAAATGAGACGTTGCATTTGCCCAGTTGAAATGAGACGTTGCATTTGCAAGGCAAATCGCAAGTGTTCACAATACAGATGAAAGTGAAAGCCAGGCTCCCTCATCGGCGAGGAGACTGAGTATCGCTGGTGAACGGAGCTGCATTGCTGCCACGCGCCGGCGAGGAGACTCACGGGCCGCTGGAAACTTTCCAGTGGCTCACCCACTTCGAGCGGACTCGCTTCCATCTCAAGGTACTTACCCATTATGTATCCCTCGCATGTTTTATGAGGAAGGCTAAGAAGGATTCCTTCAGTGTCCGTTGGAAAGCTACAAATTGATCCGACCTTTGTCTTTTTGATTGTTTTATTCAAACTCTCGTGACATTGTTCATTCACGCAACAGAAAATAGACCAAGGACTCAGCCCAGCATGTGGACTGGGCAACAGCGCGAGGAAGAGATAAAGCAGGGTGCGAGGCTGATTGTTGAGACGATTGAAGAACTCAATGCATTCCACACTGCGAAAATGACGGAATACGAAAACCGTTTCATGGCTGCTATGGAAAACCTGCAGTTAACTAGAACGAGCCCCAATGCAGCAAAAGCGGCGGTGCTTGTAGGCGTCGTGATTCAACAGGCATTGATGATGTGGGATAACGAATTTCTGGACATTTGTGAGATGGGTGCCTTGGGATGGCTGGCACTGCAGAAGCAGGATTCATTCACAGATGATGAGGACTTCCTTTCAGATGAAGAGTTTTTTCTTTCAGATGAAGACTCCTCCTCTCAAGATAATGCATCTGTAGGGTCTACCTGACACAAGAAGATGGCTGTACAGGTACAGTAGGTCTAGTGCGGCTTTGGAAGGGCAATTTCCATGGGCAGCACCTTTTGCTGATTTTGCATGTGTTGCTGCTGGTCCCCTCTCATTTGAACGTGAGCGCCTGGGGAAAAACGCTAGTTAAACTTTCCCACTGATGCTTTGGTTTGTAATAAACAGTGGGACTGGCTGGCTGCTTAGTTGGCTATCATCTTTCTGTTCCCTTCTGCTTCTACCGTCATTCCATTCTCCTGTGCTGGCCCCCTTCTACCAGCTACTACCACTCTCCCTTCCATTCTAAAGTGAGGGGACCTTCACTCAGGTACCGGTAACAGAAACAGAACATTCACAAGTACCGTATCAGTACCAGCTCCACTCCTGCCTGTTTTCTGAAGTGTTCAACATCTGTACCTTGGCAAGGGCATATCGGAATCATAAGAGGAGGTTCGGCATAACATACAGGTGTGCATGCATGGGTAGTAACGATATGGGCTCTCAAAATGCTGAAGTGTTTTTTTTAGAATTCTCAAAAAAACACTTCAGTACCTTGGCAAGGGCATATCGTAACCATAAGAGGAGGTTCGGCATAACATACAGGTGTGCATGCATGGGTAGAAACGATATGGGCTCTCAAAATGTCTCCTCTCCAGTCTCAAAAGCATACAGTAGCGTCAGCTCTCCAATCAGCCTGACCGAATTAAACGGGCCCACAGCTGCCTTCACCTCCCCAGCGGCCTCTTCCTTTTTCCTCACTAAAGTCTGCTCCATTACAGACAACTCGTCACCACCCCCGTCACTAATCAAACCCTTGTCATCCTCCTCACTGACCACAGCAGAAGCTGAAGCACCAGCAGCGCTACCAAATGGAAGAACATCAATGTCGCCTCCACCAGTTAAACCTTCACTCAGCAGTCCCTGTCCTGTCATTTCTTGCCGCTCTTGCTGCTTCATCAGCTCTTCATCCCGTGCTAGCGCCCTCTGCTCTTCAGCTTCGGACCACACCAAATCCTCATCTTCCTCCTCCCCCTCCTCCGCTTCTGAATTCCTCTCTTCTCCCTTCTCTTCACCCTCTCCCTCCTCTCCGCTCTCTCCCTCGTCCTCTTCATCCTCCTCCGTCTGATCCTGCTCTCCCCATTCATCTTCATTACTATCACCATCGCTTTTGTCACCGCTCCTATTGTCACCATCGCCTGCCACAATGTATCCTCCTGTTGAAGCAGCAGACAGGCCCAGCACATCCCAGTCAGCGCTGAGCTGGAGGCGTGCCACGTGGCGCAGGATGGAAGCCTGCTGCCGCCACGTGGCGGCCTCGTACGCTGCCAGCACAGCAGCACGCGTGGCTGTAGCTGGCAAACCAAGCGCCTGCTTCAGGTTGCTCACAAGCACGTGTGACTGCAGCGATTGTGACTGTAACGATTGTGACTGTGACTGCGGTTCTAGGGGAGGGAAGAGCTGCGGGAAGAGGTGCTGAAAGAAAGGCTTCTGTGGTTCAAAGCGGACCTGCAGCAGCGGAGAGGAGAGCAGAGCAGGGGAGGCATCAAAACACCAGAGATAAGATAGTGGTTCTACAGGAGGGAAGAGCTCAGGGAAAAGGCGCTGGAAGAAAGGCTTCTGTGGTTCAAAGCGTACCTGCAGCAGCGCAGAGGAAGGAAAAATGAGTACCAGGGACAAGATACTCCTGCTTGGACGATTATCTGTACACCAGGATTCTGCTTGGATAATGCCGGCTAGCGAACAGCAGGTCTGGTCAGTACGAGGTCATGCACTGAGCCACGTCACGTCGCTCCACACTCTCTCTCAGCACCCAACCTCCCCGCTCTAAACCCACACAGCACATACCTCGAAAGCTGGATGCCTGGTGAACACCAGGTCCGGTCAGTACCAGGCGACACACTGAGCCTAGGCTTGGGCATTTGACCCGAACTGGTCGGGTAACCCGACCCGACCCGACCTTTTTGGCGGGTCGGGTAATTAGTTTTGATTGGACTACCCGGGCGGGTCGGGTATGTATACCCACGTCGGGTAACAGATACCCGATACCCGACCCGGGTGATCAAACTCGGGTATTTGGTACCCTATACCCGACTTGGTCATACATGGATCTGGCTTGCAAAATGTAGTAAAAAGCGCCTAACTATACATTTTCAACAAGGAGTTTAGGTAGTTAAAGGGAGCGCGCCAGCATACTGTGTGAAATGTAAGATAAATAGAAAGTTTTATAACACTGTATTTACGGGTATACCCGGCCCGACCTCGGGTTATAAATACCCGAGGAGTACAAAGCGGGTCGGGTAACTAACCTGACCCTAAATACCCGAGGTCGGGTATACCCGACTTGACCCCACCCTACCCTCGGGTAGCCCCAAACGGGTCGGGTCGGGTCGGGTCGGGTCGGGTCGGGTCGGGCCAATGCCCAAGCCTAACTGAGCCACGTCACACATGCCCTCTCAACTGCTCTGCACCTTCATACACTGCTCTCAACCCACATGTTACGTACCTCAAAAGCTGGATGGCGGGTAAACACGAGGTCTGGTCGGTACCAGGCCACGCACTGAGCCATGTCACTCCACGCCCTATCTGCACCGCTCTAAACTGACCTATAAATCAGTACATACCTCAAAGGCAGGATGGCGAGTAAAGATGAGGTCTGGTCGGTACCAGGCTACGCACTGAGCCACGTCACTCCACGCCCTCTTGGGTATCCGCCCCATCAGCCACCTCTGCACCCAGATCTTTCCACACACACTTATGTACCTCGTTCAACCGCTCTGAACCTCGTCCCACCACCTTGACATACCTCAAAAGCTGGATGGCGGGTAAACACCAGGTCTGGTCGGTACCAGGCAACGCACTGAGCCACATCACTCCACGCCCTCTTGGGTAGCCGTCCCATCAGCCACCTCTGCACGTGCTCATCGATTTTCTGGCTTGTCAACCACACTCCTGCTGGGTCTGAAGCGACTGCTGACTTTTGAGGCGCCTCAAAATTCCTCTGCACGTGCTCATGCATTTTCTGGCTTGAAAACCAGACTTCTGCTGGGTTTGCAGGAGCATCAGGAGTAGATCTCCCAGCAGTATCCGCCGGTTTTTTAAACGACTCAAAAACAGTCTCACGAGTAGATCTCCCAGCATCATCCACCGTCCCTGCAGCAGAATCTGCTTCTCTGGCTGTATTTGCTTCTTCAAGAACCCCTGCTGTGTCACCAGCAGCATCACTGAGAGCTCCTGTGTGGTCTGTCAGTTGAGCAGCTGTGGTAGCTGCTGTGGTTGCAGCGTCGTGAATGGCGGTGGCGAGGGTGAGAGGCGGCAGGGCGAGCTGGGCGACGAGCGTCCACTGCAGCCACGGGGGCTGGCGGGGGAGGGGAGAGGGGTGGCAGGGGAGGAGAGAATCAGGATTGAGCAGAGCGGATCTCGTGAAGGGCAGTGGTGAGGGTGAGAGGGGGAAGGGCGATCTGGGCTACAAGGGACCACTGCAGCCACGGGGGCTGGTGGTAGGGAGAGGAGGAGGATGGACAAGAGGAGAGAGGAACAGAGGGTGCAAAATGTTGGGTTGGAGCATAGTGACAGCATAGAAGATGCACCCGCGTGAAGGATGAGTTAATGGGAACAATAAGTGACAGCATATAAGAAAGAAAGGCACGACAATGACTCTTCTTTGGATTAATTAATCTTTTTTCTTAATGGAAACTACAAGTCCAGAAGGACCTTAAAACTAGAAACAATCACTCGAGATTTGGGCCGAGATTTGAGTGGCGTCTGCTTCTTGCGTGCAAACACAACAGCAGGTCTGGCTCACAACCCGCTGTTGGCTCCAAGGCTGGTGTGGTTGGTGTGGAGAGGAAGGAGTCAAGGGATTTCTCACCTGGGATGTGACTCGAGATCTGGGCTCCCCCGATGCGCCTGATTCGAGTGGCGTCTGCTTCTTGCGTGCAAACACGAACAGCAGGTCTGGCTCACAAGCCGCTGCTGGCTCCAAGGCTGGTGTGGTTGCAGCGGTTGCAGCATTTGCAGTGGTTGGAGTGGAGAGGAAGGAGTCGAGGGCTTTTTCGTAGCGAGCGCACATGTGGTTCTGCTCTGCACTCTCCTGCTCTGCATGGTGGGGGAAGGTGGGTGAAACACAGTGGGCAAGAGTGGCTACAGCATAAGATGTGGTTGCAGAGGTTGGACAAGAGAGAAAGGAGTCGAGGGCTTTCTTGTAGCCAGCGCACATGTGGTTCTGCTCCGCGCTCTCCTGCTCTGTTGGGTGGAGGTGAAGAGGGGAGAGAGAGGGAAGAGAGAGAGGAGGGGGGGGGGGGGGGGTGGCTTATGATATAGATGGGGAATCGGAAGAAAGGAGTCAAGGTCCACCCCTCGACCATCGGCGAAAGGGGCCCTCTGTGCTTGCCCACCATCGGCGCCTTTCCCCCATAGGGCCAATAAGCACCATACCGATACACATCCATTGTCACCGCTCTGCAACCCGCTGTCACCGCTCTGCACCCACCTTCATCGCTCTGAACCGAGCTGAACTCTGAGATCACCCACTCGTCTGTAATCTTCGCCTTCTTCTGCTTCCCCAACATAGGCGCCCTTACATATACACACTCACACCCACTGTCACCGCTCTGAACCCACCTTCATCGGTCTGAACCGAACTGTATTCCGAGATCACCCATTCATCTGTAATTTTCGCCTTCTTATGCTTCCCCACCATCGGCGCCCTCCCCCCATAGGGCCCATAGGGACCGTACAGATACTTCTGCCTCACTCCCTCCCCTACTACCATTGTCACCGCTCTGCACTCCCCGTGCCGCTCTGGACTGTATGTCACCACACTGAACCCACCTTCATCGCTCTGAACCGAGCTGAATTCCGAGATTACCCATTCGTCCGTGATCTTCGCTTTCTTGTGCTTCCCCACCATCGGAGCCCTCCCTCCATACGGGCCATAGGGACCATATAAGTACTTCTGCCTCACTCCCTCCCTGCTCCACTCCACCCTCCCCCTCACACTCCCCCTCCCCTCGCTCCTCCCCCTCTCACTCCTTTCCATCCTCCCTTTCCTTCTTTCTCCCCCATCCTCCTCCTCCTCCTCCTCCTCCTCTTCTTCCTCCTCCTCTTCTTCCCACCACTCATTGCTTCTCCCACCAATCCACTCTTTCCTTCTCGCTCTTGCTGCTGCTGCCTCCTCTGCTGCTGCTCTTGCATCAGCCTCTGTTGAAAAAGAGAAGGGGGGTTTTATAAAAACGAAGTCGAAGAAAGTTGACATAAAAGGGCTGTATAGAAGAGAAACAAAAAGTGTAGGAAAGAAAAGGAAATCAGGCAGGGGGAAGGGTGGGAGAGGCAGAAGGTGTAATGGGTGATTAGGGATCTGCCTAATCAGAAGGTGCATCTGCCTCTCTCTTTCACAGCTTCATCCCTCCCTCCCATAACCTCCCGCTATAACCCCCTCTTTTTCCCTCCTCTCCTCCTCTCCTCCCCTAACCCACCACCAGTGCTCACCTGCCTGTCTCTGCATTTCGCCTCTCCGCCTTTCACACCTTCTTCGACTCCTCCCCCTCATACGCGCCCAACAATTCTGCGTCGTCCTCTCCTCTCGTTCCCACTGGCATGCCTGTCGCTGCCTTTCACACCCTCTCCCCCCAACCCACCCTACTCACCTGCCTGTCTCTGCATCTGTCTTTCAGCTTTCCACACTTTCTTCGACTCCTCCCCCTCATACGCGCTCAGCAAATCAGCGTCCTCCCCTCCTCCGCCGCCCCGCCCCCCTCTCACACCCGGCCTTGGCCCATCCCTTAAACCCCCGCTTAAACCCCTTCCTAAACCTTCGCTTAAACCCCCTCTTGAACCTCCTCCTAAACCTCCTAAAACCCGATCTGAGCCACCTATAATCCCTCCACCTCCCCTGCTCCTTTCTCCTGCTCCTCCCCCTCCCCTTTCATCTCCCCTTCCCCTTCCCCCTGCAATCCGCCCGCGCGTTCCGCTGATCTCTCCCCTCTCCCGCGCACTCCCCATATCCCCATCCGCTACAATAAACCACGAACCCTCGTCGTTAAACCCCGTGTCCTCCAAGTCACGGCTGCTGCCACGTGGGCCCTGTCCACGTCCTCGTCCGGCCTGCTGACGTGGCAGATTCGCTGTTCCGTCGCCTCCCCTACTACCAGAATCCCGCCTGTTTCCGCTTCCCCCCGCATCAGATTCCTCTCCCACCGGATTTCCCCTACCCCGCCCTCTCCCCCTTCCGCTATCCGCGTTTCCCCCGCCCCGCCCTCTCCCACTTCCGCCACGTGCCCCTCCTTCCCCCGACGGTGCTCGCCCTCCCCTTCCGCCAGATCTTCCGCCCTCTGCTCGCCTTTCCGCGCGGATCCGGAAGCTTGCAGGTGAAGGGGGAAGACCAATTCCCCATGCTCCCGGAGCAGCCCTAAATTCAGAGAAGAGCGGACATTTTCGATTTCTGAGAGTGTCGAGCAATCTCAAGGGGGTTCCGGGGGAACGAAAATGACGTACGGGGGTGCTCGAATGGCGCAAGCCAACAAGCGGAAGCAGTGCGCGCGGCGGTGAGGGGGAGACAAGCGCGCCCATGGCGCCGCGTGCTCAGACGCTAAAATCAGCAAGCGAGCTGCGATGGTTACAAGGCGTCTGGCAAATAGTCGGGAAATGGCACGGTTGCTGTACTCGCTACAATGCTGAAGGGTGCACAATCCAGAAGTGTGAAAACGCCACACTTACATCATTCAGTGAAGAAAGGTGCATTTTACTTGATTTGATAATATATATAATTTATTATGAAAATATTTTACGAATCTGGCAGCATGCCTGCCTACCCCGTTATGGGAGCGATATCCCACTTCCAGTTATTCAACCTTTTCCCGCTTTATATGCAAAGAATCGTTTTCGTAGCCTATGTTTATATTACAATTACTACCGGTAAGCGGTCTCCCTTATCGCGGTTTTGTCCAGTGGCTCAAGTTTCTCCACGACGCCGCAAATCACGGTTGACCGTCCGTTGATGTCAATTCCACTCGCAGAAGCACACGTAGCATCCGACTCCAATGCACGAATTCGGAACGGTATGAGGTACTTCGCTTGATGTTCCAAAAGCTCCTACAATTGATGCTCACCCCATGCACGCGAATTTGCCTTGCGCCGGATGGATACGCTGCACCCGAGGTTGTTTCCCCAGCCTTATGCACCTACATTACAAGCGCGTCAAGCAGAAGAGACCGAAGTCAAGCAGAAGAGACTGAAGTCAAACTAGGTAACTAGGTAGCAGAGTCTTGTTTATAAGCACATGCGAATTCTTTTTAGCTAGCTGCGAATTGACGAAACTTATGCGAAATGCTCGTGACAGCTTATACGCCCCCTTCATAAGGCAACCGGGAGGGGCTCAAACAGGCATCAATTGTACTCTCTCCTGCAAGTAGCGTCACCATCAGTCTTGTGGTCTCCGCGAGCGCCGCACGCGCAGGCTTGCATTTGGATAGCTGGATCGCTGTATTTCAATTGTGATTCGTGAGCCGTGGTTCCATACTGATTTTAAAAAACTCCTATTCGGCCCACACTTTCCAAGCAAGGAGCGCGTCGTTTGCTTTTTAGGAGCTAGCATGGCGCATACAGGTTGCATCACTCGCGCTTCGTACTTAATTCGCGCGTCGCCGCTCGTTCCCGAGCACGCGGCGGCGCGTTTACACAATAGCGTTCCTGCTGTAAAGCGTCTCGGAAATTCCAATACCACAGTGTCACTCTCACACCCTCCGCGGAATCCCGCTCCTCTCGCCGTTTCCATCGCCGCGATTCCCGCAGCTGCAATCCTCGCCGCATTGCCGGCGTCCGCGGCGGCGGCGCTTGCGGAGGAATCACCCGCTACCGACAAAGTGCGATCCGCCGTCGGGAGCTTACTAATCGCAGCGGAGGATTTAGAACGCGCCGCCGCGTCGGCAGCCGGAGTAGATAAGGCGCGATCCGCGGTGGGAAGTCTAGTTTCCGCCGCGGAGGATTTAAAACGCGCGGCAGTTTCCGCGTACCGCGATGTGGCCGGCGCGGGATCCGCGGGGGGGGATACCGCGCAGTTTGATTCCGCGGTGGGGGATATAGTCTCCGCGACGGGGGATCTCGAACGCGCCGCTGTTGGCATTTTCGGAAAGGCTGTGTCAGCAGAAGAGAGCGTGTCGGAACAGGTGGGTGCCACTCTTGACCTGTGGCAATTTTTGGACGCGCTGTGTCAGCACAAGAGAGCGTGTCGGAGCAAGGGGTTAATAGGAAGTCAGGGTTACTATGGGGTTACCCTGTTTGGCGGGGGAAGGGGGGGGCGGGGGGGGGGGAGGGGGGGTTGAGGCGGAAGAGAGAGTGTCGGAGCAGGTGGGTGAGGGGAAGACAAGGGAGGGGGGGATTACGCACAGGTTTGTTCCGCCGGCGAAGTTGAACAGTATTGACACTAACGAGAAAGTGATTCAACAAGAAAGTGACACTAACGAGAAAGTGACACTAACAAGAATGTGACAAACGAGAAAGTGACTCCCACTCGTTTGAAGTTTGTGAAGCTTCTGAATTCATGTTCCATTTTGTCTCTTTTTGTATTTTTTGTTCGTTTCACGCGAACCAGGTGGGCAAGCTGCTTGGTTCGGGTGCGGAAGCGACGCAGAAGCTTCTGGAATCCAGCGGGGAAGCGCTGCAGGCGGACACGGCAGGCGTGGCGAGGATGATTGGCGATGCTGCCGGTGCAGGGATGGAGGCGATTGAAAGACTACTGGGAGAGGGGACCCCTTCACTGGATGGCGTTTGGTCGGTGAGTGAATGGGAGGTGGCGTTGTGTGTGAGTGAATGGGAGGTGGCATTGTGTGTGAGTGAATGGGAGGTGGCATTGTGTGTGAGTGAATGGGAGGTGGCATTGTGTGTGAGTGAATGGGAGGTGGCATTGTGTGTGAGTGAATGGGAGGTGGCATTGTGTGTGAGTGAATGGGAGGTGGCATTGTGTGTGAGTGAATGGGAGGTGGCATTGTGTGTGAGTGAATGGGAGGTGGCATTGTGTGTGAGTGAATGGGAGGTGGCATTGTGTGTGAGTGAATGGGAGGTGGCATTGTGTGTGAGTGAATGGGAGGTGGCATTGTGTGTGAGTGAATGGGAGGTGGCATTGTGTGTGAGTGAATGGGAGGTGGCATTGTGTGTGAGTGAATGGGAGGTGGCATTGTGTGTGAGTGAATGGGAGGTGGCATTGTGTGTGAGTGAATGGGAGGTGGCATTGTGTGTGAGTGAATGGGAGGTGGCATTGTGTGTGAGTGAATGGGAGGTGGCATTGTGTGTGAGTGAATGGGAGGTGGCATTGTGTGTGAGTGAATGGGAGGTGGCATTGTGTGTGAGTGAATGGGAGGTGGCATTGTGTGTGAGTGAATGGGAGGTGGCATTGTGTGTGAGTGAATGGGAGGTGGCATTGTGTGTGAGTGAATGGGAGGTGGCATTGTGTGTGAGTGAATGGGAGGTGGCATTGTGTGTGAGTGAATGGGAGGTGGCATTGTGTGTGAGTGAATGGGAGGTGGCATTGTGTGTGAGTGAATGGGAGGTGGCATTGTGTGTGAGTGAATGGGAGGTGGCATTGTGTGTGAGTGAATGGGAGGTGGCATTGTGTGTGAGTGAATGGGAGGTGGCATTGTGTGTGAGTGAATGGGAGGTGGCATTGTGTGTGAGTGAATGGGAGGTGGCATTGTGTGTGAGTGAATGGGAGGTGGCATTGTGTGTGAGTGAATGGGAGGTGGCATTGTGTGTGAGTGAATGGGAGGTGGCATTGTGTGTGAGTGAATGGGAGGTGGCATTGTGTGTGAGTGAATGGGAGGTGGCATTGTGTGTGAGTGAATGGGAGGTGGCATTGTGTGTGAGTGAATGGGAGGTGGCATTGTGTGTGAGTGAATGGGAGGTGGCATTGTGTGTGAGTGAATGGGAGGTGGCATTGTGTGTGAGTGAATGGGAGGTGGCATTGTGTGTGAGTGAATGGGAGGTGGCATTGTGTGTGAGTGAATGGGAGGTGGCATTGTGTGTGAGTGAATGGGAGGTGGCGTTGTGTGTGAGTGAATGGGAGGTGGCATTGTGTGTGAGTGAATGGGAGGTGGCATTGTGTGTGAGTGAATGGGAGGTGGCATTGTGTGTGAGTGAATGGGAGGTGGCGTTGTGTGTGAGTGAATGGGAGGTGGCATTGTGTGTGAGTGAATGGGAGGTGGCATTGTGTGTGCGTGAATGGGAGGTGGCATTGTGTGTGAGTGAATGGGAGATGCATGGCTGGGAGGATGATTGGCAATGCTGCCGGTGTAGGAATGTAGGCTTTTGAGAGAATGCTGGGAGAGGGGACTCCATCACTGGATGGCGTTTGGTCGGTGAGTGAACAGGGAATTGGGGGTGGGTGGGGGTAAGACACGGGGAGGTGTCAGCCGGTGAAGAGCAATGCAGGCGGACACGGGACGGGTGGCGAGGATGATTGGCGACGCTGCTGCTGCGGCAGAAATGGAGGCGATTGGGAAACTGATGGGGATACCTGCACTGGATGGCATGTGGTCGGTGAGTGAATGGGAGAGTGGTTGGCTGGGAAGCTGGTGGGGCGCTGGGATCCGGCAGGGAAGCGCTACAGGCGGACACGGCTGGTGAGTTGGGGGTAAGACACGGGGAGGTGTGAACGGGCAGGGAAGCATTGCAGGCGGACACGGCAGGGATGGCGAGGATGATTGGCGACGCCGCTGGTTCAGGAATGGAGGCAATTGAACTGCTGCTTGGGGAGGGGGCTCCTGCACTGGATGGTGTTTGGTCGGTGAGTGAGTGGGAAAGTGAGTGGATGGTTGGGAGGGTGGTGGTGTGGTGAATGGAAGGATGGAGGCGTTTGAAATTCTGCTGGGGGAGTGGATATTTGCACTGGATGGCATTTGGTCGATGAGTGAATGGGAGAGTGGATGGTTGGGAGGGCGGTGGTGTGGTGGTGGTGATGCTGCAGAGATGCAGGTGACTGCGCATGAGTGTTCTTAGAAATGTGGTTCTTGCCGAGATGTTGCCGTGCCGTGCCGTGGGGCCTTTTTTTGAGGCGCCTCAAAACAAGGCTTGACATGGAGGCTTTTGGTGGGTGATTCGTGAGTTTAAGGAAGACATGTGCCTTTGTCCATGTCTCTGTTACATTCTTGCATGCCCCAGACTTGAAAATTCAGCTCATTATCCATTTCTCCTACCCCCTAGAATAGTAAAGTGTTGATTTTGTTGGCCTGATTTCTGTTCGTGTCTCCCCCCCACCTCTTCCCCCTTCCTTCCCCCCTGCCACTCCCCTTTATCATCTTGCAAATTCATTCCAGCTGTCCCTGCCTACAAACGGAACCATTTTCAACACTGTCTCATCAGCATCCGCGTTTGTAACAGCTCCTCTAAGCACAGCATGGGAAGCAGTGCAGCTCACTTCAACAAGCTCAGGTCTCCAAACAGTTGCTTTCTATGTCTCCATGAGTATCTTCCTGCTGGCACTGGCCAATCAGCCAAGAGAATAGAACAGCAGTGCATGATACAAATAGATTAGTTTCAGAAAGCCATACGTACGTTGAACAGTGAAGCAACCTGAGCAGATGAGTAGTAGAGGTTTTTGTATGTCATGCAATATGTATATCAGATGCAAAATGGGATTCCTTTGCCGCCTGCACTGTACTTATTTCAACCTAGCAGTCTAACCACCTGACGCGAGTATTTTGTAGTATCACAAACTCGCATGCGGGTGAGGTGGTTCCCTCGCGCTGTACCGTTTCAAAACGAGAAGCACCGAAGAAAAGCACTGCGCGTGACACGCCAGATCCTTCAGAATTCTGATCAGAATTCCTCGTCAATATCGAGGCGGGGTGTTTCACAACGACTACCTAGCTCGTCTGGTTTTCTGAATCATTTCTTTTCTACTGGCAGCTATGGCTGCTGCTGCCGCTAGTGCAACGCTCCCGTACAACGGTTGTTTGTCCGCTAGACAGTTAGCACCGTCTCCATCTGGTCGGGTAACCAGAAGCCACGGGTTGCTCGCTTGTCTTCGCTCTTCTCGTCTGTTACATTCGCGATTACAGTCGCGTCGCTCCGTGACGACACTCCGGAAGCAGCTTATAACGAGGACAAGTCCGAGTAGTACGGTTGTTTGCTCGTTCCACGAGTCGCAGATGGGTCAGCCAGACGCGATCAGCGATTTCGAAAAGAGCATTTCGGACGCGGAGTTGCGAGGCATGGTGGACGAGTCGCTAGTTTGGTCGTCTCTCAACGGACTGGTCGTCGGCGATCAGACGGTCGAGGTAGGCTCAAGGGAAGATCGGACGGTCGGGACGAAAGTTGGACGTTTCTCAAACGTTCAGAGGGTTCCGTAGGCTGTTTTAGGCTGTTTTTGAGTCAGCGATTTCGAGCAGAGCATTTCGGACGCGGAGTTGCGAGGGATGGTGGACGAGTCGCTGGTTTGGTCGTCGCTCAACGGTCTGGTCGTCGGCGATCAGACGGTGAAGGTAGGCTTAAAGGAGGATCGGACGGTCGAGGTTGCGAGGGATGGTGGACGAGTCGCTGATTTGGTCGTCACTCAACGGTCTGGTCGTCGGTGATCAGACGATCGAGGTAGGTTCACTGGAAGATCGGACGGTCGAGAAGAGCATACCGGATTTCGAGTTGCGAGGCATGGTGGATGAGTCGCTCCTGTGGTCGTCGCTCAACGGTCGGATCGTCGGCGATCGGACGGCCGAGCTAGGCTCGAAGGAAGATCGGACGGTTGAGGTAGTTCAACGCGGAGATCGGACCGTTGAGGTTGGACTGAAGATTGGTCGCTCCAATTCATTTTTTCCCCGTATCATTAGTCGACCAGTACTGCTTTATTCGACAGGACGCGGGGATTGGACGATCAATATAGGCCGTTTTTTGCATTTCGTCAACACATTTCCAGTCTTGTGTTCTTAGTGTCATGCCCCTCCCATACTCCTCACACAACCCATCCCCTCCCATTCTACGTCTTCCTTCCTGCTGCTTCAGGTATCGGGCTCTGATCCTGGATACGGCTTGGTTCCTGCGCCAGTGACGCTGGTCCCCACGCCCTTCCCAGCACACCAATACCATACATGCATCCCCACCCACCTATCCATTCTGTGCTGCTTCAGGTATCGGGCTCTGATCCTGGATACGGCTTGGTTCCTGCGCCAGTGACGCTGGTCCCCACGCTTCCCTTCCCAGCACACCATTCACGCGCAACCCCACCAACTCTTCCCTTCCCACAACTTCCTCCTTTCTCTTCCAGGACTCGGGATCTGTTCCGGGATCTGGTTTGGTCCCCGCACCAGTGACCTTTCTCCCACATTCTTCCTTACCAGCACGCCACCATTATCCACCCGCACAAATATTCTCCTTCTCATGACACCCCCCCTGCTCTGCTCCAGGACTCAGGCTCTGTTCCGGGACCCGGCCTCATCCCCGCGCCAGTGACGCTGCTCCCCACGCCCTTCCCAGCACACCATTTCCATTCACCACCCGCCCCCACCAACCTTGTCCATTCTGTGCTGTTGTGTCCAGGACTCGGGCTCTGTTCCGGGATCGGGCTTGGTCCCCGCGCCAGTGACGCTGCTCCCCACGCCCTTCCCAGCGCACCATTTCCATCGAGCCGTGGAGCTCGCCCCTCTCTTCAACGCCCTTGTCGATGCTGTCAGTCAGGATGCCGACTTCTTACAGTCCACTCTCGCAAGGTGAGTGATTTAGGCTGGTGAGTTCTCTCTCGTAGTGTACTTGCAGTGGCAGGGGTTCTGAGTTGCCTCAGGAGCCACCCAGCTCGCCCCTCTCTCCAACGCCCTGGTGGACGCCGTCAGTCAGGACTCTCGCTAGGTGAGTGAGGGGCTGTCATCGTGTGGTAACCACACACCTCTGCTACCTGAGCCAGTGACTTTGCTCCCCGCGCCACGCCCTCAACAGCGCGCCATTTCCATCGAGCCGTGGAGCTCGCCCCTCTCTTCAACGCCCTGGTGGACGCCGTCAGTCAGGACGCTGACTTCCTGCAATCCACACTCGCAAGGTGAGAAATCTAGGCTGGTGTGGTGTAATAACCACAGATGTTTGGTTCCCACGCCAGTGACTTTGCTCCCCGCGCCACGCCCTCAACAGCGCGCCATTTCCATCGAGCCGTGGAGCTCGCCTTTCACTTCGACGATCTTGTTGACGCCGTCAGTCAGGATGCAGGCTTCATGCAATTCTCTCTCGCAAGGTGAGTTCCATGGCAGGCAGGCAGCGTAACTGCAGCCGTTGGAGTTCTTTCAGTGGCCTCGGATGTGTCTTCGGCTCGCCCCTCTGTTCAACGATCTTGTTGATGCCGTCAATGCAGGCTTCGTGCAATTCTCTCTCGCAAGGTGAGTTCCATGGCAGGCAGGCAGCGTAACTGCAGCCGTTGGAGTTCTTTCGAGTTACCTCAGACGTGTCTGCAGCTCGCCCCTCTCTTCACCGCCCTGGTGGACGCTGTCAGTCAGGACGGACGCCACCGACTTGACTTCCTGCAATCCACTCTCGCAAGGTGAGCTCACTCTAGCAGGCAGTGCACCTGCAGTGACTGGAATTCTTTCGAGCTGCCTCAGAAGTGACCTCTGCTCGCCCCTCTCTTCAACGCCCTCGTATACGCCGTCAGTCAGGACCCCACCGACTTGACTTCCTGCCTCTCATCCCCCGGAACACACTCCTTCTGTGCGCCTCAGAACACACTCCGTGTGGGAACACTACCGGGAACTTTGACTCCCTCACAGCACAGCACCACGCATCTCCTTGTCTCACTCACCGGTGAATCGGTCTCCCCTTCACCCGAATAAGCTCAGCACCACTGAATGCATTTTCATGCCGTGCCACCCATCCCCCCGTTTCAGTGCAGGGCGGTCTGACTCCTTCACAGCCGGTCTTCTCCGGATACACGCGGAGATACTCAAGCAGGGGATTCAGCAGGTGAGCATTGCATTCTGCTGCAATGTGGTAACAGTGTACCATACGTGTCAGGCTGCCTGAAGCAAGCTGCACTCATGCAAACCGCACATAGCAGCTGCTCTCTCCTCCAAAAGCACGTGGAGATACTCACGCAGGGGATCCAGCAGGTGAGCTGCTTACGAGCGAGCTGCACACGAGTGGCATCTAAACTGTTGGTCGGTCGGGTCTGTTTTTTGCGATTTCTCAAATAACGGATATCCAATGTATGTATATCGGTCAGGTACGGATATTCGTACGTACATTAGAGGACTCAGTCTGCCCATCTGCTTCGAATCAGCAGATGAGCAGCCTGCAAAGCAGCACACAAGCAAGCAAGCAGCATCAGAAGAAGACCGAAAAGTAGGTCAGGTATGAGTGCAAGCACAAAGGGGTCAGCTGATCTGGTACATTGCGATATTGGCAATTGATCTTCTCAGATTACATGCGGAGATGATGGCGGGGAGGGTACAGGCACCTTGCCCCGCGCCCCTTTCTAACTCTCTCCACCCCTCTCTACCTACCCCTCTCCACCCCTTTCCGTCCCACTCCATTCCCAGCCCATACGGCTGGGCATGCACATTTCGGACTATGCTGGACACAGTGACAGGGGGCGTGCTGCAGGTGGAGCTCAAGACCAGATTACCAGTCAGTCACCGCTAAAGTCAACCCCTCTTCACCCCTCTGCCTCTCCACCCCTCTGCACCGCTCTCCACCGCTCTGTTTCCAGCCCATACGGCTCGGAATGCACAGGTCGGACTACATGCTGGACTCAGTGACAGGGGGCGTGCTGAGGGTGATGCCAGTGCAAGTATCCTTCCCTAACCCTTTTCACCCTTCGCAACCCCTGCCTGCCCTTCCCCACCGCCCTCCGCCCCTCTCCACCTCTCTCCACTGCTCTCAGCCCATAAGGCTGGGCATGCACAGGTCAGACTACATGCTGGAGACCGTCACAGGGGCCGTGCTGCAGGTGGAGCTCAACACCAGATTACCAGTCACCTCCATACCAATTTCAACCCGTCTCCACCCGTCTCCACCCCTCTCCATCCCTCTTGTCTTCTTCCCACCGCTCTCCACCGCTCTCCACTGTTTCCCAGCCCATACGTCTGGGCATGCACAGGTCAGACTACATGCTGGAGACCGTCACAGGGGCCGTGCTGCAGGTGGAGCTCAATACCAGATTAACAGCCATTCCTCTCCCATCCCTCCCTCCTACCCCTCTCCACCGCTCTCGACCCCTCCCATCCAGCCCATAAGACTAGGCATGCACAGATCCGACTACATGCTGGATACAGTTACAGGAAGCGTGCTGCAGGTGGAGCTCAACACCAGTGATTGCTCCCCATCCACCCTCACCCTTCTCCACCCCTCTCCATCCCTCTCGTCCTCTCCCCACCGCTCTCCACCGCTCGCCAGCCCATACGACTGGGCATGCACAGATCTGACTACATGCTGGATACAGTTACAGGAAGCGTGCTGCAGGTGGAGCTCAACACGTAGTCAACAGTGGTTTCTCCCCATCCCTCCTCACCCTTCTCCGCCCATCCTCACCCCTCTCCACTGCCTCTCCACCACCCTCCACCGATCTCCACCTCTCTCAACCCCCCAGCCCATACGGCTGGGCATGCACAGGTCGGACTACATGCTGGACACAGTGACAGGGGGCGTGCTGCAGGTGGAGCTCAACACCATCTCCTCGTCCTTCCCTGGGCTAACTTCAAGGGTCACGGACCTGCATAGGTATGCAAGAGGAACGATTAGCGGCGGTAGAGGGTATTGCAGTGCAGGTTCTGGCTGGCCGGTATAGCTGGACACAGTGACAGGGGGCGTGCTGCAGGTGGAGCTCAACACCGTATCCTCGTCCTTCCCTGGGCTCACTTCCCGAGTCACAGACCTACACAGGGTAGGCAGCTGGGAGGGTGTTGGGCAGGTACAAGTGTTGTAGGCATTACGAGAGGCAGGTTGGCAGTGCAAGGGGCGTGCTGCAGGTGGAGCTCTACACCATCTCCTCCTCCTTCCCTGGACTCACCTCCCGAGTCACAGACCTGCACAGGTGAGAAGGGAGCAAAGCGCAGGAGGGTTGGAATAGACAGGGCAGAGTGCGTAGCAGGGCTGGTGTTACTGGGAAAGACTTGACAGGGGGCGTGCTGCAGGTGGAGCCCAACACCTTCTCCTCCTCCTTCCCTGGACTCACTCACCACAACTCAGCAGCAACAGACATGAGAACACCCCCACCCACTCACTGCACGGTCTTTACCTACTCTTTCTATCCCTGACTATCCCCTCCCAGGCACATGGTGGGCATGTATGGCGAAAAGGCGGGTCTGTCGGTAGATGTTGTGCCTCTCAACACGGCAGCAACAGGCACAATAACACCTCCACCCACTCACTGCACGGTCTTTCCGTACTCTTTCCGTCCCTGGCTATCCCCTCCCTCCGTCCCTGCCATGCACATGGTGGGGATGTACGGTGAAAAGGCAGGTCTGTCAGTGGATGCTGTGCCCCTCCATATAATTGCCACAGGCGTGATATCACCTCACCCGCTGCACCCTCTTCCCCTGCCCTTTCTGTTGCTGCTGTCACCTCCCCCTGCCAGGCACATGGTGGGGATGTATGGCGAGAAGGCAGGTCTGTCAGTGGATGCTGTGCCTCTCAACATGGCAGCAACGGATGGGATGGTGTACTCCCGAACCCACCGTTCCCCACCCCTCCCCACCCCATGATGCGCTCCCTCCTCCTTCCGCCACCCTTGGCTCACCTCCCCCTGCCAGGCACATGGTGGGTATGTATGGCGAGAAGGCGGGTCTGTCAGTGGGTGCTGCGCCCCTCAACACGGCAGCGACGAATGTAGTGCCATGTTCCTTAAACCCACCTACCTACCCCCTTCCATTTGCCCTTCTTTCTTGATCTCCTTCCCTCCCTGCCAGGCACATGGTGGGGATGTACGGCGAGAAGGCGGGTCTGTCGGTGGATGCTGTCCCCCTCAACATGGCAGCAACGGACATGGCAGATGCGCTGGCAGCGGCATGGAGGGAATATGGCGATGAGAGGTAGGTGGGTCATGCTGTCATATGGTAGTGCTGGTTGCTGTGTGGTAGGGATGGGTGCTGCGTGTGCGTGTCAACATGGCAGCAACAGACATGGCAGATGCGCTGGCAGCGGCATGGAGGGAATACGGGGATGAGAGGTAATTAGGGCTGGGTGCTCTTCGGTAGGGTTGGGTGTGGTAAATCTGGGTGCTGTTTGTGCCTCTCAACACGGCAGCAACAACAGACATGGCAGATGCGCTGGCTACTTCTTGGAGGGAACATGGGTAGGTGGGTCATGCTGTTGTGTGGTAGGGATGGGTGCTCTGTGTGCGTGACAACATGGCAGCAACGGACATGGCAGATGCGCTGGCAGCGGCATGGAGGGAATATGGTGATGAGAGGTAGGTGGGTCACGATGCTGTGCTGTGGTACGACTGGGTGGGTACTGTAGGGTGCTGTGCTGTAGGGATGGATGCTGTGTGGTAGGGACGGCAGCAACGGACATGGTGGTGCCGTGTGGTAGGGCTGGGTGCCGTGTGGTAGGGCTGGGTGCAGTGAGCTTAAACCAGTGCAAAAGCCAGAATGCAACATGTACGAGAAGCACTGACTGGCACAGCACGTGTGGGTCTCCATGCCTCCACGTTCCCCCTTACCTTTCTACTTGCCCTCTCCCTACCCTACCAACCCACCCCAAAACAGAACAGCTCTCTAATCCTGTTGATGGTGTAGAAGCCAGAGCGGAACGACTCAAAAATCATCTCCCTAATCCTGATGGTGGTGTAGAAGCCAGAGCGGAATCTGTACGACCAGCACTGCCTGGCACACAGCAAGTGTGGGCCCCATCCCTCTTCACCTCCCCCATTACCTTTCTACTTGCCCTCTCCCTACCAACCCACCCCAAAACAGAGCATCCCTCTAATCCTGATGGTGGTGCAAAAGCCAGAGCGCAACATGTACGACCAGCACTGCTTGACGCAGCACCTGTGTCCCTCACCCACCACTCTTCACCTTCCCCCACCCGACTTCACTTTCTCTCCCTCCCAACACCCCAAATCAGAGAAGCTCTCAAATATTGATGGTGGTGCAAACGCCAGAGCGCAACATATACAGCACTGCTTGTCGCAGCACGTGTGCTTCCCACCCCACCTCTCTTCACCTTCCCAAACCCAAACCCTCTTTACTTGTTCTCTCCCCACCACCACACAAACCACACATCCCCAGAGCAGTTCTCTGATCCTGATGGTGGTGCAGAAGCCAGAGCGCAACATGTACGACCAGCACTGCTTGTCACAGCTCGTGTGGCAGAGGCATGGGATCAGAGTGCTGAGGAGGAGTTTGAAGGAGGTGCAGCAGCAGGGAGCAGTAACAGACGCTGGAGAATTGACAATGTGAGTGAGTGGATTTGTGTCTGGGTGTGTATGTGTGAGTGTGTGTGCGTGTGTGTGAGTGTGTGTGTGTGCACATGGGTACAAGAGGGCGGTCTTCTGAGTTGACTCAAAATTCGGCTCATTACACGTGGTTTACATGTCGAGTAATTGTGTGTGAGTTAGCTAGTGTATGTAAGAGGGTGGGCAAGCCAAAGCTGGCATGTACGGCGACCAGCACTCCCTAGAGCAGCACATGCGGTTCTGTCATTGTAGGGTATGGTGTTTGTGTGTAACAGTCGGTCGGTGATGGCATCGCATAACGCGGGTGTTCTACCGTGCAGGCTAGGCCCCAGTGTTGAAATCATGTTTTTAGAGTTCTCAAAAGTGATCTCAACATAGCTTCTGTGCAGTCCACGGCCCCAGTGACTATCCAACGGTCCAACCAATTGTGCTTTGAGCAAAGGAGACGGACGAGGTGTCTCAACGGTCCAACCAGTGACTCAAAGCACTCACCTCTTCCGTCTCTCTTCTCCTCCTCCCCCCCCTATCCCACGCACCAGGGACGGCCATCGGATATCAGTGGTGTATTACCGTGCGGGCTACGGCCCCAGTGATTACCCAAGTATACCTTATTATAAGTCAACTCAAACCACACCCCGCTTTGCCTGCGTTCTCCCTCTCGCCTATCCCACGCACCAGGGACGGCCATCGCATATCAGTGGTGTATTACCGTGCAGGCTACGGCCCCAGTGATTACCCAACCGATCTGGTAAGTTCAGCGTTCATTGGCAGCTCAGCTTTCATTCAGAGCCCTCCTCTCATTCACATGCTGTCATTCATAGATTTCCCTTATCCCCACCGTGCAGGCTATGGTCCCCACTTCCCCTGCACAGCACTCCTCCATACCGCCCCTCTCCCTTCTTCATCACAGGATTGAGAAGCGCGCTTGCTGCTTGAGTGATCGTCAGCAGACAAAGTGCTCCACCATCGCGTACCACCTTGCTTCAGTTCACCTCAACCCCTCTGTACCTGATTGTTCTGTCCTCCATTCCTCCATATTGCTCTCTCTAATCTCAGGAATGGGATTCTCACCTGCTCCTTGAGCGGTCATCAGCAGTGAAGTGCCCCACCATCGCATACCACCTTGCCTTAACCCCGCTTCCCCTCTACCACACTCCTCCATACCACCCCTCTGCCTCTCTCATTCCAGGAGTGGGAGGCCCGCTTGCTGCTCGAGCGATCGTCAACAGTCAAGTGCCCCACCATTGCGTACCACCTTGCAGGGGCAAAGAAGGTGCAGCAGCAGCTGGCACAGCCTGGCGTGCTGGAGAGGTGAGGGCAGAGGAGAACATAAGGGAGAGGAGGAAAAAGGGGCGGGAGAAGGGTGGGGAGGGTTGGGTTGGGGGGGGGACAGTTAGGGGATTGAGTGTTAATCAGTTGCCCCACCATCGTACGTAACTGGGTCAGCCCCAACTTTCAGCAGAAGCTGGGTCAGCATGGGGGGCTGGAAAGGAGAAGGATCACTTCAGATGGTTAAACAATAGCAGCAGCTTTTGAAGCACCTCACAAGCTGGCGAGGTGAGGCGAGGTGAGTGTGATAAGGTGAGGTATGGTAAGTGAAGGTGAGGGTTTGGAGCAGCCATTTCTCAAGCAGTCCTGCATTGATATGGATCATAGGGTACAAGCAAGCCATCTCTCATCTCTCTTTCCCTCTCCTTCTCCCCCACCTCAAGCAGGTTCGTTTCAGACGAGGCGTCTCTGCAAGCCATGCGGCAATGCTTCACCGGGCTGTGAGGGTTCAGAGCTCTCGTCTCTCTTTCCCTCTTCCCCCCCCCCCCCCCTCTCCGCCTCAACCAGGTTCGTTTCAGACGAGGCGTCTCTGCAGGCCATGCGGCAATGCTTCGCTGGGCTGTGGAGTTTGGAGGAGGATGATAAAGCAGGGAAAGGGGAAGGGGGAGTTGATGGTGGGGCAGCACGGAACGCAATCATTGCAAAAGCGATCCGGGAACCATCAGAGTTTGTGCTGAAGCCTCAACGAGAGGGAGGAGGTGAGCTATTGAGCGTTCAGAAATGTGTGGAGGCTTTTGAGATGTCTCAGAACCCGATTGGCTAATTGTCTAAGTTTTTTTGAACGATATATGTTTTTTTACTGGACAAAAACATTGTACATGGTATTTGAGTCGTTGTTAATCGTTCATTTGCACTGCCTTGACCGGTAAACCCTTTAACCGCTTTGCAACCCAATCCACCCCTCTGTGCAGGCAACAACATCTACGACGAGGAAATTACCAGGAAGCTTACAGAGCTGACAGAAGCAGGGGAGGCGGGGAGGCAGGAGCTAGCCGCGTTCATTCTCATGCAGAGACTCTTCCCCCCCATGCACCGCTCAGTTCTCATCCGGAGGTGCCAGTGGAGTTGGAACGATACGCTCTCCGAGCTTGGAGTGTATGGCACATATTTGAGGTGTGTGTGTGTGTGCATGCGAGCATGATTCGAACCGCAGTTGCTAGCAGCGTTCATCCTCATGCAGCGCCTCTTCCCTCCCGTGCACCGCTCCGTATTAATTCGTCGCTGCCAATGGAGTTGGAATGACACGCTTTCAGAGCTAGGAATCTATGGCACGTACCTGAGGTGAGTGCTAGTGTGCCTGGGTGCAGAAGCGGGGGAGGCAGGGAGGCAGGAGCTAGCCGCGTTCATCCTCATGCAGCGACTCTTCCCTCATGTGCACCGCTCAGTATTAATTCGTCGCTGCCAGTGGAGTTGGAATGACACGCTTTCAGAGCTAGGAATCTATGGCACGTACCTGAGGTGAGTGCTAGTGTGCCTGGGTGCAGAAGCAGGGGAGGCGGGGAGGCAGGAGCTAGCAGCGTTCATCCTCATGCAGAGGCTCTTTCCCCCCGTCCACCGCTCGGTGCTCATCCGGAGGTGCCAGCACAGCTGGAACGACACACTCTCTGAACTTGGAGTGTATGGGACTTATTTGAGGTGCGTTGGTCGAACCTCAGGAGCTAGCAGCGTTCATCCTCATGCGGCGGCTCTTTCCCCCCTGTGCACCGATCGGTTCTCATCCGGAGGTGCCAGCACAGTTGGAACGACACGCTGTCCGAGCTGGGCTTGTATGGGACTTACTTGAGGTATGTGTTGGTGCATGTGGATATGGGTGCAGCAGCAAGGGAGCTAGCAGTGTTCATCCTCATGCAGAGGCTCTTCCCTCCCGTGCACCGCTCGGTTCTTATCCGGCGCTGCCAGCACAGTTGGAACGACACGCTGTCCGAGCTGGGCGTGTATGGGACTTACTTGAGGTATGTGTTGGTGCATGTGGATATGGGTGCAGCAGCAAGGGAGCTAGCAGCTTTCATCCTCATGCAGAGGCTCTTTCCACCTGTCCACCGATCGGTTCTCATCCGGCGCTGCCAGTGGAGTTGGAACGACACACTGTCCGAGCTTGGAGTGTATGGCACGTACCTGAGGTGAGCGGGAATGGTTCCGGGTCAGCAGCAGGGGAGGCAGGTAGGGGGGGGCAGGAAGGCAGGTAGGCGGGCGGGGAGGCGGGAGCTAGCAGCGTTCATCCTCATGCAGCGCCTCTTCCCCCCCGTGCACCGCTCCGTGCTCATTCGCCGCTGCCAGCACAGCTGGAACGATACGCTCTCTGAACTGGACTTATTTGAGGTACGTATGTTTGTCCGCAGGGGCACCATCAGGGCTGGCAGATAGGGGACAGGGTGATTATCCTCTCAGCGTATGTTTTTTCAGAATTCTCAAAAAACGTAGGCTGGCAGGTAGGGGACAGGTTGGTTATCCTCTCAGCAGCAAGCCACCTACTGCGCACCAAGACTTGCACATTTCCTGCTGCTCAACCTGCCTTCCCCCCCCCCGCCCTGCCCTCCCACCCCTCTCCTCCTCCTTTCCTTTGGTTTCAGGAACGGGGACAGGGTGGTTATCTTCTCAGCAGCAAGAGCCACCTATTGCGCATCAAGACTTGCATATTTGCTTCTCGTCGTCAGCACCCACCTTCCCTCGTCCCCCCTGCCTCCCTCTCTTCTTCCCCTTCCCCTTCAGAAATGGAGACAGGGTGGTTATCAACACAGCAGCAGGCCACCTGTTGCAGACAACGGCCTGCAAACGTATTTCTTATCAGAACCCATCTTCTCTCAACCTCCCTCTTCCCCGTCGTCCCCTTATCAACGCAGCAGCAGGCCACCTATCGCGCACCAAAACAATCATAAGCTCTCTCCACTGCTTCCCCTTCCCTCCGTCTTGTTTCTTCTCCAGAAATGGAGACAGGGTGGTTATCAACGCAGCAGCAGGCCACCTATTGCGCACCAAAACAGCAACTTCGAACGAGGGAGGGGTGGCCTCTGGATTTGCAGTGCTTGATTCTCCGTACCTTGTCTGAGGAGACACATTTGTTGCTTTATGGTGTCTATGTTTAGTGTACCACTTTCTACACTTTTCGCAGTGTTGCGCGCAAATACCATACTGCATGTATGGGTTGCAAATGAAGCAAAGGCAGCGCAGTGTCAATTCTTTACTCTGGATGAAAGGGGGGATGAAGGCACTATATCTTACTCAAGCCCCTCTGTTATAATGTCACGTTCTGAACAAAAGTTACCGGGGGCACATCTACGATGTTCCCCCTCTTTCCGCAAATAACATGTCCCACCACAATCACCTGTTTCCCACCACCGGTAGCCCATGACAGATGGAAGTATCGTCGCATTCTTGATACCGAAGCCCTGCTCTAATCCTGTTAATATCAGCTGTAAAAGACGATGCATCAGTCCCCAGAAACACATCCGCCATAACGCATATCGCCTTATCGAGTACGGCTTGTACTGTAGTCATGTGGGTGAAATGGGCCTGAGCAAGCACTGCCGCCCAGCCCTCGCCTGCCAGGCTCGTCGGCTGCCGAACCAATCTCAGGTTCGGGATGGAGGCACGGATAACTTGCTCCAGCTGCTTCACCTGCAGGAAAGGCGCATTGTTGAGATGGTGTGGGGCGGAAAAACGAAACCAGATGGAGAAAATGCATGAATGACAGTACGGATGAGCACCAAGTTACTGGTACCATCTAGTCATTCACATGCCTTGAATGAAGGCTGTATCTCGCTCTCCTCCTCCTCATTTGTCTCGCTCACCTCCTCGTCGTTCGTGTCAGTCGCAAGGAACAGTGTTGTCAAATTGCCCGATCGAATCATCTTCCTCGCTATGCTATGCACCAAGCAGTGAACTGTATCACATGAGCAGATTCCATGTCTCTCTCTCTCTCTCACCTCCTCGTCATTCGTGTCAGTCGCCAGGAACAGAGTTGTCAAATTGCCCGATCGAATCATCTTCCTCGCCACGCATCAAGCAGCAATCTGGCTATCCACATGCCTTGAAAGCTGTGCCTCTCTCTTTCTCACCTCCTCGTCATTCGTGTCGGTCGCCAGGAACAAAGTTGTCAAGTTGCCCGACCAAATCATCTTTCTCGCCGCCATGCATCAAGCAGCAAACTGGCTATCCACATGCCTTGAAAGCTGTGCCTCTCTCTTTCTCACCTCCTCGTCGTTCGTGTCGGTCGCCAGGAACAGCGTTGTCAAATTGCCCGAACGAATCATCTTCCTCGCTATGCTATGCACCAAGCAGTGAACTGTATATACGAGCAGATTCGTTGTCCATCTCTCTCACCTCCTCCTCATTTGTGTCGGTCGCCAGGAACAGCGTTGTCAAGTTGCCCGACCAAATCATCTTCCTAGCCACGCATCTCCCTGTCTGCTCTACCGTCAGCAGCAGAGTGGCTATCCACATGCCTTGAAAGCTGTGATTCTCTCACCTCCTCGTCGTTTGTGTCGGTAGCAAGGAACAGAGTCGTCAAGTTGCCCGAACGAATCATCTTCCTCGCCACACAGCTTCCTGTCTGCTCCACCGTCAGATGTGCGTAGTTTTTTATCAGGTCCGTCCGTCTCCAGTGAACCGCCATGTACCGTCCAAACGCTAATCTACCACCCTCGCCTTCACCACTGCTGCTGTTGCTGCTGCCATTTTTCACTTCCCATTCCCGGGGCAGCCCCTGCAAAACTTTCGTCCTCACAAACGCGTCGGCAGCTTCTAAAATCGCAGGATGCGGTTGGATGGCCAGAGGGTTCGGGCAGCCCGGGGAACGAATAAACGGAAGCTCGAGATTGTTCATTCGTGATCCATTCGCTTGCATGGAAGCATCCAGAATTGCCGAACCTAGGTCGTCGAACGTGATTAGCCGAGCCTCGGGCCGAAGCATGGAATCCACCAATCGGAAATCGGTGATGTTGACCGCATGGCTGGACAGGAATCCCCCGGACGTCCACGTCAGGTTCGGCGAGAAGCCGATGCTGGTGTAGTTCGGCATGTGCTTCGGAATACCCACAGGATCCTGGTCATAACAACGACCGTACAAACACACAATCTGGTCCAGACTTACCGTATCGCTCCCCCCCGCGCCCTTTTCCAGCTCTAGTAACTCATCCCGTGAGATGACAGTGCGAGGGCCGTAGCAGCGGCGTGTGTGGTTGAGATCGAAGTATGCGCGGCGCTCGTAGTTACGGCTGATCTCGTCGGCATGCAGAGGGACGACGAGCGTGCGGTTCAGATAACCTGCTGCTAGCAGGTACTTGTTCATGCACCGCACTCGGTTGCTCATCTGGTGGGGTATGGTGGGAAGGGGTGGAGGGTGGTTGATTTTGTCGGCATGCAGAGGCACCACCAGCATGCGGTTCAAGTAGCCCGCTGCCAGGAGGTACTTGTTCATGCACCGCACTCGGTTGCTCATCTGGTGGTGTATGGTGAGAAGGGTCGGGGTGGGGTGGGTAGATGGTAACACTATGAGCTTGAGTCGCGGTTCAAGTAGCCCGCTGCTAATAGGTACTTGTTCATGCACCGCACTCGGTTGCTCATCTGGTGGAGTGCGGTGGAGAGGGGTGGGCACGGTGCAATGGGGTGGATTGTGGTGGGGTTGAGGGGGGGGAGGAGGGGGTTGGGGGAGGGGGGGTGGAAAGAAGTTAACACTATCAGTGTGAGTTTCGGTTGAAGAAGCCCGCTGCCAGAAGGTACTTGTTCATGCACCACACCCGGTTGCTCATTTGGTGGAGTGGAGTGCAGTGGAGGTGGGATCGGGTGAAGTGGGAATGTGTGGGGTGGGATAGGATGGGGTCGAATGTGATGAGCAGAATCGAAAGCAACTAGTCAGGGCATGTATTTGCTTGCCAGGCTGCTGCGGCTGCCAGGCAATGTGAAACACCCATACCATACATGCACCGCTCTCCACTCTTCCCAACACCTCACCTGGTTCCTATAACAATCTATCAACACGTATTTGCCAGGCTGCGGCTGCCAGGCAATATAAGAGTGAGACACCCATACACCGCTCTCCACTCATCCCAACCCAAGTCCCTGACCTGGTTCCTGTAGCAATCCATCAACACGTATTTGCCAGGCTGCGGCTCCCACGCAATCGGCCCCATCCCATACAGCTTGCCGTAGTTCTGAATCTTGTCACACACTCCATTCTTCCCTTCTCTCCCTTCCGTTTACCTGGTTCCTGTAGCAGTCCATGAGCACGTATTTCCCAGGCTGCGGCTCCCAAGCTATCGGACCCATCCCATCCACCGCTCTCCACTCCTCCAAACCCCCTTCTCACCTGGTTCCTATAGCAGTCCATGAGCACGTATTTCCCAGGCTGCGGCTCCCACGAAATCGGTCCCATCCCATACAGCTTGCCATAGTTCTGAGCCTTGTCATTCACTCCGTTCTCAAATGGTCTTGTCACACACTCCCCTCTCGAGCAATCCATTCACAAACGGTCCTACTTACCTGGTTCCTATAACAGTCCATGAGCACGTATTTGCCAGGCTGCGGCTCCCACGCAATCGGCCCCATCCCATACAGCTTGGCATAGTTCTGAGTCTTGTCACACACCCCTGCTGCTGCCAGGCAATAAGACAAACACCCATACCATGAACCGCTCTCCACTCCTCCCAACCCCCTCCTTACCTGGTTCCTGTAGCAGTCCATGAGCACGTATTTGCCAGGCTGTGGCTCCCAAGCAATAGGTCCCATCCCATACAGCTTGCCATAGTTCTGAGCCTTGTCACACACCCCTGCTGCTACTTTCCGCCTGGCCGCCTCATCCTTCTCCTCCTTACTCACTGGCTTCACCCTGCAGCAGGCACAGGGACGGAGAGAGGCAGAGAGGGGTAGAGAGGGGCAGAGAGGGGCAGAGAGGGGCAGAGAGGGGCAGAGAGGGGCAGAGAGGGACAGAGGGACATGTATCACCATACAGCTTGGCATAGTTCTGAGCCTTGTCCCACACCCCTGCTGCTACTTTCCGCCTGGCCGCCTCGTCCTTCTCCTCCTTACTCACTGGCTTCACCCTGCAGCAGCCACAGGGACGGAGAGAGGGGCAGAGAGGGATAGAGAGACATGTATCACCATACAGCTTGCTGTAGTTCTGAGTCTTCTCACACACCCCTGCTGCTACTTTCTGCCTGGCCGCCTCGTCCTTCTCCTCCTTACTCACTGGCTTCACCCTGCAGCAGGCACAGGGGACGGACAGAGAGGGACAGAGAGGGACAGAGAGGGACAGAGAGGGGCAGAGAGGGACAGAGAGGGATAGAGAGGGGCAGAGAGGGACAGAGAGGGATAGAGAGGGGCATAGGGACTGGTATCCTCATACAGCTTCCCATAATTCTGAGCCTTGTCACACATCCCCGCTGCTACTTTCTTCCTTGCCGCCTCGTCCTTCTCCTCCTTACTCACTGGCTTCACCCTGGGAGCACAGGCGTGAGAGGGGGACATAGGGAAGGAGAGAGGGACAGAGAGACGTGTATCAAGTTGGCTAGTCACACACTGCATCCGCCATTGTTTTTCCTTCTTGACCCACTTACACTCCTCTCTCGTCGTGCTCCTTTTGCCTTTTCTTGACCCGCTTGCACTCCTCTCTCCTCATGCTCCTCCCCCGGCAAAAAACGAACTAACTCACCAGTCAATTCTGATGGGTCGGTTAGTGGCACCCACCACATCCGCCGCAGTGCTTCCTTCTTAACCCACCTGCACTCCTCTGTCTGTTCTCATACCCCTTGTTCTCCCCGATAACAACTCATTTGAACTCACCAGTCGGTTCAAAATGGGTCGGCTAGTGAAACCCACAACACCCGCCACACTGCTTCCTTCTTGACCCGCTTGCACTCCTCTCCTCACACTCCTTGTTCTTTCCAATAACAACTCATTTGAACTCACCAGTCGGTTCTGATGGGTCGGTTAGTGCAACCCACAACACCCGCCACAGTGCTTCCTTCTTGACCCACTTGCACTCCTCTCCTCACACTCCTTGTTCTTTCCAATAACAACTCATTTGAACTCACCAGTCGGTTCTGATGGGTCGGTTAGTGAAACCCACAACACCCGCCACAGTGCTTCCTTCTTGACCCACTTGCACTCCTCTCCTCACACTCCTTGTTCTTTCCAATAACAACTCATTTGAACTCACCAGTCGGTTCTGATGGGTCGGTTAGTGCAACCCACAACACCCGCCACAGTGCTTCCTTCTTGACCCACTTGCACTCCTCTCCTCACACTCCTTGTTCTTTCCAATAACAACTCATTTGAACTCACCAGTCGGTTCTGATGGGTCGGTTAGTGCAACCCACAACACCCGCCACAGTGCTTCCTTCTTGACCCACTTGCACTCCTCTCCTCACACTCCTTGTTCTTTCCAATAACAACTCATTTGAACTCACCAGTCGGTTCTGATGGGTCGGTTAGTGCAACCCACAACACCCGCCACAGTGCTTCCTTCTTGACCCACTTGCACTCCTCTCCTCACACTCCTTGTTCTTTCCAATAACAACTCATTTGAACTCACCAGTCGGTTCTGATGGGTCGGTTAGTGCCACCCACTGCACCTGCTGCACTCGCTGCACTGCTTCCTTCTTGACCCGCTTGCACCCCTGTCCTCATACTCGTTAATCTCCACGATAACAACTCATTTGACTCACCAGTCGGTTCTGATGGGTCGGTTAGTGGCACCCACTTCACCCGCCGTCACAGTGCTTCCTTCTTGACCAGCTTGCACTCCCCCACTCCCTCCTTCCGTGCTTGTGCCTTCCGGGCCCTTCCCTCCACCCTCGCTCTTTCCTCCCTCGGTTGTCCGAGCATCGTCTGCTGACGAAGGTGATGACGTCAGAATCTGAGTCAGCTGGCTTCGTATGGCCGACACCCTCTGTAACAGCTCGGTAACATTCCCCTGTTCCGCTAAATTGTCCTGAATTTCTTTCTCGATAGCCCCAACCCGGCCTATTATAGATTCTTCCACTATCGAGTCTTGCAATAACCGTCTTCTCTTCCATCTCTCCAACACAACTCCCATCCCCGCCGTATCTCGACCTAATGCCAATCTCGGTACTCCCGATGGCATCGCATTGGGCCCTTCATTAAAGCCAACCTCTCCATCCAGTTCCCGTCCATTTGCGAACCCCGGATCCTGCCATTGTAACGAGACGATTGTAACGAGGATAGCACACGCTATCCGTATGCAATATCTCATGCTCACATCGACCGAGAACTAGCAGCTAAGAAGAGGGCTGGCAAAGTGAAGGATTACGCGCAGGAACGAAACGTGTATGACAGAAGCAGTGGTGCCAGTTATCAGCTCTCCGCCACTGTCATCAGCATGATACCGTTACCAGCTTCAAATAGAAATGCTGACAACTACCGTCCTCATTGCGCCAATCGCCTTGTGCAACCAGCAACCATCGCTTCTCACTGACGATTCCTTCCTAATCATCCTGCCAGCGAAGTTCTGCTTCGGCGATTGTCATGCTGCTGCACCTGACTGAAGTAGGTGGTGTGGTGGGAAGAAGGGTGTGTGCAAGCAGGAGTATACTGGAATGCGGTTCTGTACGCTATATAAATTCTACAAAACATTCGAGAAGGGTTGGGTAGGGTCCGGAGCGATCTGAACATCATTTGTCATTCGCCATTACAGCAAATGCGTTATTGCCTGTCCGATTATTGATGTATCTGTTTTACCTGTATTTCTTTCAGTTGCAATTCCCATTCTATTGTAAATATTCCTAAAGCACCTGGGTGGTTGGGTGCATTTATCCACTGAAATCATCGGTTTTGCTTTTAAACATGGTTGCTATACAACGGAACTGTGGTGTGATAAATACCAGTTTCTGCAGCCAAAATGGTAATGGGACATGGGAATCACATCACCGCTCACCAACAAGAGCTTGCCCCTGACAAATGGGTGTATCATCACATACTTGAAACCTAAGCCCTGCTCGAATCCTGGTAATATCCAATGAGAACGACGATGCATCTGTACCTGAAAACACATCTGCCATAGCGCATATCACCTTATCAAGCATAGCTTGTACAGTGAACATGTGGGTGAAATGGGCCTGAGCAAGCACCGCCGCCCAGTCCTCGCCTGTCAGGAATGTCGGCTGCCGAACCAGCCTCAGGTTCGGAATGTAGATACGCATGATCTTCTCAAGTTCGTTCACCTGTAGGAAAAAATGGGAGGGGTTAAAGCCAGGATCTCAAGTAAGAGAAATTGGCTTCAATTGCAAAACACTTGCAGCTCGAGTCACCCTGTTTGTGTAGGCGAAATTCAGTGGTTGGGTTGGAGGTTCAGCGAGCGACAGATTTCCGTTTTGCCCGTGAATCTCTATTGCAAAACAGATTTCTGTACATGAGATTTTTCGGAGGTAGGACACATTGCTGGGAAATGAGCTTCGGAACCCAACCTGATTTCCGTGCCTAGGTGGTTCGGAAGCAGCCAACGATTTTTGTTCGCTTCGCATCCCTCGTTTCAGCTCTCGTGAAGGACTCTACCTCGTCAACCAATCAAAGCCTAGCGCAATTCACTGACTGCAAAATATCCAAACTACATGAGATCCCGGCTTTAAAGATGTGAGAATGTTTTGAGAGCCTCAAAAACAGGTGCACTGCACAGAGGCAAAAGGGCATCGATAATAGGAAGAACAACCGAGGGCTAGGTACAGAATACCACCATTGTCTGAACTCATCCTACAAACAAACATGAATACAAATTGATAAATAAGTTTGCTCACCTCACCTTGAAAGCAGTAGACCGTATCAGTATGCATGTTCCTCACCCCATCTTCGTTCGCTTCAATTGCAAACAGAGTTGGCGAGTAATGAATCATGAGTCCTCCTAAATTAATCAACCTTTCTATTGGACAGTACAATCTTACCACTATATGTAGGTCACTCACCTCCTCATCATTCGTGTCAGTCGCAAGAAACAGAGTTGTCAAGTTGCCCGACCGAATCATCTTCCTAGCCACGCATCTCCCTGTCTGCTCCACCGTCAGATGTGACAGCGGATCCTTGAAACTTTTAATTAGGTCCGTCCGTCTCCAGTGAATCGCCATGTACCGTCCGACTGGCAGACTGCTGTTCCCCTCCCCACTGCTGCTGCCATTGCTGCTGCTGTTGCTGGCACTGTTGCTATTTTCAGTGCTGCTGCGTCCGTCACTGGTGCTGCTGTCACCGTCACTGGTGCTGATATTCTTCACTTCCCACTCCCTTGGCAGCCCTTGCAAAAGCCTCGACCGCACAAACGCATCTGCTGCTTCAAAAATCACAGGATGAGGTTGGATGGCGAGAGGATTCGGGCAGCCCGGAACACGAGCAAACGGAAGGTCCAGATTGTTCATAAACCTGCCATCCTCCGTCCTGGAAGCGTCTAGAGTCAACGAACCTAGGTCACTGAAGGTGATGAGCCGAGCCGAGGGCAGAAGCATGGAATCTACATGGTGGAAATCGGTAATGTTGATTGGATGGCTCTGGACAAACCCGCCGTTCGTCCACTTTAGGCTCGGCGAGTAGCCGATGCCGGTTAGGTTCGGCATTCGGTCCGGGACGCCCATGTGGTCCTGATTGTAACACCGACCAATCAAACAGACGATTTGATCCACATTCACCGTCACATTTCCCCCTCCTTCTCCTCCTCCTCCCCCTCCCACTCCCCCTTCTCCCCCTCCTGCACCGCCCATCCTCCTCTGCCTCTCCTCTTCTAAAAGCTCATCCCGAGAGATGACAGTGCGAGGGCCGAAGCAGCGGCGTGTGTGGTTGACATCAAAGTATGCGCGGCGCTCGTAATTATAAGTAATTTCGTCGGCATGCAGAGGCACGACGAGCGTGCGGTTTAAGTAGCCCGCTGCGAGGAGGTAATTCTTGATGCAACGGACTCGATTGCTCATCTAGTGGGGTGGGGACGGGTGGAGTGCAGTTGAAAGGGATGGGGAAGGGTGGGGTGAGGTGGGGAGGGGTGGAGAGGGGTGGAGAGGAATGGGGAGGGGTTGATCAGCGTGTGTAGTTGACGTCAAAGTATGCGCGGCAGACATAGTTGTAGGTGATTTCATCGGCATGCAGAGGGATGACGAGCATGCGGTTTAAGTAGCCCGCTGCAAGGAGGTAGTTCTTGATGCAACGGACTCGGTTGCTCATCTGGTGGAGTGGGGTGGAATGCGGTGGGTTGAAGTGCGGTGGGGTGGGGTGGAGTGGGCAGGGGTACCACTATCACGGTGAGTCTAGATGGGTAACATGACAAGTCACAGCAGTTCAAGTAGCCCTCTGCCAGGAGGTAGTTCTTGAGACCATGTACTCGGTTGCTCATCTGGTTCTGAGGGGAGAGGAGGGAGGACTGGTTGGTCAAAAATAACAGCTGGACTAGGCACAATCACAAGGCTCTTCTCACACACGGCATTCTCTCTCTATCCATTTACCCAGCACATTCCCTCACCTGGTTCCTGTGGCAGTACATGAGAAAGTATTTGTCGGGCTGCGGCTGCCACGCAATGTGAGACACCCGCACCATACACCGCTCTCCACTCCTCTCAACCCATCACATAGTCCCACATCCCTCACCTGGTTTCTATGGCAATCCATGAGAACGTATTTGTCGGGCTGCGGCTGCCATGCTATCGGTCCTTCCCCGTAAAGTTTAGCATAAGATTTTGTCACACACGCCTGCTGCCACCTTCGCCTTGTCCTCCTCGTCCTTCTCCTTTTGGGTAACTGGCTTCACCCTGTGGGCATCAGCGGAAGAGAGACGGAGAGGGATAGGGAGACGTGTGTCATATTCCGGTTTCGCGTCGCTCTGGATATTGTCACACACGCCTGCTGCCACCTTTGTCTTGTCCTCCTCGTCCTTCTCCTTCTGAGTCACTGGCTTCACCCTGGGGGCATAGATGGGAGGGGCAAATAGAGTAGGCACTTTCAGCAGCTGTCAACCCAAGCTGCTGCCACCTTCGCCTTGTCCTCCTCGTCCTTCTCCTTCTGAGTAACTGGCTTCACCCTATGGGCAGGAAAACACAGAGAGAGGAAAAGGCAGAGGAAGATGGAGGGAAAAAGGCTCCGGTATCGGCAAGAACCAAAAAAATGGCCCTTGCCATATTATTTCTGAGTTAGAGGCTGTTGCCTGCAGAGGCAGAGCCAGAATGAGTGGAGAACAAGCAACACGACAAATCAACTGGTGGGAGGGTGGTACTCTGGCTGATGCGATGCGACACTCACAAACTCACATACTCGCTCACTGTCGCTCACTCACTCACTCATTCACTCACTCACTCACTCACCCAAACACTCACTCGCTCGCTCACTCACTCAAACACTCACTCACTCACTAAGTCACTTGCTCACTCCCTTACTCACGCTCACTCGCTCACTCTCCCATTCACTCACTCCCCCATTCACTCACCAGTCTAGTCTGATTGGTCGACTGGCAGCTGTGGTATCAGAAGTAACACTTTTCTCCTCGTTTCCACTCGCTTTCCCCACCTTCTCAGACCCATTAGCTCCCAAGACCGCATTAGACCCATCCTCATGCCCTTCTTCGGACCCTCTTTCCGTCTCTCCTCCTGCACCTGCTTCCGCGCTCGTGCCTTCCGGGGCAGTCTGGCCCACTTTTGCTGGCGACGACGATGACGTCAGGAGCTCGCTCGTCCCATTTCCGCTGTTGACGTCACCGCTTGTCCCACTGACGTCGCTGCTAGTGCTGCTGATATCCCCCTTACTAGCCTCCCCCTGTTCCGCTAAGGTTTCCTGAATCTCTTTCTCAATGGTCTCAACCCGGCCTATTCCAGATTCGTCCACAACCGGGTCTTGCAATAACCGTCTCCTTTGCAAATTCTTCATTCCAGCTCCCACCTCTGCCGTATCTTTAGCCAATCTAGTTCCTCCTGAAAACGCTCCCGCCTCAGACCAACCGTTTTCTGTTCGCAGCACCGGCAACCCAATGCTATTTTCCACGGATCCTGCATTAGATCCTTTTGAGATGTCAGTTCTTTTTAAAATGCTGTATCCAACCTCTCCAGCCAGTTCCCTTCCAGTTGCGAACCCCTGATCCTGCCATTGTATCGAGACGACCGTAACGAGGATAGCACACGCTATCCGTAGCCGACGGCTCATGCTGTCATCTGCTGCTCTCCGCCGGTTCTCCTAGGCGTTTCACTACTTTATCGTGTACGCACTAGTCAATGCAAGCTATTGGCAATGGTGAAACGCTAAGAAGGGAACTGACGGTGCGTAGACCATGACCATAAGAGAATATGTACGGCGGATAAAATTTACGGACAGGGCCGTCCTATTGCCGCAAATTCCGGTTTCCTAACCATCAAAACAATACTGTGCTACTAATGCATGTTCACTTCGCTCAGAATACATTTATGTATCTACTAGATCGTTTCATGCCGTCTTCATCACGCCAATCGCGCGACACTACCAGCCATAGTCCGACTGACTACCAGTCTCCCAACCCAATAATGTCATGGAGACACTGGCCCTCCGACGGAAGGATGCACCCTCCCAAACCAACAATCACTGCGCGCCAGTAGGACAAACAAGCTCATACTAGTACGGTTTATTCTTTTTCAGAGCTTTTCCAGACGATGACAAAGTGGTTCAGTATGGTTTTACGCATTCATAAGCTTTCACCGCTTGCCAGGTTGTTGCTGGTCAGGTTTGTGTGTGGTCGTCATTTCGCCAATCGCGTGAGGGCCAGCCCATCAGCCCACCACAACCGTACAAATGTCCGCACAGAGAGGATTCCAGGGGAGAGCTGGAGCGAAGGCTGTGATCTTGCCGAACCTGACTGAAAGTTCGAACCTTTATAACGGTTCATCACGGTAGAATACAACTAGAAGAGTTTGCCACGGTGCAAAGCGGTTTGAGTTCGAACTTTGTCAGGTTCGGCAAGATCACACGCGCCCTTACGTTGTGGTATTTCTTTGTTCCAGGTTCGTTTGACATGGTTGAATACGGTCACTTAAGTTTTGGCGCGGTTTCCTGATTGCGCACCGAAATGGTCCGCTGGGGACCACCTCCCTCCTCGGGATTGCAAAAAACTGTAAAGCGTTCTACTAGGGAGGTTACCATCGTTTACATCCAGAATCCATCAATCATAACAAAACTAACTATTGTTGCATTTAAAACACAACTGTGTCCAGCATCGTGCCGAGAGTCTGCACGATATTGGACGACATGAGTGTCGACACATGCTCCTCCAGGTGCTTCTTTGCGTCCTGCCTCCCCACACTCGCAATCGCAAACTTCTCGCTCGATAAAGTATCCTCCTCTTGCACGGCCTTGTTGTATTTCTGAGCCAACTCCAGCATGTCCTGTTTGGTACGGGCGCGAGGAAGACGGAGGGGGAGAGGAAGGGAGAGCCAGGTTGGGGACTGCGGGAGGGAGAAGAGGGAACAACGTATCCTCCTCTTGCACTGCCTTGTATTTCTGAGCCAACTCCAACCTGTTGAGCAAGGGCATCACAGGGAGAGGAGGGAATGGGGTGAAGGGAGGTGTGAGGAAGGGGGAAGGGGGGAAGGGGATAAGGGGAAAGGGGTTGGGGAATGGGAGAAGGAGAAGAGGGAACAACGCTGTTACGCCTCCAACGCTCACCTGCACGATCTGCTCGTCCTTCTTGTTGTGGCTCTCAAACTGCTGCAGCGTCAGCCCGTGCGCCCACTTCTCATAGCTGTTTCCATTCCTCCATACAAAACAATAGTAAGTAGGTCACTAGCGTTCCTCAGCTCAACCCCTCACCTGCACGATCTGCTCGTTCTTCTTGTTGTGGCTCTCAAACGGCTGCAGCGTCAGTCCGTGTGCCCACTTCTTCTTGTGCAGGTTGAGCAGCATCTTCTCCTCCAGCTCGTTCTTGCGGTAGTTGATGCCGATGGAGTAGTAGTGCCGGTTCAGACCATGGATCAAAGCCTATGGGGTACAGGAAGACAGGAAGCAACGGAACAAGGGAGAAAGGGAAGCAGCAAGGAAAGGAGGGGGGAAAAGGTGGGGACGAAAATGGGGCAGGACGGGAAGAAGGGACCTCATTCTTGTGCAGGTTGAGCAGCATCTTCTCCTCCAGCTCGTTCTTGCGGTAGTTGATGCCGATGGAGTAATAGTGCCGGTTCAACCCATGAATCAGCGCCTGGGGAATCACAGGCAGGGAAAAACGGAGGTGAGTGCATGCGGGGTCGGAGGGGGGAAGGGGGGGGGGGACTTCGCTTGTCTTCTCAGTTGATGCCAACAGAGTAGTAGTGCCGGTTCAACCCATGAGTCAGCCCCTGTGGGGAAGCATACAGAGACGGGTACGGGTTGGGTGAGAGGCAGGGTCCTTGTTCCTCTGCAAAGTTGATGCCCACCCTGTGGGTCAGTCCCTGCGAGAGGAGTAGCAGTGTGGGTTCATTCATACAGTGGATCGGCGCCAGGAGAGTTGCAAGCAGACAAGGATGATGAGTCAAAATGAGTACTTGAAATGAAGGCTTGTGAAGATGCCCCAGGTTAGAGGTGGTCTGCCTGGGCTGGGTTCCTGCCCCAGCATCATGGTCTGTGAGTTGATGAGGCGGAACGTGTCGATGGCCACCTTGCTCTTGACTGACAGCCCAGGCGTGCCCTGCTGGTGCCTGTGTCAGGCAAGCCTCAATCTTGAGGCACTCATACCTGGACGTTTGAGAATTCTCAAAAGTCACCTTGCTCTTGACTGACAGCCCAGGCGTGCCCTGCTGGTGCCTGTGTCGGTCAAGCCTGCCGCTCCGCTCAACAACCTCATACCTGGATGGACGGCTTGTGGAGATGCCCCAGGTTAGAAGTGGTTTGGCGCGGTTCCTGCCCCAGCATCATGGTCTGAGGGTTGATGAGGCGGAACGCATCAATCACCACCTTGCCCTTGACTGACTGAATCGGGTCCACCACCACTGCCACTGCCCGCTGGTTGAGTGCCTCAAAGCTCTGAAGGGATGGACGGTGAGAGAAAGCAAGAGGGGTTGGTGAGGCGGAATGCGTCGATGACCACCTTGCCGTTCACGGACTGAATGGGATCCACCACCACTGCCACTGCCCGCTGGTTAAGTGCTTCAAAGCTCTGTAAGGAGACGTGAGGAAGGGAAAGAGTGAGGGAGGGAAAGAGGGAGGGAGGAAAAGAGGGAGGGAGGAAAAGAGGGAGGGAGGAAAAGAGGGAGGGAGGAACGAGAGGAAGAGGAGCTGATGAGGGAGAAGGCGTCGATAACGACCTTGCCCTTGACGGACTGAATCGGATCCACCACCACTGCCACTGCTCGCTGGTTCAGCGCTTCAAAGCTCTGAATAGTGAGGGAGGGACGAGAGGAAGGGGAAGAAGGGTTAACGAAGGGGAACGCGTCGATGACCACCTTGCCCTTCACGGACTGAATCGGATCCACCACCACTGCCACTGCCCGCTGGTTCAGCGCTTCAAAGCTCTGATGGGAGGTTGAGGCGGGTGAAGGGGAGGAAGAGGGGTTGAAAACATGAAGAGCGTCAATGACCACCTTGCCCTTGACTGACTGAATTGGGTCCACCACCTCTGCTATTGCCATTACCCGCTGGACTATGCTGCGCATTGCATGGGAAGCGTGTATCTGCTGTGTGTTGACATCAACGCATGACAGCCAGCAGCCAAAGCCTGTTGAGTGCACCTAGGCACTACCTGCTGAGCTGTGCAGTGTGTTGCAAGCTGTGCGCCGCATGGGTAGCGTGTCTATGCTGAGTGTTGATGCCCACGCCTGACACGACGCTTGAGAGCCAGCTATGAACATGAACAACCAGGGTGCATTTCTGTAGATTTTTTTGAGAATTCTAAAAAAAAAACCTACAGCGCCTGACACGACGCTTGAGAGCCAGCTATGAACATGAACAACCAGGGTGCATTTCTCCAAAAAGGGCTTCTGTTGGAAGAGCCTACTTTTGAGTCGACTCAACACGGCTTTTGAGGCTGCTTATTTCGAGTCGACTCGAGCCAGCTATGAACAACCAGGGTGCATTTCTCCAAAAAAGGGCTACGGTTGAAAGAGCATACCTGCTGGGTGTTAATGTCGACGCCAGAGAGCCAGCAGCCAAAGCCTGGATGCGAGTGGTACCAGCCAACCACCATCTCAGGTCTGGAGAAAGGAAGAGGGAGAAGGTGGGGGTGAAGAGGAGGGAAGGGATGGATTGGAGTGTGCAGGGGAAAGGGAGAGTGCCACGTATTGCCAGGATGCGGGTAGCACTGGCACAGCACACCACCATCTCACGCCGGGTGAAGAGATGGGAGAGTGGGGTTGGAGAGAGGGGGGACGAGGGAGGGAGAGACGGGGGATGAAAGAGAGAAAGAAGGGAAAAATCCCCGAAGGAACTGGATCATATCGCCTCTAGGTGCGACTTTTTAAGCCCATGGAACTGGCTTTCATCAAAAGTAAGGAATTGGATCATATTACCTCTGGTTGCGAGTGCAGGAAGATGGAATGGTTTGACAGGGATTAATTTAGGTGCCTTTCTCAGTCAAGATTCCACACATTAAAGGCACAGACTACCTGCCCTCCTTCCACAAGAGCATGTCTTTCACCTGCCTGTCCGGTCCAGCACATCTTCTACCTGCCCATTGGTGTGAAAGCATATTTTTTTCACCTGCCCGTCTGCTTGAGCATGTCGAGCATCTTCGTCTGGAAAACTGGATCCACCGCCTCCACACTCACGCCTGTTCCGCTCTGAGGCATGGCGAACACATCAACCACCCTCACGGTATAATCGTCTACAAACTCGCCCAGCATGAGACCCATGACTTCCATGGGCACTCCCGCTCGCCCTGACAGAATGAGGAGGGGAAAGGAGAGAGCATACGGGAGGGAAGTGTTGATATGGGGCATGAGGCATGGCGAACACGTCCACCATCCTCACGGTATAATCGTCAACGAACTCGCCCAGCATGAGACCCATGACTTCCATAAGCACTCCGGCACGACCTGGCTGCAGGAATGGAAAGGCGGATGGGGCAAGTCGTTTTACGAAACTGCGAGATCGAGCAACGAGACACCTGCTCCGACGTGTCGACCATCGGAGCGTCTATACTCGTTATAATCTGACGGAACACCATGCTTAAGCACGCACCGTGTTTAAACATCTTCAGTAGCGCGAGCGACGAGATGTACACCTGCTCCGACGTGTCAACTAAGCGAACGTCTTTACTTGCTACTAATCTGACGCACCGTGTTTAAGCATCTTCAGTAGCGCGAGCGACGAGATGTACACCTGCTCCGACGTGTCGACCGTCAGAGCGTCTATACTCGTGTCTGACCATGCTCAAGCACGCACCGTGTTTAAGCATCTTCAGTAGCGCGAGCGACGAGATGTAAACCTGCTCCGACGTGTCAATTAAGCGAACGTCTTTACTTGCTACTAATCTGACGCACCGTGTTTAAGCATCTTCAGTAGCGCGAGTGACGAGATGTACACCTGCTCCGACGTGTCGACCATCGGAGCGTCCGGCTGAGGCCCCATGCCTCCACCCGCGCTCTGGAATATCCGCTGAAGCCGCTCCATGATCTAAACCGGGCAAACGACCGCCGTCCGATCTGGATTTGCGATCTCCACGCGCGAAACCTGACAAACGACGGCCGTCAAATCTAGACTGGAGAATTCACGGATTTGGTGCTCAGCGCGATGCCGGAAGATGCAACCGAATTTGCAGAAGGCGCCGCACGAATTAGTCTGGAAGTAGTGGCTAGTACGGATATGTATACCTGGTGGTGCCTGGAATGTGCGTCCTGATGAATACCCCTGGATCTATTTGACTTCGGTGCTGGATTGCCAAAAGTTTGGGATTGCTCAAACCCTACTCGACCAATCTAGAAGCTGAATTGACCGTTGTACAACGTACTACATCTTATTGAGCCGCGCACTGATGCTCCCCCTTCCGACAGCTCCTGTGACCAGCTCAAGTGGTTTGTGCTACCGCATTCGCGATACGGAGGGACTCGAGATGCACTACACATAAGAAAAGCAAAACATTGCATGTGGCTACCATGATGCACAATATTCCATTCATAGGGAGGACGGGACGATGATGAACGATTCATTTGTAGTTTGTCAATGCATTTTATTCAATTCATTATGCTAAAAGCTTTTGCAAAACCGAAGACTAAGTCAACTCATCTACCCGCCATCCCCCAGGCCCTTCGCACGCAGCACCTCTCCTCCCCACCACCACTAGACCCTCCACTGAGACCCTTCCCCCCACATTTCCCAACCCACCCATTCTTATAAGCCCTTTGGTGCAGAGTTAGATGGATGGATTACCCTTCAAGCATGGAGATCGCTCCGGATGCTCGGCCACTTGTAATGAGGTCCCTAATCAAGAATATTTTCTGCTCCGGGTTTGGAATGAAGCCTTCGGGGTCCAGGACACGCGGAACGATGCGATCGCACACCAGCGCAGCCGGTGTTGTTATGTCCTGTCAAAATCGCACCGGAAAAATATTAAGATAATGACATTTACATAGGTTGTGCATATACGCTCATTACATGGTTTAGGGCATGTACACATAAAAGCGCAGATATTTCAAAGTTGGATGGGAAGTGGTTATATAACACTCCATAAACCCACCCAAACTCACATGTATCGATTGTAACACATCTTCCTTGCGGGAATATCCGCTCCGTCATACGTAACCAGCAGCACCCATGCATGCGCTCTCCTCAACTCACCTTATACCGATTGAAATTTATCTTCCTCGTATAGATATCCACACCATCATCCATCGGAACAGCAGCATGCGGCTGTAGCACGTCCACGCGCCTGGGGTTGAAGAGTAACCGGCGGTGACAGGCAGCGGCCAGACACACAGTTGCTGACTACTGAGCCAAACAATCCAAGCGTGCACCCACCCCAACTCACCTTGTATCTATTGAAATTGACCTTCCTTGCAGAGATATCCACACCATCATCCGCCGGCTTTACAGCAGCGTGTGGCTGTAGCACCTCCACGCGCCTGGGGTTGAAGAGCAAGCGGCGGTAACCAGCAGCGCCCAGGCAGTGGTCAATGGCTGAGGCGTTGGTGGTGGCGTGGGAGCAGGTGGGGGTGGGCATGCGATACACCATCTGCTGCGCCAGCCACTCCCCCCCTGCTAAAAGACACAAGGGATCGACAGGGAAGAGGAAGAATGTCTCAATGGTATCAATGGGTTCAGTGTGGTACTGAAGTGGTGGTGGCGTGGGAGCAGGTGGGGGTGGGCATGCGATACACCATCTGCTGTGCCAGCCACTCCCCCCCTGATGGGGTAAGGGAAAGGGAGAGAAGGCAGCGGTATTGTGAGTGGTATTATTGGGTTTAAAGCGATGCTTCTGTGGCGGTGGTGGCGTGGGAGCAGGTGGGGGTGGGCATGCGATACACCATCTGCTGTGCCAGCCACTCCCCCCCTGCCACTGGGGATTATCGCAGATGGGAGGGAAGAGGGAGAAGGCAGGGGGATTATGAGTGGTGTCAGTGGGTTCTGTACGGTACTGCAGTGGTGGTGGCGTGGGAGCAGGTGGGGGTGGGCATGCGATACACCATCTGCTGTGCCAGCCACTCCCCCCTGCCACAGGGGTAAGGGAAAGGGAGAGAAGGTAGGGGTGTTAAGAGCATATCAGTGGGTTCAGAGCGGTGCTTGTGTGTTGGTGCTTGTTGCGGTGCTTGTGTGTTGGTGGTAGCGTGGGAGCAGGTGGGGTTGGGCAGAGACAGCCAGCCGTTGAAGGCAAACGGGAGCTCCACCAACCAGTGGGTGGGAGATTGGAAAGCCAAAGGCTACATTCACCTCAGCCTCTACTCACCAGCGGCAGCAGAAGAAGCAGTATCATTAGCAGTACCAGCAGGAGGGGCACACAACTTGATGTTCCACTCATACGACCCCACTGACAGCCACGGAGCGTCCTCATTATCCTCCAGTGTCATTCGCAGCGACAGGCGGCCATTGAGGACAAACGGGAGCTCCTCCAATGTGATGAAAGTGGCCCATCGCGAGGTGAATCGCGCGCGGTAGAGGCAGTCGTTCGTTACAAGCACATCCAGCTGTGCCGAGAGGCTAGAAGAGGGGGGCAATGCAAGGAAGGCAATGACACATGAACCAGCGGGAGGTGAGGCGTGTGCGGTAGAGGCAGTCGTTCGTTACAAGCACGTCCAGCTGTGCCGAGAGGCTAGAGAGGGGGGCAATGCACGGAAGGCAATGACACATGAACCAGCGGGAGGTGAGGCGTGTGCGGTAGAGGCAGTCGTTCGTTACAAGCACATCAAGCTGTGCCGGGAGGCTAGAAGTGGGGGGCAATGCAAGGAAGGCAATGACACATGAACCAGCGGGAGGTGAATCGCGTGCGGTAGAGGCAGTCATTCGTTACAAGCACGTCTAGCTGTGCTGAAAGGCTGCGGTGGAGGTGGGATGGCAGAAAAGGATAGGGAGGAGAAGGGGAATACAAAGAAGATGGTCGTTCGTTACAAGCACGTCCAGCTGTGCGGAGAGGCTGTAGAGGGGGTGGGTGGGTGAGATGGCAGAAAACTGGAGATAAGGGGACTGGAAGAAGGACGCATAAGGACGGAGACATGGACGGTTGTGATGTGACCATCTCTGCGTGAGGCCTTGAGAAATTACAAAAACAGGCGACAGAGAGGAAGAGCACGTAAGAATGGAGGGAGAAAGGGCTTATAAGAAGGAAAGGAGAAGGGCTCACAAAAAGAAGGCTCGTTTTAGTAAGAGAGCCTTTGAGAAAGGGCTCGTAGTATTGTGCATTTAGCAGTCGTACATTTTTTCACTTACTGTGACAAGCCCATAAGTGGTACGATCTCGACCATCCCTGCACTGATGTACGGCCTTAAAGCCTGCCTCAAAGGCTCGTCCATGCCTCCCCCATCGTACACGAGAAAGCTGTCGGCACCGTAATAAGCGAAGAGCTGAATCTGCTCCAACACTCGCTCTGGCCGCACCTGAAGGAGTGAAGAGGGGTAAGAAGAAGGTTGGGGGGGGGGAGGGAGGTTGGGGGAGAGAAGGGAGAAATCGGGGATGCATGGAGAGAGGGACACACATAGCAAACGAGAAAGCTGCCAGCGACGTAATAGGTAAGGAGCCGAATCTTCTCCAACACTCGCTCTGGTTGCACCTGGAGCAGGTGGACAGGGAAAGCGAGGGGGGAATGGAGCAAGGGAGATACAGACAGCAAGTCAACAGCGAGTCAACAAGAGTCAACAAGAGTCAAGCTCATCCGCGCCTCCCTCATCGTACATAAGGAAGCTATCAACAAAACTCAAGCTGTCAGTGATGAGTTGAGTGCAGAAAGTCAATTAACCAGCGGGGAAGCAGCGTGGGAGGATCAAGACTCAGCAGCGTGACAGAACCAGAGGCACATAGCGACCCACATCAGAGACCATAACTGCACTGTACCACACTGCATTTGTACTCACCGGTTGGGTGATGAGTTGAGTTGAGTGCAGACTGTGAGCCAGCGGGGAAGAGGCGTGGCGGGGTTAAGAACCAAAAGGCCATCCGAAGAAGAGGTAAGATTCGAACCAGAGACCTTATCCTGGAGACTCTCATGGCACACCACACCACAGCAGAGCAGAGCAGAGCACACTACCGCACCGCACCGCACTACCGCACCGCAGAGCACTCACCGGTTGGGTGATGAGTTGAGTGCAGACAGTGAGCCAGCGGGGGAGCGGCGTGGGGGGGTTAAGAAGCCCATCCGAAGCAGAGGTACATAGCGACTCACATCAGACACCATAACCGCACTGTACCGCACGGGAAATTGCACTCACCGTTTGGATAATAAGTTGAGTGCAGACTGTGAGCCAGCGTGGGAGCGGCATGGGGGGGTTAAGAACCAGAAGCCCATCCAAACCCATAACTGCATAGCAACCCATATTAGAGCACATTCCCGCATGGTACCGCACTGTGATTGCACTAACTGGTTGTGTGATGAGTTGAGTGCAGACTGTGAACCAGAGTGGGAGCGGCGTGGTGGGGTCAAGGACCAGCATGCCATTCTGAACCCATAATAGCTTAGCAACCCATATTAGAGTTCATTACCGCATGGTACCGCACTGTATTTGCACTCACTGGTTGGGTGATGAGTTGAGTGCAGACTGTGAGCCAGCATGGGAGCGGCGTGGGAGGGTCAAGAACCAGAAGCCCATCCAAACCCATAACTGCATAGCAACCCATATTAGAGCACATTACCGCAAGGTACCACACTGTATCTGCACTCACTTGCTGGGTGATGTGTTGAGTGCAGACAGTGAGCCAGCGGGGGAGCGGTGTGGGGGGGTTAAGAACCAGAAGCCCATCCGAAGCAGAGGTACGATTCGAAATGAAGACCATTTCTGGGAGATTCTCCCTCCTTAGAAGCACCTCGTCGCCGTGTATAGTGGCAAAGAGAACACCAGCTGCAAGGAGATTGCAACAAAGGGCAGGTGGGTAGGATTTGAGGTGAAATATTTTCCCTCCTTATAAGCACCGCGTCGCCGTGTATAGTGGCAAAGAGCACCCCAGTTGCCAGGAGATTGCAACAAAGGGCAGGAGGGTAAGTTCTGGGACGGAAGATTCTCCCTCTTTATGAGCACCTCGTCGCCGTGTATAGTGGCAAAGAGAACACCAGCTGCCAGGAGATTGCAACAAAGGGCAGGTGGGTAGACTTTTGAGCCGACTTAAATTTCCCTCCTTTTAAGCACCTCGTCGCCGTGTGTAGTGACAAAGAGGTGTCCCGGCTGCCAGGAGATTGCAACAGAGAGCAGGTGGGCAAGTCCTGGGAGAAAAAAAGAAACAGAGGACTATTAGCTTGACAATACATAGGAGAGAGTTGGCTGCTGCTGCTAATAGTTTGCTCAACAAATTAGCAGCAGCCATACAGGTGGATTGTTATTTACATCCCATTTTGGTCAGCAGTTAGGGTAATTTTGAAGGAAAATCAGTAAAAAATCACGAGAGGAAGTAACTGCGCGAAACCAAAAGCCTTTTGCGCCATCAATTGCCCCACTCGCCAGAGTCAGCAGGAGTGGGAGCAGACAGAATGCACACTGCATAACCATCACACTCATACAGTGACACCGTGCTGCTGCTGCATTCATTGTCGTAGTTTCTCCTTTGGCATCTCTAACCTCAGCTTCAATTAGGGGAAAGTCACTCACCAACGTCAACAGGAGTGGGAGCAGACAGCATGCACACTGTAAACCATCACACTCATACAGTGACACTGTGCTGCTGCTGCTGCTGCTGCTGCTGCTGCTGCTGCATTCATTGTCGTATTGTAGTTTCTCCTTTGGCATCTCTAACCTCAGCTTCTATTAGGGGCAGAGTGTTGCTGTACGAGTCAGCAACACTCTATTAGGAGAAAGTCACTCACCAGAGTCAGCAGGAGTGGGAGCATTCAGCGTGCACTGTATAATCACAGTCTCATACAGCAACACTCTGCTGGGATCCCCAGGTGGTAACCCATTCACCTTAAGCCCTTTGGTATCCTCCGGAAAATAGTAAACCAGCGTTCCCTGGGATACCAACGAGGGAGAGGGGAGGGGCGGGTGGAAGGAGGAGTGGTGGCAAGAGGGTTGACTATAATCACAGTCTCGTACAGCAACACTCTGCTGGGATCCCCAGGCGGTAATTCGTTCACTTTAAACCCTTTGGTAACCTCTGGAAAATAATACACCAGAGTTCCCTGGAATCATGAAGACAAGAGAGGGGAGGGGGAGGCAAGGCAAGGCGCGAGTCACTCTGCCAGCCAGTAGTTCGAGATCATGCCATGTGTCATCATGTTGACCTTACCCAATTTCACTAGGAACATGCCATGTGTCATTAACTCCAGTCAATAGGATCCTGCCACGTGTCCTTACTGGAATAACCCTGGGTCCGTCCAGGGAGATCCACAGGCATGTCTCCTCCCTGCTTCGGGCAACCAAGCGGTGAGGTGAGGTGTAGTGCAGTGCGGTGCAGTGCTAATGGATGGATGGACCCTCCAGTGCTCACCGATCTTTTTTTTTTAAATCGCAATATTTTCATATTGATAAAGGATAAGAATTTTCCAGCAGTTCCTTATTGCCCTGGGCCCTTCAAGTGAGATCCACTGGCACGTCTCCTCCCTGGCCCCCCACAGGTACCTCCCTGCCCGTGAGACAGCACAGCAATCAAGCAGCTGTGCGGTGCGGTGCAGTTCGGTGCAGATGGGAAGTGCTCACCGGAATAGCCCTGGGCCCTTCAAGGGAGATCCACAGGCACGTCTCCTCCCTGGCCCCCCACAGGTACCTCCCTGCCCGTGCGCCCAGCCCCACGACTGCAAAGGCGGAGGCGTGCAGGCGGTGGGACGAGGCGAAGATGAAGGTGGGCATGCCGCGTGGGGTGAAGAGGCCTGGGGGGAGTGGGGGAAGAAAGGAGGGGATATAGACAAGGGGAGGACAGGGGGGGGAGTGAGGTGCGCCGAGCCCCACGACTGCAAAGGCGGAGGCGTGCAGGCGGTGGGACGAGGCGAAGATGAAGGTGGGGATGCCTTTGGGTTGGAAGAGGGCTGGGGGAGAGAGGGGGAGGGGATGGAGAAAAGGAAGGTGGGGGTATTAACGATTGGTGGACAGGGGAGGGGAGATTGGTGCCCGCGCGCCCAGCCCCACAACTGCAAAGGCGGAGGCGTGTAGGTGGTGGGATGAAGCGAAGATGAACGTGGGCATGCCGCGTGGGGTGAAGAGGCCTGCAGGGAAGGAAGGAGGGAAAGATGGGAGGGGGAGAAAGGGTGTCACGACAGTGGTGGAACAAGGAATAGGGGAATGAGGTAATATCTTGCTTTTGAGTCGACTCAAAATAAGGTAGTACTTTGAGCTGACTGGGAGACACATGGAGGCGTGGAGGCGTGGAGGCGGCGGTGGGATGAGGCGAATATGAACGTTGGCATGTCGTGTGGGGTGAAGAGGCCTGGGGGAATAGGAGGGGAGAGTGGAGTGGGATGGGTGGTTCACGACTCAATGGGGGAAATGTGACTGCATCGAATGACACTGAGGACAGAGTGGCTCTAACGCAGGATGGTTGCGTGGTTGGCCCCAAAGGTGGTTACCCTGGTCTCTGGTATTGAGAGACGAGGGATTGCTGCTTCCTCTTAGAGACATCAATGACAGGAATGACTCTCTGGTCGGACGTTCCGGGTTACTCTGAGGGCTATTTACGGGCTGGTAGGGTAGCGGGGAGGCTGGTAGAGTAGCTGGGTGAGAGTCTGGCGCTCCTTGGAAGGAAATGTAATTATATTGAAGGCTCAGATCGGACGGCAGAGTGACTGTAATGCAGTATATATTGGATTACCTTGAGGGTTATTTGCCGGCTGGAAGGGTAGTTGGGTAAGGCTCTGAAACTTAGTGAGATCGTGATTCCCTACCATGACACGGATGACAGAGTGACAGTAACGGAGACAGTTAGGGTTACCTTGAGGGTTGTTCGCTGGTTGATAGGGTAGCTGGGTGAGGCTCTGGCACTCCTTAGCGAGAAATGTGATTCCATTGAGCGAGACTGACGGGAAGAGTGACTTAAACGGGGTCGGTATAATCGAGGGAAGGGTGGGATTGGGGAGGTACGAGAGCGAACGGCGGTGCCATATGTTGTGCGAGACGAGCACGAGGAGGCATAGGACGAATGAATAATGGAAGAGCGGTGACATTGTGTCTAGGCTCGCTGCTTATAACCGGTCACTGCTTAAAACGGATTCGCAGAAGTTATTGCTCCAAATAACCTCTTGTCAGTCCCCTTAGCCCTCCCTAACGTCCATTACCCTCCTGAATCAACTCCAATATGACTCTACCTATAGTCTACTACAGCATAGCTACGAATAACCGCTCAACACAGACGCCATTGTGCCCGTTGTTCCTAGGTTTCCCCCCACAACGAGAATTTAGGACCAACAGTATGAAATTGGGTTGGTTGGGTTGGGACCCAAAAATACGTGCACCTAACAGTGTACACACCCTCTTTCTTTTGCTCATTTGTAGGCAAATATTCACCACTACATCTACGTTCGCTACCAGATTTTACTGTTCAGGGTTGTGAATTTGAAGAAAACTGATTCCAAATAACCGCAAGAAATCCATTATGATTGCTTTGTAACGGGCAGCCGGTAGTTTTCGTTATCCTGGTTGAAACTTTAAACCACATCAGCTGCTCTGACACACGCTTTGGAACTTCCTTGCCAGTACCCACGCGCGAAGCAACCCGTGTTCGAGTCTTCACAAATCTATTTCTCGGCTGCTCCTCTCCCATTCCCATTCCCGTGCATCTCCAGTTCTTAGCTCCATCGTATTCTCAGCTCCTTCCTCTTTTTCGTCTAGTTTGGTCTATTACTTCTCCTAGTCGATCTCGTAAATGATAGATTTCGCGTTACTTTTCAGTGTTCGTCGCGTTGTGTCTTCCGCCAGCTAAGTAACAGTGCAGTACTACGTGCCACCTTAGTAAGCAGCGAAAGTTCTTTCTTGTCGGGACCCAGAACTTCGTAGCTTTCCGTCGTTTGTACGCAGCACGGCTTGCTCTCACTCATTCCGTAGCTCCTCCCTTCAAATCAAGCACCAGACCTCCAAAGCCACGTCAGCATCCATGTCGACGTCCACGTCATCTGCAGTATCTCCACCGGCGGAATTGTACGAGCAATCTGTGGCGATCCTGACCCGTTTAACGGAGAAATGGAGCAACATGGAGGAGGAGGAAGCGAGGATTCGACGAGCGACGGAGGCTACCAAGAGGCTCGTGGGTGTCTGCGCTGAGAGGGATCGAGCCATGGCCAGCCTGATCGACCGTACGTACTATGAACTCTGCGTTTAGTCATGCTTTAGAAATCTCAAAAGGTTTTGTGCGAATCCGAGAGGTTCTGTGAGAGTCCATGAGGTTTTGATCGAGCAATCCGTGGTGATTCTGACCGGTTTGAAGGAGGGATGGAGCTTCGTGGAGGAAGAGGAAGCGAGGACTCGACGAGCAACGGAAGCTACCAAGAGGCTCGTGGGTGTCTGCGCTGAGAGGGAACGAGCCATGGGCAGCCTGATCGACCGTACGTATGGCATCGTGGCTAGCGTCAAGACAGTATTTATTCAAACGACTCGTTTTTACTTCTCGTCCAAAAAAAAAAAAAAAAAAAAAGAGGAATTATGGACCGTTATGGATAGAGAAGAAGTTCATCGACGGTAGATATCCCATATTGACGAAAGTATCCGTTCCGGGTTGAGGGAGCAGCAGGTGGTGTCCGACATGAGGGCAAAAAGCGAGGCAGTCGTAAGAAGGAATGCACCTCCCGTTTGCCTCTCCCCCAGATGCTCGCAGCAGGTGGTGTCGGAAATGAGGGAGGGAGTGGGGGAGCTGCAGAGGAACCTGGAGGGGGAAGGATGCAATTCGTGACAGCAATAACAACGGAGGAATGACCGCGTGCCCTGTGTGTTGTATCACCCCTTTCACCCCTCCCTTGCTGCCCTCGCAGGCTCACAGCAGGTGGTGTCGGAGATGAGGGAGCGAGTGGGGGAGCTGCAGAGGGACTTGGAGGAGGATACAGCGAGGGTGGACGAGGCAAAGGAGCAGAAGAGCGAGCAGGAGGCGGAGATCAATGCGCTCGTGGAAAAGGTGTGCGTGGGGGACGTCATGTGTGTGTGTTTCATAGACTTCATATTGAGTTCAGTGGTAAGTTTTTCCAAGTTAAACGCTACAGAGGGACTTGGAGGAGGATGCAGCAAGGGTGTGCACGAGGCGGAAATTAACGGTTTTGTGGAAAAGGTGTGCATGGGAGAGATAAGTCATGAAGTGTGCGTTGAGTCTGAGTCAAAAACGGTACAGAAACTTGGAGGCAATGATAAGGCATTTCACGAATCCATTCTAAACTCGCCTCCATTCCCTCTTGGCTGGCGCATGCTTCTCTCTGTTCCACTGCAGGTGAAGGAGTATCAGGCGAGAATCAGCAAGCTCATGCGAAGGCAAGAAGAGCTTCGGGAGAAGCGAGCAGATCTTGAAGCAGATGCAGACCAACGGACCACCAAGATACGGTGAGGAGGGGGGAGGAACACTGGAGAAGTGGGGAAGTGGGGGCGGGGGGGGGGAGGGACAACGAATCTTGTCGCGGGAGAATCTTGAGGCAGAGGCAGACCAACGGACCACCAAGATACGGTGAGGAGGGGGGAGGAAGGTCGGAGAAAAGGGGAAGGGTGTGTGAGTGTTGGTGTATGTGTGTGTGAGGTTGCATGTGATAGCTGCCCATCCTTCTCCTCCCCGCTGTTCCGCTCCTTCCATTGCCAGCAAGGACCGGTTTGTCAGCACATTCGTTTTATAGTGTACGAGTGTTCGTGTCGTGTGGGTGCGACATGTGTCCTTCCTTCCCATCCACACCCACCTTTCCTCCACCAGCAAGGAGATTGTTCTCTTCTCGGGGTTCACGAGCATCCGGCTTGATGTGGCCGTGAAGGACTGGTTGTGTTGGTGTCTGTGATCACTGTCCATTGTCTTCCCTCTGCACCACACTGCACCCCTATGTTCGCCAACAAGGAGATTGTTTTCTTTTCGGGTTTCACGAGCAACTGCCCGGATGTGGTCGTGAAGGACCGGTTCGTCGGCACGTTGGTGCGTATGATAATTAATCAGTTTCTTCCCTCTTCACCGCACTGCACCCCTCTGCCCAATACCAGCAAGGAAATTGCTCTCTTCTCAGGTTTCACGAACATCAAGCTAGATGTGGACGTGAAGGACCGGTTCGTCGGCACGTTGGTGTGTGTGATGATTGTCGATTCTCTTCCCTCCCCACCGCACTGCACCCCTTTGTTTGACGCCAGCAAGGAGATTGCTCTCTTCTCGGGGTTCACGAACATCAAGCTAGATGTGGACGTGAAGGACCGGTTTGTCGGCACGCTGGTGCACCCCTCAGGCAACCCCGAGCTTGCCAGGCCCGTTGACTTTGACACCTCCGCCGCCAATGCCACGACTGTAGCCTACCAACTGTGGAACATGATATGAGCGTCGGACAATTCTTTTGATGCTGCTGCTGCCAACAGTCAGCACGTTGGTGCGCCCCTCAGACAACCCTGAGCTCGCCAGGACCGTTGACTTTGACAGCTCTGCCGCCAACACACACCACGGTTGCCTACCAGTTGTGGAACATGATCTGAGCATCATAAATTTCACCCCATAGTTGTATAGCTTAGTTTGACTGGTCGTCCATCCACATTAGTGTTCCCGATAAATAAAACTGCATGTGAAGCCTTACAGCACCATCATTGCCACCGTTACCAGCTGTAGCAAGCTAGAGGGCTATATATAACACTGATGTGATGTGACTATTACCGGTAGTTTATGGCAGCCTCAATGCAGCCTTGTTATTACCTATTCCAAACATGGCACCCGTTGGCGCTCTACCACAATACCAGAACCACGATGGAATAGTGTTGGCTAACATATTTATTTATATAATGTGGTAATGAGTTTAAACATTTTCTCGAATGATAACCGGAATACATTTTCCTTCATATCAATCTTATCGAGAAATAGCTGGAGAACCTAATAGCGATCCCCCCTTACGCATCTTCGACCCGTGGCTGGCGAGGAAGTCTCTCTTAGGCTTCATTCCAGCGCAAATTTTGCCTAACATATTTCCTCCTCCCATATTTATCTCTGATGGCTTCCATACCTCCTTCATCTGCAGTGCTGCTGTGCTCCTTGACCCTAGTCATTCTCTACCTATCGGCGTCTGCTAAGGCGAGGAATGTGACAACGGTGTTGACACCATTCGACGAAGCTGTTCAGAAGCTCAATGCTTCAGGCTACACCAGTTTCGTCTCCCTGGTCAAGCTTTACGGTACTCACAAACTGATGTTTTATTTCAACGAACCATACGCCCACGGAGGGGTCTAACTTTTCCGTCGTAAACAGGAAATCGGAAGGAAATAACAGATGCGTTGAAGAAGCCACTGACGATGCTCGTGCCAAGCAACGCAGCGTTCGTCAAGGGAAACCTGACTCATTATAGCAGCATCAAGATTGCGACTCTCGTCTCATTTCACGCTCTTGAAGGAGTCCTTACTGAATTCCAGCTTCAAATGCTGAAGCCAGGAACTCAAATCCCCACATTGGCAACAGATGCGAAGACCAAGAAGCCATTAATGCTCGTTAATCTTTCAAAAGCCAGTACGAAGAGCAAAGTTATTCTGGAAGGAAGGCGAGGTCCGACGAAAAGCACCCTGATGATTGTTAAAGGTGACTTCTACGTGAAACCAGGAGAACTGGCGGTTCATACTACTGACGCCATTGCTCTCCCAAGCGGATTCTAGTGGAATAACTTGCTAGGTACTGACTACTTGTCAAGACCTTACCGACGACGGAGTCAAAGTTGAGTGCATGCATACCGGCAACATAGCAAGACCAAGGCAGTACGTGACGGTGACAATCTTGGAAACTTGTGCTTGGATAAGAACTGAAGATGCATGTTATTTATAGCAAGATGAAGTACCGTAAAGTGCCACCTATAGGACCCGGGGGACTCTCTACAAATGCTCTAAAAAGTGCTAGGGGGACCCTCTGGCGGTTGCAAATTTTTAAGACCCGGGGTACACTTATTTATCAACTATCATTCTGTTCTTTAGGGTGTACGGCTTAATTCGGGGCGGGGGGGACTTATATTTGTAACGAAAAACATCATTCGTCCGCAGATTTCGCGCGAGCGGCGCGTCAGATCTGTGTCAGAACTCGAGTCTGACACAAACAGAGTGTCAGAATTCGAGTCTGACACAAAAAATCGTGTCAGAATTCAAGTGTCTGCCAATAAAAACTGACTCACAATAGCAATGACAACTACTGTATACAGAAAGGGGGGTCTTATGATGATTAAGGGCAGAAGGGGGGTCCTCACAAAACCTTCCCAAATAAGAGTCCCTCTGCTCCTTCAAGAGTCCCGGGGACCCTCTTACCGGCGGGTCCTATAGGTGGCACTTAACGGTAGGTTCACTTCATGTGAACACGGCACTTCAGAGACTATAGTAATAAACATCTGTCCTGTTCTCTTTGAAAGGAATGGATCCTGGATCAGACATTTTTTGTCTGTTTGGCTTATCATCAGACATATTTTTTGGGATTCATCTGATGGGCCGGTCTGCATCAGACAAACTTTTTTTTTTTGCCCGGGGGCCCCGTCTGATGCATCAGACACCCCTCAGACCCTAGCAACGACCCTGATCCACATACGGTACTTATACACCTTCCCATCCCATCCCACAGACCCACCTACCGTAATAAGGTGCTCAACTCAGAGTGACCAACATTACTCGAAAAGGGTTAGTGTTTCTGGCATTTTATCCACATCAGTCGGCCCACCAGAACCCTCTGCCTTGGCCGGGCTAATTGCTGCAGCCATGAGGCTTCCTCCATCCCCATCTTGCAATGGGACTGCTTTCTTACCAATGGGCATGGTCAATCCAGGCTGGTCCCCACTAGAAGCACCTCCACCTGTCAATGTATGATCATCACTCAACGCTGCACTAGCAGCCCGAGAAGGAGCAGCCACGTCCGTTGGATCTCTCACAGATCCTTCATCTGCAGCCTTCGAATCTTCTGAAGCATGTACATCACCAACCGTTGGATTTTCTGACGCCTGTGCGGCCACAGCCGTCGGATCTCCAGATGTCGTCTGTGCAGCTGCCAGCATGGCTTCCTCTCTCACAATCACACTCGCAGGCGACTCGGGGAGTCTGGCCCACAGGAACCCCCGTGGGGAGGAGGTGGGGAAGAGAGGTGAATTGCAAGAGGAGAATACTGAGAATGGGGATGGTTGTGGGTACGGAACAAGAGGAGAGTCAAGAGGCCGAGAGAAAAGGCCTGGAGATTGCTTTGGGCTCGGACCAAGAAGACCAGCAGAAGATGCAGCAGCAGCAGCATTACCACCACTGGCAACGGCACCACCAGCAGCAGCACCAGCATTGGCTGCAGTGGCAGCAGCGGCAGACAAGGGAGGAGAGGGAGGGGAGGAGCTGGAGGGGGAGGAGGAGGAGGGGATGAGAGGAGGTTGGGGGGATATGAGCGGGCGGATGGGGGGAGGGGCAAGAGATTGCAGGCGAGTGACTTGGCGGGGCCTAGGGGGACGAGGCTTGCGGGGAAGCATGGAGGAGAAAAGGTGGGAGGAGGGGAGGAGAGGAGGCTTGCTGGCTGAGAAAGGGATATGTGGAGGGACGTTGGGTCGAGGCAGGAGGGGTGGTAGGGCGGAAGTGGGATGTTGCTTCTGCTGCTGCTGTAGCTGTTGCTGCTGATGCCCTTGCTGTTGATATTCTTCCTGTTGATGCTCCTGCTGCTTCTCCTGCTGCTCCTCCTGCCCTTGCAGTTGATGTTTTTCCGATTCTTGTTCCTGCTGCTCCTCCCCCTGTGCCTGCTGTCCATCTCGCTCTAGAGCTCCTAGTGCAAACGGTTCCTCAACATTTTGCTGCATTTGCTGCACCTGCTGCAGCTCTTCCTGTGCCTGCTGTCCATCTCGCTCTAGAGCTCCTAGTGCAGATTGTTCATCAACATTCTGCTGCGTTTGATCTAACTGCTGCTGTGGCTCCGGCTTCTGAGCCTGCTGCCCATCTCGCTCTAGTTCTCCTAGCGCAAACACTTCCTCCACATTCTGCTGCATTTGCTGCGCCGGCTGCTGCACCTGCTGCTGCACCTGCTGCTGCACCTGCTGCTGCTCTTCCTGTGCCTGCTGCCCATCTCGCTCTGGAGCTCCCAGTGCATTCTGTTGCATCTGCGTTTGCGTTTGCTGATGCACCGACTGATGCACCTGCAGCTGCGGCTGTGGCTTCTGTGCCTGCTGTCCATCTCGCTCTAGAGCTCCTAGTGCAAACGGTGCCTCAACATTTTGCAGCATTTGCCCAAACTGCTGCTCGGCCTGCTGCTGCTGCTGTTGCTCCAGCTGCTGCTGCAGCTGCTCTTGCTGCTGTCGCTCCAACTGCTGCTCCAACTGCTGCTGCAGCTGCTCTTGCTGCTGTTGCTCCAACTGAGGCTGCAGCTGCTGTTGTTCCAACCGCTGCTGCTCGTCCACCCGCATCCGCTTTTGAGGAACCTCGAAAAACGGAAGCTGCCAGTCTGCTTGCCCCTGTATCTCATCTACCCGCATCCGCTTTTGAGGACCCACAGTAAGAGGCTGCTGTTCGTCTCCTGCAAAGGTTCGCTCAATCTGCTGCTGCTGCTGCTGCTGCTGCTGCTGCTGCTGCTGCTGCTGCTGCTGCTGCTGCTGCTGCTGCTGCTGCTGCTGTTCCCCCACCGCTTTTCTGCGACTAACGGCTTGTGACAATAACGAAATAATGCCAGGATTCAGCTGGAGGCACATTGCCAGCCTCGAGCTTGCCACGCCTCCACTAATCCCAGTAACTGTATTTCCTGTTCCCAAATTTCCAGTTACTGTACGTTCTGTTTTGATATAATCTGTTACTGTATCTCCTGCTCCCAGAAACCCTGTTCCAGGGTTCCCCGTTACAAAGGTTTCTAATACAGTCCTTCCCGTCTCAGCGTCTCCTGCGGTTGCTTGACGCATCAATGCATCAAAATCGCCGTCTGCAAGGCCTTGATTTGCTGTATCTCCGCTGCTAGCAACCCCAGTAACAGCAGCTTCGATGCTAGCATCTCCCGTATTAGCAGCTTTAATATCAGCAGTCCCGATATTCGCAGCTCTAATATTCGAAGCTGCAATATTAGCAGCCCCGATATGAGCAGCTTCAATGTAAATTGCAGGCTGCTGCTGCAACGGCTGGTGTTCATCTGTGGCTTCTAATGCTTCGCATGGAGAAGTTACCAGCTGCAGATTTTCGCTTGAGTTCGTCGCCCAGAGTTGCTGACGCTGCAGAACCTGCTGCCCCAAACATTGCTGCTGCTGCTGCTGCTGCTGCTGGGACGACGGTTGTTGCCGTTGTTCATGCCTCTGCTGCAGCTGCTGCTGCCATTGCACCTGCAGCGGAAGGGCCGCCGCTGCTGCCCCTTTCGGGTTTTGGCCCGACTCGGGAGCCTTCTTTTGTGTCTGCTGCTGTTGTCCCTGCCTCTGCTGCTCCTGCTGCTGCTGCTGCTGCTGCTGCCATTGCATCTGGAGCGGAAGCACCGCCGCCCCCGCGGGTTGCGCCGCTCCGCCAGACGCCCCCCCTCCTCCGCGTGGCCTTCCGCCGCCAGGCTCAACCCCGCCTCTGCGTGCCCTTCCCCCTGCTTCAACCCCACTCCCGCGCGCCTTCCCCCCAGACCCGCGCGCGGGTCCCCCTTCCGCGGCCTCTGGGGCTGCGCCTGTGAGCTCTTGAACCAGCGACCGGAAATTCGCCACATCCGTTTGAATCACCTTCGCTTCGAGAACAACGGCTTTGGCTTGTTTCTTCCCACTCGCCTTCCCTATTTTCTTAGAGTTTTTATCTACGCCAAGTCCTGGTGGATTAGCGGGGGCCATGATGGGAATTGAAAATCTCCGGTCTGCCCTAAAAACACTTACATGTGGGGAGGAAATTCCAGGACGTTCGGAGGGAGCGGAGGATACTAGTTTAGAGTGACGAAGGTAGGTGATTGCACGAGAACAAAGCGAGTAAGCTTGAAAACCCTTGAAGAACACACTATGCACTGTTAAAGACTATTGCAAATTGACGTATTGATATTGGAGATGTCTGACTACTAATGTAGTCTAATATACAGATGATACGCGGCGCGGTGGCCTGTAAGGCGTGTTTCGTGGCGGCAGAAGCAGTAGAAAACAGCAAGGTAAGTACCGAAATGTAACGCTACGTGGATCACACCCGAGTTTACTTCCGGCGGCATGTAATATGTATTGGAACGATCGAGTTACCACAACCCGTCGTCAACAAATCGCAATACAACTTCCACACTTTTCTAGGCGCGTCTGGAAACGCGTTTCAATGCAGCGGGCCCGCTACGTTTGACTCGAGCAAAAGCAAGGCAACCATGGGAAAGGAGGAGACTCGTAGTGTACAAGGTACAGTGCTGTGCCTTTCCCTCTTCTGTGCCTTTCCCTCTTCTGCCTTCCTTTTGGTGTGGGTGGGGGAAGGCTCCCAAGAGCGTGAATTTGCTGCAGGGTGGTGAAAGCTGGAAGGCGGAATGCCTGATGGGGGAAGGTCGAAGATGAAACAACCGAGATAGTCAACGCTTGGTTCTCTGCGGTAAATTATGCGTTCGACGAATTTCAGTACGGTGCATTGGGAATCCTTCGACTGGTGACTGCCGGATGGGCGCGCGATTTCCAAAGCGTTGACCCCGCCAGGCTGGTTTTCGCGCGTGTGCGCCAAGGCATTTGGGCGCAGGGTGCCTGTCAGCGGAGCGGACCCCTCGATGCGGGTATTGCCTGAAGATACAAGCTCCACAGTACAGAGTAAAAGCATCCCCGGTAAAGAAACCCATAAAGCTGAACGGATAATCAAGTACGTCAACACATTTCAGTTTATCACCTAAATTTCAGTTTGTGCTTGCCCATTACTCACTGATTGGCTACCTGGATGCTTGGCCTGGCCTGAACCAAAATGAGTGTTCGGCTGGAATCATATATCAGGGCACAAAACACAGCACACAGTCAAATGCTCTATAATCAGCTGGTGGCCCTCGCTGATGGGCTAGATGCTCCGATTCAAAATGATTGTTTAGTTGTACAATAACTACAGTAGCATATACGCTGCACAATTAAGCCAAGTGCTCAATAATCAGCTGGTGGCCCTCACTAATGGGTTCCTTAGTGCGAACAGCCTGCGCCAGCATAGGCATATCCGTGGAAGCATCCAGGAAGTTGCTGAGGTAGAGCAGCAGGTGAAAGTCTGCAAGGCGGTCGGCCCATGGCTTGGAGCGGGTGCGATCCAGATGCTGCTTAAGGTCGTTCTGAGTGGGTAGGATCACCCGATTTTCCACAGGAAAAGTTGTTGAGAGAGGGCCCTGGGGAAATGAAAGTGGGAGAGAAAGATGGGCAGGGGAATGGGGGCAAAAAAGGACTTCAAAGTTGTTAGAAGAGCCACATTTGGACCGTCTGAAGAGTGAGCACATGAAAGTCTGCAAGGCGGTCGGCCCATGGCTTGGAGCGGGTGCGATCCAAATGCTGCTTCAGGTCGTTCTGCTGAGTGGGAAGGATCACCCTGTTCTCCACAGGGAAGGACGTTGTCAAAGGACCCTGTGGAGAAGGAAAGAACCAAAGGAAGGAACTCAAGGGTCACTAAGGCAGTCGGCCCATGGCTTGGAGCGGGTGCGATCCAAATGCTGCTTCAGGTCGTTCTGCTGAGTGGGAAGAATCACCCTGTTATCCACAGGGAAAGATGTTGTGAGAGGGCCCTGGGGGGGGGGCAAATAGGGAGTAATAGTGATGCAGGGATAGGGGGAAATGGGGAGAGGGGAATGGAAACATCACCAACAGCAAATGCTGCTTCAGGTCGTTCTGCTGAGCGGGAAGAATCACCCTGATCTCCACAGGAAAAGAGGCTGTCAGGGGGCCCTGGGTTTTACAGCATACACTCCATATCGAGTACATCTCTCACCTGATGGTCCACAATTTTGATCGGCATGAGAAAGAAGTCATTATCCACCTCCTTGGTGTCCCTCCCAGCCACCACCACCTCGTTCCTCATTCTAGACACCTTCGGATCAACCTCTTTCTCCTCCTCCTCCTTCTCCCCCTTCCCCCCACTCTTCCCCTTCTCCTTCTCCCCCACCTTCCCCTTCCCCTTATCGCTTCCCCCGCCTTCCCCCCCTTCCTCCTCCCCCCTTCCATCCCCTGCAAACCACCCTTCCCGGTACAGCTTCAGGCACTGATCACTTAGTTGAAAGGCCTCAAAATGCACGTCTCCGCCCCCATCCCCTTCTTCATCCACTAAAAGTTTCACCAGCACGATCGCAAAGTACTTAAACGGCTCCTCTCCTTCCCCCTCTCCTTTCTTCTCTCCTCCTTCCCCTCCTGCCACCCCATCCCCGTTCCCCCTTTCCCCTGCCTGCGCACCCGCTGTCCCTGCAGCGCTCTCTTCCCCCTCCGTGCCCCCCTTTTCCCCGCTGCTATCCCTAGCGGTAGCACAATGAAGCCTAGCTGAGAGAAGAAGGTCGGAAGCAGAGAGAGTAAAGGAGTGCTCCTGTGCCTGTTGATCCTCTGCGAGGGTTTGAGTCACGATGAAGCCCACACAGCGCATGCCTAACCCCACTGCTATCGCCGCTACCGCCTTCTCTTCAGCTGTGAGGGAGGGCATGGGAAGTAGAGAGAGTAAAGGCTTGCTCCTGTGCCTGTTGATCCTCTGCAAGGGTTTGAGTCACGATGAAGCCCACACAACGCATGCCCAGCCCTGCTGCTATCGCCGCTACCGCCTTCTCCTCCGCTGCTTGGGAGGAAGGGAGCGAGGGAGCGAGGGAGCGAGTGAGGGAGTGACGGCGTGTGTGTGTGTGTGTGTGTGTGTGTGTGTGTCTGTGTGTGATATTACTCGCACATGCATAATCCCACCCACCTTCATTGGAAAAGATCCGCAGGGTGTGCTCTGTGCCGTGCTGAGGGGGCTTATAAATGAAATTCACCAGCACATGCCCATCCTCCCTTGGAGGTGACGTACATGCGTGCGAGTGTGTGAGTTTATGCGTTGGTTGCTGTACTCAGCTTAGACATGTGTACCCCCACCTTCGAAGATCTGCAGAGTGCGCTCTGTGCCGTTCTAAGGCAGCTCATAAATGAAATCCAACAACTCGTGCCCATCCTCCCTTGCATGTGAACCTGTGTGCATGTGTGCCTACACCTATGCGCCTTCTTGGAACCATGATAATACGCACGTTCGTTGGAGAAAATCTGCAGCGTGTGCTTGGTGCCGTGCTGCGGCGGCTCGTAAATGAAATCCACCAGCACGTGCCCATCCTCCCTTGCATGTGCATGGATTCTAGCGTGTGTGTGTGTCTATCCCTGAGCCTTTGCGTACTCATACCTAATCCCACCTTCACTTGAAAATATATGCAGCGTGTGCTCTGCTCTGTGCCATGCTGGGGTGGCTCGTAGATAAAATCCACCAGCATGTGCCCATCCTACCGCACCTCCCGCACCTCCCTTGCATGTGAACGTACATTCACAAGCCCGTGCGCACAGTAACAGCAGCCCACCTTCACTCTGGAATATCTGCAGCGTGTGCTCTGTGCCGTGCTGTGGCGGCTCATAGATGAAATCCACCAGCACGTGCCCATCCTCCCTTTCAGGTGAGCTTATGTGTATGTGTGCCCCTATGCCTATGCGCGTTCACGGTTATATTCTGCCGGCACAGAGCACACCCTGCAGATATTTTCCACCCGGCACCCTACCGTCGCACCCGGCACGTGCCGCCTGCACGTATATGAAATCCACCAGCACGTGCCCATCCTCCCTCCCTCCCTTGCATGTGAACATAGACAGTAGACTCACAATCCCATGCGCACAGTAACAGCAGCCCACCTTCGTTGGAAAAGATCTGCAGCGTGTGCTCTGTCCCATGCTGAGGCGGCTCATAGATGAAATCCACCAGCACGTGCCCATCCTCCCGCACCTCCCCGAACAGAAAGCCGCCTCGCTTGATTGAAAACGCCAGGCTGTCATGCACGTAGTGCTGGGAGTGGGGTGAGAGGGGGGATGGCAACGGGAGGGAGTGTTGTCCTCGTTACAGAGCACCTCGGTATACAGGAACACCTGCTCATTTAAGTCCTCCCACACCTCCCCGAACAGAAAGCCGCCTCTCATGATTGAAAAAATGCCAGGCTGTCATGCACGTAGTGCTGGGAGTGAGAGGGGAGGGTGTGTGAAGAGGGAGGGGGTATGGGAGGGAGGGGGTATAGGAGGGAGGGGGTATGGGAATTGAGGCTGGGAAGGGAGGAAAAACGACGAGCGAGCTTAAATCACTTGAATTCTGATTCACAGCAATCCTGATCCCTAGGATTCAATTTCTGTAACAGTAACCTCACCTGAAACACGTTCGCAGCGTCGCGATCGAACGACACCTGCTGACAGTGCGACGTCTCCTGTCGCTCGATTCGCATCTGTCGCGCGACCATGTCGCTCACCGTCATGTGTCGCCCGAACGACCCCGCGGGAACGACAGGCACCGGCGGCCCTGCGACAGTTCGCGAAGCACTGTATTTCGCGAACACTATGCTTCCATGGCCTATACCTAGCGACTCTAGCGACACGGATGGATCCGCTAAGTCTTTAAACTTCTCTGGGTCGGTTGAAAGGAGAAGCGATTGGTCTGTAGAGAGGATCAGATCGGCCAATGGGATCGCGAGCTGCTGCGAGATTTGCGCGTGGAGGCCAGAAACGGTGGCCTCTGATTCGTCCAGCTGGACTCGCTCCAGGCCGTCGCGACTCCGTACGCGTAAGGTGATTCGTTTTCCCGCCATCACGGGGATAACGAAAACGACACGCCTAAAATATACCGAGGTGAACTTAAGCAGGAGATGGTACTACGAGGTAAGGCAATCCAGAAGGTTTTGAGATGAGCAAACCACCTGGCCAACCCCGAAACTGGCTTGCTCTCAGTTGGGAATTCGAGGACGGGAGACGAAGAAACGCGAGAAAGGGCGGCAGAAGACTTTGATTAGGGCGAGTATAACACGAAGGGAAAGGCTGTCGAATATTGTGAGAGGCGAGACACACCCCAAAAGGCGGAATCTGCGGTATGCAGAATGTGGAATCTTACTAGCAAGCTCTGAATTCCGCTTTCATCCATGGCCAGAAAGCAGGTGCAGGGGAGGAGGATGTATTGACGAGGATTTCTCAACTCGATACAACAACACGCAGAGCTACAATCTCGCGAGTGTTTATGAATTCAACGATACACAGTTGCAGATTAAAAGTGCACCCGGAATGACTCGGTACGTACGGTACATGTCAAAGACGGTAATTTAACAACTGTATTTTACCGGGAAATTAAAAGCAATAAGAAATATCACCACATTCATTGCAGAAGTAATATTGCTTCCGCAGCTGCGGCACATGCAGCTACTAGAAGGTACCACATTAATCAAAACAGAAATCTAGAATGCTTACTCTTCACTACCAATATCGCCTCTAGTCCTGAGTGCCTCCACCTTGTCAAGCAATGCGTTACTTCCCCGCCAACTCCCTCCTTTGCTCTCGTCCATACTCGTTATAAGACTGCAACTTATCCAACGTTAGGAGTCCATTCATAATTGTCTCCCCCACCCGAAGCTTCTCCTTAGGCTCGGCAACCAACCTGACTTGAAACTCCTCATCACCAAGCCTCTCCTCCATGTCCCGAACCAGCTTCTGAAGCTCCTTGATTGCGTTCCCCACTTCTGAATGCTCTGGTGTAGAGTGGAATAATCCTCGTGAGACATCTGCCTCTGCTGCCGCTGCTTTTGATGGTGTGACTGCTGATGCTGCTGTGGCTGCTTCTGTTTGTGTACTGACTGCTGCGGGTGCTGGGTTCTTCTGCTGCCTTGCTTGTTCCTGTTTATGCAGCTGCTGTCCCTGCTGCCCCTCTCCCTGATTCTGCTGCTGCTGCTGCTGCTGCTCCTGCAATATTTTTTTCTCCTGCTGTTGTTGGTGCTGCTCGTGCTGCTGCATCAGCAATTGATCTCTCTCCTCATGCTGCTGCCATTGCTGCTTATGCATCTTCTTTTTCTGCTTCTGGTGCTGCCGTTTCGCTCCTGGCCCTGCTGTTCCTGCCGCCGGCTCCGCTTGCGTCGCCTGCTCCCCTTCTGCTGTCTGCTCCGCGTCGCCAGCATCCCCTGCGACATCCTCCTGTCGCAGAGCCTCCTCGCGTCGCACATCTCCGCGTCGCCCGGGCGACGACCCGAGCAAAGGCGACGTGAGGGGATCCATCGCCGTGCGACGCCACGGCGACATCTTGGCCCATCGCGACGTGTCCATTAAATCGTGCGGCGACGGGAACAAGGGAGGGGCGTGCCAGCCGCGGAAAATCCTATCTGGATCGTCCATCGCACCTGCTGCTAAATAATTACAAACGGGGGAATGAATTGGGCTGGCTCAGGGCTGCCGCAATAAATTGCCTTATGACGTGAAGTCGCGAAATCAACATGAGAAACGGAATTTCCAGCTGCCGTCACAAGCACTTTCGACGCCTTGTCCCTGAACTGCAAAAGACATGCTCCACTTCCCCGACGAAATCTCGCGTCCCGCGGGCAAACGCCATTCATCTGCGCCGCGTGCATGCTACTTAGTTGGTGCTTTGAAGGTGCCGCGACGCGACATGGGAGAGCACCACGTGGCATGACTTGACTCGAGTAGACGAACGAGACCGCGAGTTCTGTGCGGAACGCGGGACCGTCAACAAGGCTTGGCGAGGTTGGGCTTGGAAATGAAATACAAAATAGCCCCGAAAGCGAGAATCTAAAAGGGGAGAAAAAAAAACTCCGCTTGAAGCAGATTCGAATCCCCGAATGGCTAGGCCCTTGCTCAAACGAATTAGCAAAAATATTCAAACACGACTTCAAGTTTTTGTTTTAGGCTGAACTGGTAGCACTAAAAGCTGGACGACTTTCAGAATTGATTGATCAATAGAAATGTATTGGATCAATATACATATGTTCCGAAATGGATGACTTGATAACACATGACACTACCTACATACATTTTGGCCTGAATTACTCTAGATGGCCAAACTCTAGAAACTGCTGCAAACTTCCACCCTTGTTCTTTCAGTGTGTGACAGGTCATGGTAAGAGACCAACACTGGCTAGCTCAGCTTGTTTCTGAGGTTCCGCACAGGACACTTTGAAAGTAGCCATTGCTCCCTCATTTTGCAACCAGCGGCTCATCATTGCTTGCACTAACCCCGTCTCACTTTGTCAAATCTTTCTCTCCCTCCTCAGGTGCGGGGAGAGTCAGAGCGTCGACCCGATCCAACAGCCGGTTCAGTTTCCGAGCCATGTCTCGTCTCAGTGCCCGAACGTCCTGGTTCGTCGACTGAACCCCGTCCAGACGAAACAGCCAGCACATGATCGTCTCCGTCGCCCGAAGCTTCTCCATAGGCTCGGTAACCACCTTAGCTACATACTCCTTGTCCCCGAGCCTCTCCTCCATCTCCCGAAGCAGCTTCCGAAGCTCAACAATAGGTTTGGCCACCTCGAACGGCTTGGAGGATCGCACCTGGTGACCCCTCCAGGCCGACTGAATCACCACGGCTGCTTGCTCATCCGACATACCACTAGAAGGGCTGCTAACATCAGCGTTACCAGCCGATTTGTCTGATGACACAGAGGTGGAATCCTCGATATTGGCTGCTGTTGTGCTAGTCTGTGGCTCCGGTGAAGGTTGCTCTGCTGCTGCTGCAGCTGGTGCTGCAGCTGCTGCTGTTGGTGCTGCTCGTGTTGCTGCTGCTGCTGGTGATGGCGCTGCTACTACTGCGTCCTCTGCTGTTGAGTCAGCCACAGGAATCACCTTCACTGGTACTGGAGACGACTTTTGAGACGTCTCAGAATGTGCTTCAGTGGCTGCTGCCGCGTCCGTCACAGGAATCACCTTCACTGCTACTGGAGTTGGGGATTGCGTTTTCTGGGGTGACTGCGTTCTCGTAGGAGACGAAGCTTTCCTGAACCACCTCGTTTTCTTGGGCGACGTTTTGGGAGACGTTTTGGTAGAGTTCGTGGGAGATTCTTTGGGAGAGGATGTTTTAGGAGATGCTGCCCCTGGCGGCGGCGCTGCGGGCTCGAATCCCTGGTCCAACTCTGCAGGGTGGTTTGGGGAATTTTCGAACACGCCCTCGAAAATCGGCTCCAGCTCGGGCATTGACTCGTCGCTGTCGGAATCTGAGAGTGACTCCTCGCTCCAACGCTGCTGCTGTTGCTTCTTCTGCTGCTGAATGGCGGCGTTTAGAGCATCCTTCCGCTTCTGCTGCTGGAGCAGCTGCTGTTCCTTCTTTTGCGCCTCGATTTGCGCTAGGTATTCCTGCTGCGCGCGCATCTGCGCCAAATACTCCTCCCGCTTCCGCATCTGCGCCTGCTGGAGCGCGACTGCGTGCGCCTGACGCCGCGCCTCCTCCTTCCGCAGCTCCTCCTGTCGGCGCAGCTCCGCCTGGCGCCGCTGCTGCGCCTGGTAGTGGGCCGCGGAGCGGGAATCGAAGGGGTCCTCAACGAAACCCCCGCGCATCGCGGGGTGATTGTAGTAGCGCGGCGATGTTTCGTGATATCGAGGATAATAGGGAGACTGGAAGCCGGAAGCTGCGTGCCTTGGGAATACCATCTCCGGAAAGCCAAAATCCATGATTATCTCCTCTTAATGACTGATTCGCGCAGAGATCTGGGTCCTATGCTAGAATAAGTGCAATCTAACGACGTTTGGAGTCGTAGAGCTGTAATGTAGCTAAGAGGTCAACCGCGCTTGACAGAATCAGTGCTGGTTGAGAGGATGAGAGAAATGCTGCTCCAATTATATGCAACTTTGATCTGATGAATGATAGCTGTTGACGATTAGTGTTCGACGGTAGCAGAATAGTAGTCGAGTTGATGGAAGATTAGGTAGTGAAGAATTCGCAGATCCCCGTCTTATTTATACTTTCGCTGTTGCGCCAGTTCACCGCGCGCGCCGCGCCCGGAAGACTCGCGCACATTCCAGGCGCGCATTCTCGAGGCTTGCGGAAGGATCTCGAACGCGCTGGAAAGCGCTGGAATGCGCTAGAATCTGCGGGAAGGGTCTGGAAGCGGAGCGGAGCTGAAGTCTCTCCTTCCCCGTCCCTGTGGGGGGGATCTCCGCGTAACCGCGTTGGAAGGCGTGGGCTTGCGGAAGGAAAGTGCTGCTCGCGCGTAGAGTTGAGACGCGGAACAAAGCGGTCCGCGGATGTGCAGGGGCAGGGAAAGTGGTAGGGAGGGGAACACAGCCGCCTTCGCGACGCTGCGAAGATAATTACGAGTAACTACAATACATAAGTTACAGAAAGATGAACAAAATTATCAACAATCTGGCAATTCCTTGTGCAAATTGAAAGATAAGAGAATACTCTCCAGCAAATGTGACAGGCTTCAGGTTTAATATGATGGGTTTAAACGTGACACAAACACATCGGGCAAGAACTGAAAATGTTACAAGGCACAACAAGAATACTGGACTGGACTCCACAAGACATTGGGCAGATATTTGCCTTTACAGCCTACACCCGCTTGAGCGTCTGCGTAACAGCTTTATCAGCCCAGTTGACAAGCACACACAGCACCACCACCCACACCACTCCTCCAAGCAGTATCGAAGCATCCCATATTGGATCATCCACCAGGTAACTCCTCAGCTTGAGGTGCTGCCAAAAGCTCTCGGTCCAAACAGGGTCCACCAGATCCCCATGGCTGCCTGGTCGCGGAGGGGCTATGCTCCAATGGGTGCTGTTGAAGACCAGCCGAGGGGATAACGCTGGGATATAGCTGCAAGAAGCGAAAACAATGGGAGGCAGCACGGGGCAGGGGAAGCGGGAGCAGGGGAGCAGAGACGTGGGAAACAGAATCCACTAGATCCCCATGGCTGTCCGGCCTGGGAGGGGCAATGCTCCTGCGTGCTGTTGAAGACCAGGCGAGGGGACAAGGCCGGGATGTACCTGCAACAGGGAACAACGGTGGGGAACATAACAGCAGCAAGAGGGCTTCAGGTGCTGCCAAATAACTTCTCAGTGGAGAAACAGGATGCACCAGTGGGGAAACAGGATGCACCAGTGGGGAAACAGGATGCACCAGTGGGGAAACAGGATGCACCAGTGGGGAAACAGGATGCACCAGTGGGGAAACAGGATGCACCAGTGGGGAAACAGGATGCACCAGTGGGGAAACAGGATGCACCAGTGGGGAAACAGGATGCACCAGTGGGGGAACAGGATGCACCAGTGGGGAAACAGGATGCACCAGTGGGGAAACAGGATGCACCAGTGGGGAAACAGGATGCACCATTGGGGAAACAGGATGCACCAGTGGGGAAACAGGATGCACCAGTGGGGAAACAGGATGCACCAGTGGGGAAACAGGATGCACCAGTGGGGAAACAGGATGCACCAGAAAACTTCTCAGCTTCAGGTGCTGCCAAAAACCATGAGTATCTAGCTAGGCTTGGGAAAGGTAATAGCCAGCCAGCACCTCAACACAACTGATTTTTGAGATGTTTGAGAACCCTTTAAGCATCTGGCCAAACCGGGGAAAGAAAATTGACAGCACCTGCCCACAAATGCTACTCACGCTGTTGTGGAGAGCATACACTCACCTTTGGCCGTGGCCTTGCCAGCACTCTTCCACACCCATACCCTGCTGCCACACACCCCACTTCCTCTTTTGAATCGACTCAGAAGGATTACCCATGCTGTTCACGTGGTGGAGGAAAGCAGGCGTTCGCCCTTGGCTGTTGCCAGCACTCCCACACACACCCACCCCCTTTGCTCTGAGTTGATAGTAGCAAAAATCCAGATATATGCCACTCACGTGGTGGAAGAAAGAAGGCATTCGCCTTTAGCTGTTGCCAGCACTCCCACACACACCTCCCCTGCTGCCGCACAGTCCTTATTTTCCACACACTCTTTCAGCTTACCTCCCTTCCCTCCACTTCCTGCAACTTCCCTTATCTCCCTTCCCTCCCTCCCCTCCCCTTCCTTCCCTCTCTCCTCCCCTTCCTTCCCTCTCTCCTCCCCTTCCTCCCCTCCCTCCTCCCCTTGTCTAGGCTTCACAGCCGTTGTCTTAGCCAGGAAATTCCACACAAACCGGGGGGTATCAGCAAGGGTATACAGAGGAGGAGAGGAGGCAGAAGAGGAGGAAGGAGGGGAGGAGGAGGAGGGAGAGACAGATGGAGGAACCCCTAAGAATACCCCAGCGTAATGACTAGGAGCAGGGTCACGCGGAGTGAGGAGGGAAGAGGCGAGAGGGCAGAGGAGGCCAGGAGAGGGGGAGAGGAGGCAGAGAATGAGGTTGGATATGAGGGAGGTGTTAACTGATGCTTGGAGGGCGAGTGAGGGAGGTGCGCCGGAGAGGAGGAGGAGGGAGCGGGCGAGGAGGGTGGAGGAGAGGGTGAGGGAGGGGAGGTGGACGGAGGGGAGCGTGTCGAGGTGGCTGTTGAGGTAAGGGTTGGAGACTTGTTGGTTGAAGTCGGAGAGATGAAGAGCAGATATACCTGGATGCTGTGGGAAGGGAGAGAGGGAAAGGAGATGGGGAAGGGAAAAGTGGACAAGGGAAGAGGGAAGGGAGGGTGTCGAGGTGGCTGTTTAAGTATGGGTTGGAGACTTGTTGGTTGAAATCTGAGAGATGAAGAGCAGAGAGACCTGCATGCTGGGGGAGTGGGAAGATGGAAAAGCAAGGGAACAGATAGGAGAACAGCAGACAAGAGGTGGGATGGCGGGGAGGGTGTGGAGGTGGCTGTTTAGGTAGGGGTTGGAGACTTGTCGGTTGAAATCGGAGAGATGCTGAGAGACCTGCATGCTGGGGGAGGGAGTGGAACATTGCACAAGGGAAAAAGAAGGGAGAGTGGCTGAGTTGGTGTTTAGGTGGGGACTGGAAACTTGCTGGTTGAAGTCGGAGAGATGGAGAGCAGAGAGACCTGGATGCTGGGGGAGGGAGATAACGCATTTGACATGGGAAAGGTAAAAGGGTACAAGAGAAACGGGAGTTGGAAGGAGTTGAGGTGGGGGTTTGAGACATGTGACTAAAGTCGAAGAGATGAAGAACAGAGTGACCTGGATGCTGGAAAGGGAGAGGAGAGCAAGGAAAAGGGGGAAGACGGGGAAGAGGACAGATGAATAAGTAAGGAAGCAAACCCAAGCCATCACCGCCGCTCGCCTCAGCCGACAGTGCGAGTAGCAATGAGGGCGGGAGGCCTGGTGTCTCCTCACTGGCTACCTCCACACGCACACCCATCTGTTTGAAGAAGTGTTTTGAGACGTCTCAAAACACTCCTCACTGGCTTCCTCCACACGCACACCCATCTGTTTGAAGAAGTGTTTTGAGACGTCTCAAAACACTCCTCACTGGCTTCCTCCACACGCACACCCATCTGTTTGAAGAAGTGTTTTGAGACGTCTCAAAACACTCCTCACTGGCTTCCTCCACACGCACACCCATCTGTTTGAAGAAGTGTTTTGAGACGTCTCAAAACACTCCTCACTGGCTTCCTCCACACGCACACCCATCTGTTTGAAGAAGTGTTTTGAGACGTCTCAAAACACTCCTCACTGGCTTCCTCCACACGCACACCCATCTGTTTGAAGAAGTGTTTTGAGACGTCTCAAAACACTCCTCACTGGCTTCCTCCACACGCACACCCGACGTCTCAAAACACTCCTCACTGGCTTCCTCCACACGCACACCCATCTGTTTGAAGAAGTGTTTTGAGACGTCTCAAAACACTCCTCACTGGCTTCCTCCACACGCACACCCATCTGTTTGAAGAAGTGTTTTGAGACGTCTCAAAACACTCCTCACTGGCTTCCTCCACACGCACACCCATCTGTTTGAAGAAGTGTTTTGAGACGTCTCAAAACACTCCTCACTGGCTTCCTCCACACGCACACCCATCTGTTTGAAGAAGTGTTTTGAGACGTCTCAAAACACTCCTCACTGGCTTCCTCCACACGCACACCCATCTGTTTGAAGAAGTGTTTTGAGACGTCTCAAAACACTCCTCACTGGCTTCCTCCACACGCACACCCATCTGTTTGAAGAAGTGTTTTGAGACGTCTCAAAACACTCCTCACTGGCTTCCTCCACACGCACACCCATCTGTTTGAAGAAGTGTTTTGAGACGTCTCAAAACACTCCTCACTGGCTTCCTTCACACGCACACCCATCTGTTTGAAGAAGTGTTTTGAGACGTCTCAAAACACTCCTCACTGGCTTCCTCCACACGCACACCCATCTGTTTGAAGAAGTGTTTTGAGACGTCTCAAAACACTCCTCACTGGCTTCCTCCACACGCACACCCATCTGTTTGAAGAAGTGTTTTGAGACGTCTCAAAACACTCCTCACTGGCTTCCTCCACACGCACACCCATCTGTTTGAAGAAGTGTTTTGAGACGTCTCAAAACACTCCTCACTGGCTTCCTCCACACGCACACCCATCTGTTTGAAGAAGTGTTTTGAGACGTCTCAAAACACTCCTCACTGGCTTCCTCCACACGCACACCCATCTGTTTGAAGAAGTGTTTTGAGACGTCTCAAAACACTCCTCACTGGCTTCCTCCACACGCACACCCGACGTCTCAAAACACTCCTCACTGGCTTCCTCCACACGCACACCCATCTGTTTGAAGAAGTGTTTTGAGACGTCTCAAAACACTCCTCACTGGCTTCCTCCACACGCACACCCATCTGTTTGAAGAAGTGTTTTGAGACGTCTCAAAACACTCCTCACTAGCTTCCTCCACACGCACACCCATCTGTTTGAAGAAGTGTTTTGAGACGTCTCAAAACACTCCTCACTGGCTTCCTCCACACGCACACCCATCTGTTTGAAGAAGTGTTTTGAGACGTCTCAAAACACTCCTCACTGGCTTCCTCCACACGCACACCCATCTGTTTGAAGAAGTGTTTTGAGACGTCTCAAAACACTCCTCACTGGCTTCCTCCACACGCACACCCATCTGTTTGAAGAAGTGTTTTGAGACGTCTCAAAACACTCCTCACTGGCTTCCTCCACACGCACACCCATCTGTTTGAAGAAGTGTTTTGAGACGTCTCAAAACACTCCTCACTGGCTTCCTTCACACGCACACCCATCTGTTTGAAGAAGTGTTTTGAGACGTCTCAAAACACTCCTCACTGGCTTCCTCCACACGCACACCCATCTGTTTGAAGAAGTGTTTTGAGACGTCTCAAAACACTCCTCACTGGCTTCCTCCACACGCACACCCATCTGTTTGAAGAAGTGTTTTGAGACGTCTCAAAACACTCCTCACTGGCTTCCTCCACACGCACACCCATCTGTTTGAAGAAGTGTTTTGAGACGTCTCAAAACACTCCTCACTGGCTTCCTCCACACGCACACCCATCTGTTTGAAGAAGTGTTTTGAGACGTCTCAAAACACTCCTCACTGGCTTCCTCCACACGCACACCCATCTGTTTGAAGAAGTGTTTTGAGACGTCTCAAAACACTCCTCACTGGCTTCCTCCACACGCACACCCATCTGTTTGAAGAAGTGTTTTGAGACGTCTCAAAACACTCCTCACTGGCTTCCTCCACACGCACACCCATCTGTTTGAAGAAGTGTTTTGAGACGTCTCAAAACACTCCTCACTGGCTTCCTCCACACGCACACCCATCTGTTTGAAGAAGTGTTTTGAGACGTCTCAAAACACTCCTCACTGGCTTCCTCCACACGCACACCCATCTGTTTGAAGAAGTGTTTTGAGACGTCTCAAAACACTCCTCACTGGCTTCCTCCACACGCACACCCATCTGTTTGAAGAAGTGTTTTGAGACGTCTCAAAACACTCCTCACTGGCTTCCTCCACACGCACACCCATCTGTTTGAAGAAGTGTTTTGAGACGTCTCAAAACACTCCTCACTGGCTTCCTCCACACGCACACCCATCTGTTTGAAGAAGTGTTTTGAGACGTCTCAAAACACTCCTCACTGGCTTCCTCCACACGCACACCCATCTGTTTGAAGAAGTGTTTTGAGACGTCTCAAAACACTCCTCACTGGCTTCCTCCACACGCACACCCATGCCAGAGCCCTCCCAGCAGCCTTTGGACAGATTAGACATTTGTGTTTTGTTTTGTGGCCGTTCCGTTACTCTCACCTCAGCAGATAGTGCGAGTAATGACGAGGGTGGGAACCCCGGTGTCTCCTCACTGGCTTCCTCCACACGGACACCACCAGCAATCTCCTGCCCCTCCTCTTCTGCTGCGGATGCAGTTTCTCCTTCTTGAGGATTCCCTTGGATGGATGCTGCTGCTGTTCTCAGCGCCTCTGCAATGGCTGCTGCTCCTGCTGGCTGGGGGTTTAGGAGGGGAAGTGCATAGTGAGCACCGTAGTTTTGTTGTGAGTAACCAATAGGAGAAGTGAGTAGCATAAACTACAAGCAACAACAAACCCAACAGACGGGTTCGCTACGATACATTGAGTATCATGTGTCGAATCAAGTACACACTTCAAGCAACATGCATCATGCTGTCCTGTAACACAGAAGTACATGCATATGTGAACAGTGTTGCGTTATGTTGTTACATATGCACCATGGGCTTCTCGTGATGCACAAACAGTGTCACATCCTCCTGAGTCCCATTCCCTCCTGCTCCTGCCATTCCCACCGAACCGACTTCCAGCATCTGTGCCTGATGGGAAAAAATAAGAAATGACGGGGATACGACCAAAATGTGATGGCGAGACAAGCAGAAGAGGAGATTAGAGGAGGAGGATATGCTTCGATGTGAGAAAGAAGTAGGTATACATGCAACGATACAAGTAGGAGACGAGGAAGTGCATCCAGGTCCAAGAGAAGACGACTAAAAAGAAGAGCATCAAGGTGCAAGTGAGGGCGAAAACAACAGCACTAAGGTTGAAAACTTGGGAATAAAGGTGTTGCAAAACACACGGAAAGAGAATCGGCGCGAGATACTAAGCGCGTGGCGGAGGAAAGAGTTTCAGCGGAGAACCACAGCGGAGAGGGACGTCGCTGCACTGCAGCGAGACGTGAAGAAACTGCAACTGAGAGCGCCATGCTCGGTAGATAAAAAACTAATTGTTTGCAGTTTCTTCACATCTCGCTGCAGTGCAGCGACCTCCCTCTCCGCCGTGGCTCTGCGCTAATACTCTTCCTCTGCCTCTCACACAATATCCCGCGCCGATTCTCTTAGCGTGCACAGGACGTTCTACAGCTTAGTGCTCTGAAAAACAAGTGCCACACACTTGTAATACTTATGATATGTGTATTAACACATGTGAACATGAGTGCATTGAGGTGGTTTTTAAGGCGCCTCAAAAACCACGTGCCACATTTCCACTTGTAATACTTCTGATATGTGTAGAAACACATGTGAACATGAGTGTCGAATCATGACGAGAATATGTGCAAATACCGCTGTGAAGTCTTCAAAAGAAAGCCCTTGCAGCACATCTCTCCCTACTCCTTCCTCCCCCTTGGACCACTTTTCCAGCTCAAATAGAAGTCGCCGCGATCCCAGGTAGCCCCATCGCTCGCCGTTTAGAGCAAGGAAGACAAGCTGATGGAAGGAAGATCAAAGGGAACGTAAGGAAGGGAGGTTGAAAATAGAACGGAAGTTAACATTTACTGGTGGGCCATGTGAGTGGTGAGATGCTTTCGGACTAACTTAAGTGGAGTAATTTTGAAGGAGCGCATACTAACTGTAACGACCGAATTGGAAAGTGGCTTGAGTAACAATTGCAATATTAACCTGGTTACAACGCGTTAGAGAACCTTCATAACCTGGTTACATGCTTAGGTGTATAGGTTACCTGCTTGGGTAGGTTACCTGCTTGGGAAGGTCTGGGACGGAGGGTTTTCGAAGGAGAGATGCAATGGCATCTGCTGCTGCTAGCAAACAGATGAGACCCTGAGGGAAAAAACGGGAAGGGGCGAGCGAACAGGCAGCAGTCACGGCTTTCGAAAGAGGGATGCAATGGCGACTGCTGCTGCTGGCAAACAGATGACACTGTGAGGACGGGGAGAGAAAATGGTGGAGGCACCCATACGGGCATCATAACCGGTGAATCATGGTTCATAAATCACGATTCACGCGTCACGATTCATACACCATTTGAAAGAATCCGCACGATCCAGACCTGGAACACATCTGGGCCATGGGGATGCCAGATGTGTTTCAAGTCGACTAACAAAACAAAAATAACTCAAGAGGCAGAAACTCACGGAAATGGGAGACTCGGCTCCGACAGCAGCATCGCGGAACAGCGAGGCAGCATCCATCTGAGCCATGGCGATCACCAGCGGCTTCTTGGAAGGTTCCTTGCTTGCGACGTTTATGGGAGGTAGAGATGCCATCACACTGTCATGAACGGAATCGTGGAAATTGGCACAGAGCTGAGCAGATGGGTTGGGTTAGATTGGGCTGGCTTGAGTTAAGACATGGGCAAGCAAAAGATTTATAGAATAAGCTTTCCTTGTCAGCTCAGCAAATAATAGATGGATCGAACAAATGATCAGAGAGAAGGAAGTGTGATATGGTGTATGGGAAGTGGGAGGTGGGATGGGGACACGGGATGTGGGAGGTGGGATATGGGAAAAGCAGAACGGGGGGAAATGTTTGCCATATTAACCACCAAGAGGGAAGCAGGAAAGGGTTACCTGTAACCGCCAAGGGGGAGGCAGGAAAGATTGTTGAGACAGGCTTGGGATGTGGTTGCTCCTATTCGTGTGGTCTGATGGTCGTGGGGGATAGAGGAGATAGAAGGAGGTGAGAAACGGAACAAGGAGGGGCAAGAGAGGCAAAGGGTTTGACCACACGAGCTTGATTGATGCAAGCATGATCCGAGTCGTGTAGTCGAATAGATGGTGGTAGGGTGGTAAGGGAGAGCGAGAGGGAGGCGAGAGAAGGGAGCAAGGAGGGGCAGAAGAGGCAAAGAGGTTGGTTGGCCGTACGAGCTTGAATAATGCATGGACATTCCGAGCTGTGTGGTTTGATAGCGATGGGGGGAGAGGGGGAACCTCTTTAAAGGCCAAAACAAAAATATCAACGAACTCACAGTCATGATAGCATCGAATTCTGCCATGTATAGTGGGTAGCGGAAGTCCCGTCGACTGTTGGCTTCTGCTTTCTGACCACCATATGCCACCACGCCATCATGTCAACATGTCATCATGCCAACATGCCACCATGCCATATGACATCATGCCACCATGCCATCATGCCAACATGCCATCATGTCAACATGTCATCATGCCAACATGCCATTATGCCAACATGCCATTATGCCATATCAACATGCCATTATGCCATATCAACATGCCATCATGCCATATCAACATGCCATCATGCCAAGATGCCATCATGCCATCATGCCACCATGCAAACATGCGTTTTTTAAAGGCTTGGTATCAGCTATCTAGCTCTATCGACTTATCGACGAGGAGGATACACAAGCAGGGAGCGGAAATGGCAAGCAGCCAAGGTTTACGATTCGGGTGGGGGGTCATGGGGGGAAGGACGGGGAGAATGGCAAGCGATCAAGGCACGAGCCGAGGGGGGTTGGGTGGGAAAGAAGACGGTGGGAGGGGGGTGTAATTCTCACAAGGCGTACATCCGCTGTAGCTTGATCCGAGAGCAGGGAGATCGGGAGGGAGAACGGCAAGCGGTCGAGGGAGGAACCGAGGGGGTTCCAGGGGTAGGAGGTGTTGGGGTAGGTGGCGAAGGCTGACTGGGGAAAAGGAGAGGCGGGGGAGAGCGCTGGGAAAAGAGAGGGCACAAAGGTGAATAGGAAGGGGCAGGGGAAAAAAGAATCAGGAAAATGAAGGGACGTGCGGATGGGGTTCCAGGGGTAGGAGGTGTTGGGGTAGGCGGTGAAAGGGGACTGGGGGAAGGGGGAGGAGGGGGAGAGGGCTGGGAGAGGGTGCAGACACAGAGAGAAAGGGAAGGATGGTATTTGGATTGAAAGCAGCATCGAATGAACGTGAAGAAGAGTAACTGGGAATGTGCAGCAGACAAGAGGGACTCACACACTTGCTGTCTACCAGACTGGTGACCAATAGGGGAGTCATATCACAAGAATGAGTCTTATCAATTCAGAGTCTTACCATGACTCTAGGAATATTTGAGCCATTTTGAAGCTAGGAATGTGTAGCAGAGGGAAGGAACTCACTCGCTGTCTACCAAACCGACGATGAAAAGGGGAGGGAGCTATGATTGAGTCATATCAGTTCAGAGTCTTACCAGGGACAGATGATTGGTTAGCAGACTCTACCATGATCCCTGCCACGTGGCTGGCAATGATTGGATCCTTGGATATCCTGACAACGTACACGTGCACACGCAACACGCCTCAAGTGAAAGCACTTCAGTCTGGTTTCAAGGCCGCATGGAGAGAACTGGGTGAACAACGGCTGGATTCAAGTCAAGCTCACAACGAGAGCACAGGGTGCAGCACTGGTGGCGACACGAGGAGGGCTTGAGGCGAGTGGAGAGGAGAGAGAGCTCAGAGGGCACTGGACAAACAAACTGCGAGACGCCTCAAGTCAAGTGAACACGGGTTCTCCTCAGTCACTGGAATGTGACACTTCACGATTAGGGCGCTCATGCTTCTCACAGTGAGAGCACGGGGTGCAGCATGGCTGGCGAGACGAGGAGGGCTCGAGGCGATTTGAGCAGAGAGAGCTGGGAGGGGACGACTCAAGTCAATAAAGGCCCTTTACTGGCACTTACCAGGCACTTATAGGGCGCTCATGCTTCTTACAGTGAGAGCACGGGGTGAAGCACTGCTGGCGAGACGAGGAGGGCTCGAGGCGATTTGAGCAGAGAGAGCTGGGAGGGCAAAGAGATGGCCTGAATTGGGGCTGACACAATCTCCCTGCCAGGGTCTGGTGGAGAGGAGTGGAGAAGGGTGGGGAAAGGTTTGGCAAAATGGATGACTTTGACAGGGAGGTGTTGGTGTGGTGAGCTCATTCTTGCAGTCAATACGCTCCTTGCTTCAGCTACAGTTACAGTACAAGGACGCAAACATCTACAGTACATAAAGGCTCTAGAATACAACAAAAAGATAAAGTAGAAAACTCACTTCCACACCCAATAGGCCCTTCAGTCGACAGCAGCCGCACGCAGGGCCAGTTCGCAGCTTCGGTGTACATAGCTGCCTCCAGGTCCGGTACCGAGGCGAACTGCTGCCGGGCTGCCGAGCCTGGGCAGGCACGGTGAAAGTGGCAAGGGCAGGGCGACAGATAGGAGGACGGAAAAAAAAGGGGAGGAAACAGGAAAATAAGTGATAATGGCTATACGCTGAGACTAGCTCCGCTGAGAGCGTAACTCATATAACAAGGTTGAATTCGATATCATTAGTAGTAAGAATGGAATTTGCGCTAGATACAGGAAGCTATGTTTCTTCACAGCACCGTATTCGCTCATGATCTGTATTGGTATACAGCTGGTGACAAGCTACCTTGCAGAGAGCCGGCGAGTGCGCATTTGAGAAGGATAACTGGGAGAAGGACGAAGAGCTGGTAACACAGCACTCCACGTGTTGATGGCGAAAAAGCCATTCGGAGCGAACGAATCTGAAGGGACGAGTCACAGCATCCCTAACCTTGGTGCGGCCTAACTCAAACCTCGGACGCGGGATGCAGCTATTAGGAGTCGACTCTACTGCCCGACGTCTTGCAAGTCGTTGCTAAATTCATCTTGTAAGGTATTTTCGCGCTGGGGGGATTGACAAGTGTTGGTGCTAGGGCGTGTTCAAGTGAAGAATACAGACACATGCGCACGTGAAAAATTCAGTTACCCGTAATCTGTCAGGCATGTTACATTATAAAACAATCATGTCTGTAGCAATACACAAACTATGAAGATATGCTGTCTATGAAGAACAAATAGGTATTTCCATTCCACAAGATTCCTTGACAGAAAGAGCAGTGAAATAAACAGACCTCCCAACAATCGGTTTTTCATTATCTTTTTTGCCAATAGTGGCCAAAATAATTAAAATACCGGTAATGGAAGTCATGATGAAATACCGTAATAGCACAGACACAAAAAGATGCGTCACATCATGCAGCCTGTCTGCAGCCCACAACAATCTCAAGGAGCCTCTAAAGGTGGCGGCGGTGGCAGCAACCTAATCAGCGCATTGTACAGTGATTGCGCGTAAATATCTACGCCTCCCGGAAAACAATAATGCAAACAATCAGTTTTGTTTCTTTCCGGGCTAAAACCATGATGCCCATCTGCCCTTAAAGCCAACATCTCCTCCACATCCAGATACACCCCTCCGACCTGCTCCACCAATTCTTTAGCCAGCCGATTTTGCTCGGGTAAATCCCTCCAGTAATACGGCAGGCTCTCCGTCGGCTGCCGCTTCTCCAACGGGCGGTCGAAATTTTCGCAGTTGTTGTGCCCCGGGGGGGTGTTCCGGTAAATAATAAGTTTACCCGGGAAATAATACCTCACGAAGCGCAGCGCATTTTGCACACCCGAGACGAAGAGCGGCGTGGGGGTCCAGTGCTGGCCTCTATTTAAAACGATGACGTCTGCAGAGGGGATATCGGCAACCCCCGGTTGAGCCCACGGCATGCGGTCGAAATTGGGTCCTCTAGAATCAAAGATGGAGATGTGGTCGTTGCGAAGGTAATCAATTCTGAGGCCCGGGCAGGCTGAGGAGTTGAAGGTGTACCTGCGAAGAGGGGAGAAAGGGACGAAAGAAAGGAAGAGGAGGGTTGAGCCCACGGCATGCGGTCGAAATTGGGTCCCTGGGAATCGAAGTTGGAGATGTGATCGTTGCGAAGGTAGTCTACCCTAAGGCCCGGGCAGGCCGAGGAGTTGAAGGTGTACCTGGGGGTGGGGTGGGGTGGGGTTGTGGGGATAGGAGGGGAGAGGAGGGGGTGTGTGATCGTTGCGAAGGTAGAATTCCCTAAGGCCCGGGCAGGCCGAGGAGTTGAAAGTGTACCAGCCGTGTGGGGGAGGAGGGGTGGGGGCGGGTGCTGGGTGGGGGCTCACCACTGGCAGAACTCATGGGCCATCTTCTCAGGGTCCCCTCCCAGCACGTCCACACATCGCTGCTGCATGAGATGAGAATATGAACTCACCCTAGCACAATCCATCTTACCCACTCATTCCCAACTGTCTCACCCTAGCAGCACGACTCACCACTGGCAGAACTCATGGGCCATCTTCTCAGGGTCCCCTCCCAGCACGTCCACACACCGCTTCGGATGATCGTCCAACCCCACCATCTCCCAGAACCCACAAGACTCACTATAAGGCGACTCAATATAAGGCAACTCAGTCAGGCACGACTCACTCACCACTGGCAGAATTCATGGGCCATCTTCTCAGGGTCCCCTCCCAGCACGTCCACACACCGCTTTGGATGATCCTCCAACCCCACCATCTCCCATGCCGGCTTCTTCCTATCCCACGCCATCAAGTTCAAAAACGACTCTACCATCTGATACTGCTTCGAGTCCCCCACTACAAGAATACGCCGCCCTCGCCCCACCCGCTCGCAGAACACTGACGCGTTGAACGGCAGAAACGGGTTCGAAAGAGCCACCGCCGCCGCTGCTGCCGCTGCCTCTGCTGCTCTTCTTGCTTCCGCCATTCCACCCTTCTCCAGCTGAATCTCCTCGAGTCGTGCCTTGGCCGATCGTTCAAAGGCTTTGATCTCCTCGGGTATTTGAGGTGCAGGGCATGTGGAGGGCCCAACCACCCACTCGTACTTCACCCCCTCCCGCACCGTCCACCCCTCCTCAGTCGCCCCTGGGCTCATGGCATAAGCATCTGCATACTTTGCATATGCCATGCCGGCAGGGTGTGATTCGAGGTATCTTCTGTCGCACATGTTGCTCACCCCGCGGTAATCCCAAGGGAGAGTGCGGGGTTTAGGGTTTCGGACCCACTTGCCCTTGTTGCCGATGCAGGCTGCCCAGTGTTTGAAGATTTTCACCTGTTGCTGCCCGTGGATGAGGGATCCTGGGATGGAATTTGTTCGCAGGGCTGCCCGTTCTGCCCGGCTGCCTCCGGGCAGCGCCGGGCTGAAGAAAACTTCGGTTGAGAGAAGCTGCACGAGGAGCGTCAGCGCGAGGCGGTTGCAGAGGAGTTTTTCGGGCTGCCCGGGAAGGTTTCGATACTTGCAGAAGAGAGTGTGGTGGCGGAGGGAGAGGGAGTGAGAGAGAGCGCGGTGGGAGGAGGAGGGATGGGAGGAGGGTTGTATCTCGAGCACGACAGCAGCAGGCGGCATGAAGAGAATGAAATCAAGGGCCTCCCCCGGTGGCGCGATGAGGAGGAGCGCGCGAGAGAAGAGAGCCCTGGCTGTTGGGAGTGCAAGGGGTGTAATCGGGGTGTGAGGGAGGGCGGAGAGAGGAAATGTTGAAAACATGAGGAGAATCAAGTCCAGAGCCTCCCCCGGTGGCGCGATGAGGAGGAGAGCACGAGAGCCCTGGCTGTTGGGAGAGGGAGAGGGAGTGGGGGTGGGGAGGTTGGGGAGATCGTGTGGGTGGACCGATGATTGTGAGTGAAGCATGAAAAAGAATCAAGTCTAGAACTGAGATGGGGGGGGGAGAGTTTTGGCTGTTGGGAGAGGAGGGGGAGGGGTTGGGTGTTGAATGGGAGAGGTGAATGAAGTAAAAGGCAAAGAGGGTTGGATTGGTAAGACAATAAGGAGTCGATTTTTGAGTCGACTAGAAAATTGACTTATCACATGAGAATTGGTAAGACAGTGAGGAAAGTGCAAGAGAAGGGGCGAGGAGAACCACCTTCCTCACTCCCTCACTCACCCCCCCCCCCCCCCCCCCACGTCCATCGATCCCTCCTCTCACCTCCCTTCTTTCCCGACCCTCCTCACTCACCTTCCTGCACGCTCATCTCCCCCCGAAAGTAGACCACCCGGCCGTGCCACCAGTTATCTTGGATTATCTCATCCACCATCTCCTCCATTCTATCCAATAGCATCGCGCCAGGTGGCACCGCCACCACCACCACCCAGTCCTCCCCAACCATCCTCCTCACTCCTGCGAACCCATCCCCGTCCACGTCACCAGCTGCTGCCCCTTCTGCGGCAGCCGCCACGTCAGCCGCCACGTCAGCTGCCACGTCAGAAGAGACGGGGCCGCCAGGTGGCGGGAGAGGGACAGGTGGCGGGCGGCGGAGCGTCCAGTTGGCGTGGAAGAGGGGGAGGCCCGTGGGGGGGAGGAGGTGGTGTGAGCGCAGCGAGGAGAGGAGAGAGGGGGAGGGGCGGTTGCAGTGCTGGAAGCAAGGCTGGTGGGAGGGGAGGGAGGGGGGGGAGGAGGAACCGGGGAGGATGGAGAGGGAATGCGGAATGGGTAACGGATGCAAGGGAAAGGGGTGTGTTATGAAGAGAGAGGGAAAGTGAGATGGGAGAGGAAAGTGGGAGGGGAAGCGGGGGGGGGGAGGAGAGGGAAACGTGAAAGGAAATATGTTCCTCTCCTCTCGTTCCGAAGAGGAGAGGAGCGAGGGGGAGGGGCGGGTGCAGCGCTGAAAACAGGGCTGGGGGGGACTTGTGGGGGGGGGGGGGGGGGGGGGGGGGGGGAAGAGGGGAGGGAAGAGGGAACAGGAGCAGAGGCGAGGGAACGAGGAACAGGCAAGGGGGTTTGGGAGGACAGGAAAAAGAGTGGGATACAGGAGAACGAGAAGGAAAGGGGAGAAGGGAGGGTGGAGGAGATTAATAGACTAGACTGCGACCCGTGCATCCGACGTACCAGAATCAGTCTGTGGGCGAAGTGCAGGTGGGTTGGCTCGTCAGGCTGAGTGGGTTGGCTCCGTTTCTCTTCTTTCTGTGGGCCGAGATCAACTCTTATACATCCGACGTACCAGAATCAGTCTGTGAGCGAAGTGCAGGTGGGTTGGCTCGTCCGGCTGAGGCAGCAGCGTGGCCTGGAGTGGATGGCTGCCCAGGAAATGGGGCGCCAACATGTGAAGCCACTGGTGGGGGGTGAAGTGGAATGGGGTGGTGTGGGGTGGGGTGGAGTGGGGTGAGGTGGGGTGGGGTGGGGTGCAGTGGGGTCGGGTGGGGCGGAGGAAAGGGCTTTTAGCCGTCTCATAACTCGTCCAGCTGAGGTAGCAGCGTGGCCTGGAGTGGATGGCTCCCGAGGAACTGGGGCGCCAGCATGTGAAGCCACTGGTGGGGTGGGGTGGGGTGCGGTGGGGTGGAAGATGGCGGGGTAGGGTGGAAGAGTGAGAGTAAGGAAATGTAGTCCTTGTGACCAATCATTTTGGATTCTCGAAAATTGCACACCAGCATGGCTTTGTGTGAACCAGGTGACTTTTGAGTCGACTCAAAGGTGGGATGGAAGAGAGTATATGAGAATGTAGTCTGTGTAACTGATTGTTCAGAATTCTCAAAAACTGCTCACCAGCGTGGGAAATGGGAGGAGGAAAAGTAGGGGGCATGTTTGTCTCACCTTGCGATCTTGCACAAGAAATCGAGCCCCTCGGGCCATGAGTTGAGGGAGGAGAGGAGCGACGGGGAGGAAGAGAGGCAGGTGATGCACTAGGTGGTGGATGAGAGGGGCGTGGGGTAGAGGAGGGGAGGGGGAGGAGATGGGAGGCATATTCGTCTTACCTTGCGATCTTGTACCAGGAATCGAGCACCATCAGCCATGAGTTGAGGGAGGAGAGGAGCGAGGGGGAGGAAGAGAGGGAGGTGATGCACTAGGTGGTGGATGAGTGGGGCGTGCGGGAGAGGGGAGGAAGAGGAGGAGGGGGAGGGTGAGGAGTCGATGGGAGGAGGGACGGCTAGGTTGATGGCAAGGGGATGCTCTACGACTGGTGTTGATGGTGGGTATGTGAAGGGCTGAGCTGACGTGCAATCACACATGCACACACACATGTACACAGGCACAGATGGGAAAGGCGGCATTGGCGGGAAAGGAGAGGATGAGAGCGGGAAGGGGGGAGTAGAAAGGAGGGACGGCTAAGCCAATGGGAATCTGATCAACACAGGCAATCACAGAACCACATCTCACCGTGCTCAACCGCATCTCACCGAGTGTTCTCCTCCTGCTGCACCCGCCAGGCCAGAAGAGGTGAGAGGCGTTGAAAACCCGCCCCTGCCACAATGGACGGAACCCCATCTACCCCCACTTACCTCGTCACACCGCAATCAACCGCACTCAACCGCCCCGCACTCAACCGTATCTTACTGTAATCAACCGCATCTCACCTCACTGAGCGCCCTTCTCCTGCCGCATACGCCTGGCCAGAAGAGGTGAGAGGCGTTGAAGACCCACCCCTGCCCCAATGCACAACACCACTTTCCATTTACCTCATCTCACCGCGCTAAACCGTATCTCACTTCACCAATACACATCATACCTCAATAATGTCACCACATTGAATCGAATCTCACCGCACTGAACCGCTTCTCACCTCACTTAGCGCCCGCCTCCGGCCACACCCGCCAGGCCAGAAGAGGTGGGAGGCGTTGAAGACCCGCCCCTGCCCGTCCACCCACACGCCCCTCAACTCCACCACCCGCCCCGCCCACCCCCTCTCCCCCCCATACCGCACTCCTTTCAGCACCCCCTCCCCGTTTTCCCCAACCACCTCCTCCGCCTCCTCTTCCTCTTCGTCCCCTTCCCCTTCTCCCCCTCCTGTACCCCCTCCTCCTCTCCCCGTTCCCATGCTTGCAAAGCGTCGTCTGAAGCAATAGCGGTGGAGCAGTTGGGGAGAATTATCATGCCTTGCATACACTCCCAAGGCTTGAACGCCGGGCAGCTGAAAGTTTTCGCCTTTGATGTTGTCTTGGTTTCTGACCACAGTGCTGACCGTCTCTTTGAGCACATGAGCTTCCTTTCAGCTGTCCTGGTTTCCGCGTTATCATTCTCCTGACTGTCTACGAAATCCGGGTTCCAGCATGTCTGTATACCCTGCCTGCACTCGGAAAATTCAGGGCAAATTGAGCCTTTACACCCCAAATTCGGCAACGGCACTTGCTCCTTCCTCTTCTTGCTTCCCTTGTCGCCCCCTTTCTCGTCGCTAACCGCATATATTCCCGACAATTCAGGGAAAAAACTCAGGCTAACCGGTGCCAGCTGAATGCGTCTGATTGGCTGCTCAAGGCGACGAATCTCACGCAATCTGCGACCCAACCCGGAAGTTTCTTCGCGGTCTCGTGCGACGGGATCGTCAGGCTCTGCTTCTGCGATCACACGGAAGTCGGTCGCTAAAGATCGTCGCTGAGATCGTCGCACAGGCGTCCCATCGTCGCGAAGCTGCGACGACAAGGTAAGCTTTTCCGATTCATGCGGTACTTGGTCCGCACCCTGCGACAGAACCTGCGAAGACACGGCGGCTGCGACACTTGCGAATGCGACGCTAGCGACTGCAAGAATAGCGACTGTGACGAGGAGAGTGGCACGACGCGGCATACTATTCCAAGGTACCCTGGTATTCTGCCACGATGTGTGCCACGTGGAACCCATTATCATAACTTGACTATGGACCTAAGAGAACTTGGACAATTCACAAAAGCACGTGCAGACTCAATTGCGGATCACCAGTGCTAACGGGGAGAAGAGAAAACCTCCTGATGCCATCCTGAAGCGTCAGATGATTGCTTTCAGCCATGAAGAAGGAAATGAAAATCGGAAAGCTAGCGGATGCGGTGGTGAGCTTGGCCTTCAACAGCTTCATTGCCAGGACGACAAATATGTCGGTGGATGCGGTACTCGATACACGGAAATACCGTAATCATTTTCACTTTCCAGGTAAAAAATGTACGTATGCTTTTCCTGAAAGGTACTCGAAGGTGAACATCTATCTAATCTTCCCAAGAATACTGTTTAATGGCAGGCTGGTAAATTGCCGTCTAACGGTTTCTTTTGCTGATAGACAATGATGTAGATAAAAGTAAGTGAAATTGGCAAAACAATGTTGAATGGTTGGAATCCCTGACCTGATACGGTTTCCAAGAGATACTGGAAAGTCTGTGTACAACCCTCAAACCCTTTTTGACCACAGTTTTTCAATCAAATCCACTGCCAGTTCTCTGTCCATATTATTATCCCCGAGCAGCATACGCTGCAAACATTGAACACAGCACAGGCAAGGAGATGAAAAAGTCAACCCGTGTCAGGAGAGTATGTTCAGTTGGAATGCATAGCTGATTCGGAAGGAGAGACGCACCTTCAGGGGAATCATACTCGTTTCAGGATTCATATTCACTATGTACTTAGAAGAGGCTTCTCGTAGCAATGATGCACCGTGCATATCCGCGACCTTCAAACATTCGAAAGCAGTGTCATCATTGAGTTCTCCACATAGATCCTTATCCAGGCGTTGCTTGAGTTCCTGAACTCCATATTTGTCAGCAGCAATTAGGAGCTCCAGTCTCTGAATCAAACAGTAGCAGGAACGGGAGCAGAATGATGAGCCAGCCAAAGACGACTGCAAATGTGCTTTGTTATTATGTTACCTTAGTTGTTTCACCTGGTAGGTCCACATCTCCTCTGTACATGAAAGTGAGGAGGAGGTTCAAAGTAGAATGATCCATATCTTGAATCTGAACAGATTTACTCCTCTTCTTGAAATCCGCCACCAAACATCCTTGAGAAGACAGGAGACCTGCAAAGAGGGAGCACGGAGGTAGACACAGTTTCCTAAGCATGCTCTTTTTTAAGAAGGAAAAAATTGCTACACACGAATCTCTTGCAAATATGTGCGTTGTGAAAGAAAGGTTAGCTCACCATGCAGCGAGAACGCAACGGTGAGCACGAATCTCTTTTCCATCACTCGTCTCCAACGCTATGTCAGAAAAGGACGCGCCCATCATGCCTTGAAACTTTTCTGCAAACAACTTCAAATCCTTTGCTTTACTCTTCACTTCCTCCAACTCCTCAATTTTCCTCTTCAACTTTCTAATTGTCGAAGAAACATTTAAACAATTTGGGCAAACTGGCTGCGCTGTGCCTCTGGAATTACTGCCACTGCAAATAAAGCAGCGAGCCATTGGACAGGTCGATGCTCAAGGTTTCGGCTATATGCTCAAGGTTTAGGCCAGGGGATGCAGCTAAGATGAGTCCACGCTAAGGAAAAACGTCTTTTCAAAACTCGGCCCCCACCTGAATGTGAGTATGACAGCCAAAATTAGCGTGACTTGCTCTGGCAAGGCCTCCTCAAAACGCTTCAAAAAGCATTATCGCCCACATGCTAAACAAAAGGCGGTGGTTCCACGCATGCTGCGGGGCTGAGACGCCCTGGCAAACTTGCAAAACTATACAAATACCCTGATACGACCATCGACCACTGAAACTTGTACCCGCCTGAAACGGCCTCGGCTTTGCCTCCATACGGCCGAGGTACAAGGAAGGTGAGGCATTGCTGGACGCTTTGCCTAATCTCCGAAAAGCACGGCGAGCTGGAGGTTTTGCTTGATCCTCGAGCGCTCCGCACATGATGGTTACCAATCACTTGTGTGGTAGTCTTGAAAGAAAAGTAGGTTGAACTGAAACCTCGAGTTGAGGTTTTACATGGTTCGGTGTGGTACAGCGGGTTAGGTGTGGAAGAAAACACCTGATTGCAAGTTCTGATGGGGGTAATCGAGGGTTCCCCTGCTTCGGAATTAGACTCGATGGGCGTATTCATGAGACTGCAACTGGGGTTAGTGACGCGTTCGTGTCCCGACACAAATACCCCAGAGATGTTTGGAACAAACTTTTAACCAGAATATAGTTGCAGAATCGGTGCCAAATCATCCAGTACTGTAAAGTCACACCCGCGGGGTTCATGCGAGCTGGGAAGGTACGTTGATAAAATATTGTCAGATTTCGGTTGCCTTCATCACACAAGCTTATCGCTCTCCCGAACAGCTTCGTGGGAGGTGTCAGTGGATAGTTATGCGCGTCGATGTCAAAAAGCGTAGTCGGCTGTTATTCTGAGGTTTGAATCATCCCGGTATCAATGGAACCAGAGATGACAAGGGAAACCAGTAATGTCTAAGTTCCTGTAGGCCTATTACTCGCCGTCTGTCTAGTACTACCAGGTTTCCACCATTACTCGCCGTCTGTCTAGTACTACCAGGTTTCCACCAAGTCTGTTCGCAAGCCATGATCCAGCGCACATCCAGCCGTCGATCTACAGCTCTTTCGAATCTTGGCCGCCCAACTTGGTTCGGAATACCCAAACGTCGTAATTTTCACGCCATCGTCCCTCCTCGCCTGGCTTTCCTCCTCCGATTCACCTTCTCCCTCGTCGCATTCGCCGCGTCGCCCGCGACGTTTCGTCCCCAGTCCTTCCGACATGCGAAAATTTCAGTCGCACGACCAGGGGAAGGCGGGAAAGGGAGTGAGGACCAATCAGACCTATGGCGGAACCGTGATTCGCCGTCGACCGTACTGCAAGATCATGCGACATCCGTGCGACGAGCTCTGGCAGCAGGCGACCCTGGCGATTCGCAGAGCAGCGCAGACAGTATGTCCGCCGCTTTAGTTGCCGCTGGACGCGGCGGGTTGGGCCGCCATAGGTCGCGGGAGTTGCGGCGCCTCGAGCAGCCAATCACGCGCAGCCAGCTGGCGCTTCTCAGCCTGAGTTTCTTCCCAGAAGTTTCCGGAGTAGATGTGATTAGAGACGACGAAGGGGGAGACGAGGGAGGAAAGAAGCGGAGGGAGCAGGTGTCGTTGCCGAATTTGGGGTGTAAAGGTGCAATTTGCCCTGAATTTTCAGGATGCGGGCAGGGGATACAAGCGTGCTGGAACCCGGAATTTGTGGACGGGCAGGTGAATGATAGCGTTGAAAATAGAGCTTTGGACAGAGGCGATCCAACAGAGATTCGAGGCAGTCTTCCTGTAATAGAGGCACATCACAATGCCACAGGAACCAAAGCCAATGTAAGTCCTGGTGACACATCAGCAGTGGCCAGTAGCAGCAGCTCCTCAGCAGCAGCAGCAGCCCATGCTGCCTCGTCCGCAGCAAATGCCATTCGCAGTAGCCAATCAACCCAGGATGCTTCTGCTGGTAAGACCACCCCACCGGCGACAGCCAATGCTAATGCTACCCCATCAGCAGCAGCTAATGCTTCCGAATCGACGCCCGAAGTGTCGGCAAGAAGGCGCTTGGTGGGGGGGCAGCACGCATGGGACGGCCGGCAGGTGCCAGAGAAAGGGCGGCAGACAAGCGTAAAAGGGCAGCAGTTGTTAGAAAGCGGACGGCAAGGGTCGGTGGCATCAGGTGGAGCATCTAGTGGTGTATCAAGCGGTGCAGTGTGGTTGAAATGCCCTCCAATCAGCTCGCAGCAGATACTGCCAGGCATGGTGCTACTGCCCAACTGCTCCCTTGCCATAGCCTCTCCAGAGGACGGGCTAAAGGCATGGGTAATAAAGGGAGAGGCGGATGGGAAGCAAGCGGCCGGGGAGGAGGGAGAGGGGAAAGGCAATGGGGAAGAGGATGGGGAGGAAGAGGAGGAGGAGACGGAGGAGGTGGTTGGGGAAAAGGGGGAGGATGTGGGAAAAGGGGTGCGGTATGGGGTGGGGAGGGGGTGGGCGGGGCGGGTGGTGGAGTTGAGGGGCGTGTGGGTGGACGGGCAGGGGCGGGTCTTCAACGCCTCCCACCTCTTCTGGCCTGGCGGGTGCGGCAGGAGGAGGGCGCTCGGTGAGGTGAGACGGGGTTGAGTGCGGTGAGATTCGATTCAGTGCGGTAAGATACAATCGAGTGAGGTAAGATGCGTTTTGGTGTGGTGAGGTTCTGGTTAAGTGCACGAGATGAATGGGAGATGGTGTGGCGTGCATTGGGGCAGGGGCGGGTCTTCAACGCCTCCCACCTCTTCTGGCAGGGTGTGTGCGGTAGGAGGAGGGCGCTCAGTGAGGTGAGATGCGGTTTGGTGCGGTGAGGTGCGATTTAGCGCGGTGAGATGCGGTATAATGAGGTAAGATGCGTTTCGGTGTGGTGAGGTCCGGTTTAGTGCGGTGCGATGAGGTAAGTGGGAGATGCGGGTGCTGCGCAGGCAGGGGCGGGTATTCAACGCCTCCCACCTCTTCTGGCCGGGCGGGTGCGGCAGAAGGAGGACGCTCATTGAGGTGAGATGCGGTTGAGTACGGTGAGATGCAGTTCTGTGAGGGAAGATGCGTTTTTGTGTGGTGAGACGAGGTGTGCAGGAGCTGAGGGGCGTGTGGGGTGTGGTGAGGTTTAGTGCGGTGAGACAAGGTAAGTGGGAGACAGGCTGCCAGGCATTAGGGCAGGGGCGAGTCTTCAACTCCTCTCACCTCTTCTGGCCTGGCGAGGGCGATCAGCGAGGTGAGATGCGGTTGAGTGCGGTGAGATCCGGTCGAGTGCAGTGATATGTGGTAGAGTGCGGTGTGACGAGGTAAGTGGGAGATGGGGTGGCGTGTGGGTGGACGGGCAGGGGCGGGTCTTCAAGGCCTCCCACCTCTTCTGGCCTGGCGGGTGCGGCAGGAGGAGGGCGCTCAGTGAGGTGAGATGCGATTGAGTGTGGTGAGGTGCGGTTTTGTGATGTAAGATGCGTTTTCTTTTGGTGAGGTTTGGTCTAATGCGGTAGTACGTGGTAAGTGCGAGTTGGGGTGTCGTGCATTGGGGCAGGGGCGGGTCTTCAACGCCTCTCACCTCTTCAGGCCGGGCGGGTGCGGCAGGTGGAGGGTTTAGTGTGGTGAGACTCGGTTGAGTGCAGTGACAAGCGGTTTGAATTGAGGTGTGGCAACACATTCTGTTCCTAAGTGGTCTGCCTATCCATGTATCTACCTTTTCATTATTGTTATACATTCTTTCTTTATTGTGCTTGGTTCACCGTCATTATTTGTCCCTGACGGCTCTCATTCACATCTCTCCCTCATCTCTCGTTTCTTTCTTCACTTCTACATTATCCGGGTTCCTCTTTCCATGCGAATAATTGCAATTATGTGCGAATGAATAAGCGTTGCATGTGATTGCATGTGTGATTGCATGCCATGCTAGCTCAGCCCTTCACATACCCAGCATCAACACCAGTCACCGTCCATCCCCTCGCCATCAACCTAGCCTAGCAGCCCCTCCTCTCATCGACTCCTCCTCCTCACCCACAATTCACTCTTTCCCATATGTGCTCGTGTGCTTGTGATTGCGATTGCATGCCAGCTCAGCCCTTCACCTACCCAGCATCAACACCAGTCACCATCCATCCCCTCGCCATCAACCTAGCAGCCCCTCCCTCCAAATCCAACTCACTCACCTCCCCCTCCTCCTCCTCTTACTCCCCCTCCTCCTCCTCTTACTCCCCCCCTCCTCCTCTCCCCCCCGGGCCTCCTTCTTTCACCACCTAGTGCATCACCTCCCTCTCTTCCTCCCCCTCGCCCCTCTCCTTCCAAACCTGATGGCGGAAGGGGCGCGGTTCCTAGTGCAGGATCGCAAGGTGAGCCTGTTTCCTCTCCCCCCCGGGCCTCCTTCATCCACCGCCTAGTGCATCACCTCCCTCTCTTCCTCCCCCTCGCCCCTCTCCTCCCACACCTCATGGCCCAAGGGGCTCGATTCCTCGTGCAAGATCGCAAGGTGAGACGAACATGCCTCCCCTCACCTCACTCCCACCACCTCGTGTCTCCCCCTTCGCTCCTCTCCTCTCCTTCCAAGCCTCATGGCCCAAGGGGCTCAACTCCTTGTGCAGGATCGCTATGTGAGACGAACTTGTTTCCTCTTCTCTTCCCCGCACCCCTCTCTTCCCTTCATGCAAGGCATGGCACCACACATGCTGGATGTTCCCTTCCCCACAAACACTCTTGTTCATCAAGAATCCTCCCCCCCAAACCTCATTAGGTCTCTTCAATCATTCCTCCCTTCTCCCGTCCTTGCCTTTCCTTGTGATGCTTGTGCGCCATCCCACCCCACTCCCTGGGAGCCCTGCCACATCTAGTCCCTCTCACTCCCTGCCCTAGTTCACTCGAGATTTCTCTGCCTTCTCTTCGACAATTCCTCCTTCCTTGCAATGGCTGCACGTCATGGCACCACACTACCTGGGAGCCCCGCCACATCAAGTCCCATTCCCTGCTTGCCTCTCTATGCTTTGCCCTTCTGTTCCCTGCCTTGTCCTGTCCTGCCTTTCCTTCTCTTCCACCCAACCAGTGGCTGCACGTAATGGCACCACACTACCTGGGAGCCCCGCCACATCAAGTCCCATTCCCTGCTTGCCTCTCTATGCTTTGCCCTTCTGTTCCCTGCCTTGTCCTGTCCTGCCTTTCCTTCTCTTCCACCCAACCAGTGGCTGCACGTAATGGCACCACACTACCTGGGAGCCCCGCCACATCAAGTCACCCTGCTGCCCCAACCAGACAAGCCAACCCACCTGCTCTTTGTACAGCGGCTCATTCAGGTGCTTTTACCTTCTGTATTGGGTTCATTATGGGTTGATTCAATTCTGTTTTTTGAGAATTCTCAAAAAACAGATTCAGCATACAATTCCCCTCCCTCGATCTTTAGTGTGTTACGTAACCTTTCGGTAAAAGAAAAGTTCAAAAACAGGTGCTTTTACCCTCTGTTTTGGGTTCATTATGGTTGATTCGATTGATATCAATCGAATCACAGCAGGTGGATAAAAGCACCTGAATGAGCCGCCACAGCCAGACCCACCTGCTCTTCGTGCAAAGGCTCATGCAGGTGACATTTGACTTGAAAGGACCAATCAATTAGTCAGGTTCAATTGGGTTCACTTGCACTCACCCCTCCCATTCTCTGAAAACCCACTTCCATTTCCAGCGCTGCACCCGCTCCCCCCCTCTCTCGCTCCTCTTCTCTTTTTCAGACAGGCTCACTCTGCCTTTCCCTCTCGCCCCCACATTCTCTCCCCCACTCTTCCCCTCCCTTTTTCCCCCCTTCTCACCAGCTTTGCTCCGAGCACTGCACCCGCCCCTCCCCCTCACTCCTCTCGTCTCTTCGACTCCCTTCTCCCGTTTCCCTCTCTTCCACCTCCCCTTTCCCCCCACCCCACCCAGCCCTGCTTCCAGCACTGCAACCGCCCCTCCCCCTCTCTCCTCTCCTCGCTGCGCTCACACCACCTCCTCCCCCCCGCGGGCCTCCCCCTCTTTCACGCCAACTGGACGCTCCGCCGCCCGCCACGTGTCCCGCTCCCGCCACTTGGCGGCCCCGTCTCCGCTGACGTGGCAGCTGACGTGGCTGCTGACGTGGCGGCTGTAGCAGAAGGGGCGGCTGGCGGCATGGAGGGGGGTGGATTCGCGGGGGTGAGGGGGATGGTTGGGGAGGAGTGGGTGGTGGTGGTGGCGGTGCCACCTGGCGCGATGCTATTGGATAGAATGGAGGAGATGGTGGATGAGATAATCCAAGATAACTGGTGGCACGGCCGGGTGGTCTACTTTCGGGGGGAGATGAGCGTGCAGGAAGGTGAGTGAGGAGGGATGGGGATGGGGGAGGGGAAGTGAGAGAGGGAGTAAGTGATGAGGGTGAGATGGGTGGGATGGAGGAGATGAGATGGTGGATGAGATAATCCAAGATAACTGGTGGCACGGCCGGGTGGTTTACTTTCAAGGAGGCATGGGCGTGGGGGAAGGTGATTGAGGGAGTGAGTGATGGAGGGTGGAGGGAGGAGGGTGGGATGGGAGGGGTGGGCGTGAAGGAAGGGGCTGGGTATGTGTGGGCGGTGCATTTGCGAGGCGAAATGGGCGAAAGGGCTAGGGCCTCCACCCGTTCAACCATCCTTTTTTGAGGCGCCTCAAAAATCGTCTCAGTTCAATGGGCGAAAGGGGCTAGCACCTTCACCCGTGACTTTTGAGTCAACTATGTGTGGGCTCAAAAGTCACTATGTGTGTGGCGGTGCATTTGCGAGGCTAAATGGGCAAAAGGGGTGAAAAGGGCTAGCGCCTCCACCCGTTCAACCATCCATCCCCCCAGTGTGTTTTGAGTCGTCTCAAAACACACCTGGATACAATGTCACGCGGTGCATTTGCGAGGCTAAATGGGTGAAAGGGGCTAGTGCCTCCACCCGTTCAACCATCCACCCCCCCTCCGCTCCGCCCACCCCCCACCCTCCTCTCAACAGCCAGGGCCCTCTTTTCTCGCACGCTCCTCCTCATCTCGCCACCGGGGGAGGCTCTGGACTCCAACCTCTTTCCACATACACCCTCAACCTCTCCCTCTCACCCATCCCCCCCTTTCCCCTCCCCACTTCTCTTCTCAACAGTCAGGGCTCTCTTCTCTCGCGCGCTCCTCCTCATCTCGCCACCGGGGGAGGCCCTTGATTTCATTCTCTTCATGCCGCCTGCTGCTGTCGTGCTCGAGATACAACCCTCCTCCCATCCCTCCCCCTCCCACCGCGCTTTCTCTCACTCCCTCTCCCTCCGCCACCACACTCTCTTCTGCAAGCTTGTCAACCTTTCCGGGCAGCCCAAAAAAATTTCGTGTGACCGGGTCGCGCTCGCACAAGTCATGCAAGCGCTCTCCACGGAGGTTTTTTTCAGCCCGGCGCTGCCCAGAGGCAGCCGGGCAGCACGCGCTGCCCTAAAAAAATCATCCATACCCGGTTCCCTGATCCACGGGCAGCCGCAGGTGAAAAAATGGAAGGAATGGGCAGCATGTGTTGCCCGAAAGGGCAGGTGGGTCCTCAACCCTAAACCGCGAACCCTCCCTTGGGATTACCGCGGTGTAAGCAATTACTGCGATAACCGCCACTTAAGCTTAAATTCAACCCACATGGCATACGCTAGTGCTGATGCATATGCCATGAAGCCAGGGGCGAGTGAGGCAGGATGGACGGTGCGGGAGGGGGTGAAGTACGAGTGGGTGGTTGGACCCTCCACATGCCTGGCGCCTCAAGTTCCCGAGGCGATTAAAGCCTTTGAGCGATTGGCTAAGGCACGACTCAAGGAGGCTCGGGAGAAGGAGAGGGTTGTGCATTCTCAGGTGGAAAAAAACGGAACGGGAGGAGCAGCAGCGGAGGCAGGAGCAGCAAAAGCAGCAGCAGCCGCGACAGAAGCAGCAGCAGCGGCGGCAGCGGCAGCAGCAGCAGCAGCAGTAGACCTATCTCACCCCTGGCTGCCGTTCAACGCGTCAGTGTTTTGTGAGCGGGTGGGGCGGGGCCGGCGAATCCTCTTTCTTGGAGACTCCAAGCAGTACCAGATGGTGCAAGTGTTTGTCAACCACATGGCGTGGGGGGCGTCAAACAAGGGAAAGAAGAAACCGGCAAGAGAGATTGTGACGCTGGAGGAGCGGCCGAAAGCGTGTGTGGATGCGCTGGGAGGGAACACGGCCAAGATGGGGCACGAGTTCTGCCAGTGGTGAGTCACCTTATAGCGAGTCCTGTAAGTTCTGTGAGAGGGTGGGGCGGGGCCGGCGAATCCTCTTCCTGGGGGATTCCAAGCAGTACCAGATGGTACAAGTGTTTGTGAATCACATGGCGTGGGGATGGAAGGGGAAGAAGAAATCCGCGAAAGAGTTTGTTGATTTGGAGGAGCGGCCGAAGGCATGTGTGGATGCGCTGGGAGGGAATTCAGCCAAAATGGGACACGAGTTCTGTCAATGGTGAGTTCTTGCCTCTTTCTTGGACTTCAAGCAGTCTGTGAGCGGGTGGGGCGGGGCCGGCGAATCCTCTTTCTTGGGGACTCGAAGCAGCACCAGATGGTGCAGGTGTTTGTGAACCACATGGCGTGGGGGTGGAAGGGGAAAAAGAAACCTGCGAAGGAGTTGGTGGATTTGGAGGAGCGGCCGAAAGCGTGTGTGGATGCCTTGGGAGGGAATACTGCGAAAATGGGACACGAGTTCTGCCAATGGTGAGTCAGCTTATAGTGAGTCGTGTGATTTCTGTCTGTAGCGAGTTCTCTTTTTCTTCCTGGGGGACTTCAAGCCGTACCAGATGGTGCAGGCATTTGTGAACCTCCCCAACCGCCCCTCCCTCCCCCACTTCTCCACCCATCCACCCCACTCGATTTTCTTCTTCCATCCCTATTGCTGCAGGTTCACTTTCAACTCCACTGTATGCCCGGGCTTTAAGGTGGACTTTGTTCGCAACGACCATTTGTCACTGTTCGATCCCAAGAGGGCTGTATTCGACCACATGCCGTGGGGCCAGCCTGGTGTGACAGATATCCCCTCTGCAGACGTCATCGTTCTAAACAGAGGACCCCACTGGACCCCTACACCTCTTTTCATTTCCGGCGTGCAAAACGCTCTGCGTTTCATTCGGCATAATTTTCCGGATAAGCTCATCATCTACAGGAACACCCCTCCTGGGCACAAGGATTGCGGAGATTATGATCGGCCATTGAACAATCGGCAAGAGCTGGGAAGTTTGCCGTTTAACTGGGGTGAATTCCCCAAGCAAAATCGAGTGGCTAAAGAGCTGGTGGAGCAGGCTGGAGGGGTGTATTTGGATGTGGAAGAGATGGTGGGGTTGAGAGCGGACGGCCATAACGCTTTTATGCCAAACAGGAATAAGACGGACTGCCTACATTACTGTTTCCCCGGTCCTTTGGATGTTTATGTACAGTTCCTGTACAATGCACTCCTGCGGCTACTGCCACCACCACCACTGCCACCTTCACCAGCTTGAGTCCCCTCTCGACCTTATGCGTACATTACTGTTTTCTCAGGCCCCTTACCGTACCTTACGTACCGTATATACATGTACTGTTCTTTCGCAATGAAGAGCTGTGCTGCAGTGTATCTCAGCCAGATGAGCAATCCACAATGGTAGCAGGACGTGAATTACACCAGTAAGGTGTCTCAATAAAACACAGTTTATAGTTGAAATTCACATCGAATGTTCTGTGTTCCATAGCTAATTATTCTGCAATGGCATGAAGGCACACCAATGCAGCGCAAGCAGATTTTGCTCACCACGGAAGCACTCAAGCTCCTATGAGCATTTCAAAGCCAACCAAGCCTGCCTGTCCTTTGCCATTCATGGCATAGCTTGAACCCTGTCTTGTCTAGCTTTAGAAGTATGCCAAAAGCGATACTGAAGTGGGCATGGAGAGGCTAGACTCTAGAGGAGTACCCTGCTGACAACGACAACTATTTATCAAGATCCTTTTGTCGACCACAGAGACCACCCAGGCTCTCCTTCCACCGCCACAGCATATCCCTCCACGTCCTCCGCTTCCTCCTCTTAGGCGTCCTACCACCCTCATCCTCACCAACCCCCCTCTCAGCCTTCCCACCATCAGCACCAACACTGCTGCCAACGCTCTTGCGTTTGTATCTGCCTTCCTTCATGCTTGAATCTGGAGAAAGTGTACAATCCGCTCCTCCTGGAGAAATTGCACAATCTGCTCCCCCAATATTCCTGTCCGTAACATTTTCAGGCACTTTTTGAGCCTTCTCCGGGAGAGTATCTGCAGAGGCAGTGTCATCAAATCTGACAAGCCCCATGAAGCTTCCACAAGGAGGATCACCAGATCCGACACTTCTTGTGTCATTCGCGTTTGGAGCTGCTTCTTTTACAGTTCCCAGTGACTCCACTCTGTCCAGTAGCTCATTCAATTTCCGAGCCATGTCTCTTCTCAGAGCCCGGACCTCTTGGTTTGGCGACTGCACCTCGTCTAGCCGAAGCAGCCAGCACATAATCGTCTCGGTCGCCCGAAGCTTCTCGCGAGGCTCGGACGTGACCTTGTCTACAAAGTCCTTATCATCAAGCCTCTCCTCCATGTCCCGAGCCAGCTTCCGAAGCTCCAGAATGGTCTTACCCACTTCCAGAGGCTTCGACGCTCGCACCTGATGACCCTTCCACGCCGCCTGAATCGCAACGGCTGCTTCATCTCTCGAAAATCTACTCGGAGGACGACCAACAGCTGAAATGCCACCACGACTCCCTGAATGATTAACCGCTTCATTGAATCCGGTCGATTTTGGAGCTTTTACTTCGAAAGGTGCTCTGCCAGGGTCCGATTTCCTAGAAGTGTCACGCTGATGCGTCAGATGCGGTCCTTGTTGCAAACTGACGGATTGATGGAGCTGGTTGCATGTCCGGTTTCTTGCTGCTTCTCGAACCCTTTCCAGCTGCTGTGATCTTCGCACATCCGAATGTTGCCGAGGGAGGTCGGTATGGTAATGAACCGGAGCTGGATAATTGTGAATGCCTGGTCTTGACGCCGACTGGGGGCCAAATGAAGGATGCGGACGACTTGGAGCATGCTGATGCACTGGAGAAGGGTCACGCGGACGCTGCACTGGGGATGCTTTCGCTGATCCCTGACTTCGGACGTGCATATCCTGCTTCCTGTCAAACGCCATTGGTGGATCTCGTTTCTCGCAGTTTCCTTGAAGATAGCATTTCGGTAAAATCAGATCGAGTTCCTGGAGTGCGATCTAACATCAATGCAGACTGCAGATCGTCAGAAACCTGCGTAGGTAAGAATAGACATCTGAAATCTTCATGTTTCTCGCTTCATGGCTCCACCATTATGTGAAGAACGTTAGCGATATAGGTTGCTGGGAGCGAACACTCGATAACTTCTCACCACCATACATCCTATCAGGAACATTCTTCACTGTCAGAGCAGGGAAATGAAAAGGCGGGAAAGCAGAGCAGGAGAGGAGGATTGAACTGCCGTGTCGAGATCTCTGCCGAAGCATTGCGAAAAGGTTGTTGTGCAGCAGGGTGGAGTTCGGCGAAATTCGTTCGTCACGATTTGTACGATTTCTTGTAGCGTAATTAAATGTTCAAAGAGTTTCTTCGCGGTTCAAAGCGCTAAAACGATTCAAGTGCTCCAGAGCGAGTCACTTCGCGAATTGTGTGTGATGGTTACGTCTTGCCCTGCACGTCGTGATCATTTGATGGTTACATAACTGATCATGTTCCCCTGATCATCCTCCTTTGTGCAGAGAAGATCCAATAGCGCGGACAACACCGTACATATTTCCGGAGAACCTGTTTCATGCGGTTTCACGGTCACCCGCACCTAATACATACCTACCCTCGTTACGCTACGGATCTAGACCAGGGATCGCGAGCGCGGGATAATCTAATGAACTCCGACGGAGTGCAACGATGATCTGACCTAGCGATCGGACCCAGAATCTCCTTTGATTTCTGTTTAGCGGAAGAGACGGATTTGCTTAGGGAAAGAGGCGTAAGATAAGAATTCAGTCATAGCGTGGCGGAATTGGCCGCAGGATTCAGCCGTTATTTCCGGAAACATGGTTTCGTAGTAGCGGTCTAAAGGAGCTGATCCGAAGTCGCGAACCACACCGGATTCAGCCAGATTGATCGCAGATGGCGGCTGAAGCCTCGGGAAGTAATAACCTTTTCCGCTGCCCGCTCGTGCTCGAAGTGGCTCTCTTTCTCACCCTGCTGTCTCTCTATTATGGACTCTTCTCCCACCCCTCTCCCCAACCGTGGCAGCTGCTGGCTCCTTCAGATGCGGTTACCACGCCTATGGTTACCAGATCCTCTGTGGTTACCACCTCGATGGTTACCATACCGATAATTACCGCGCCTGCACCCGCAGCTTCGCCTGATGCGTTTCCCGAGTCAGATCCTGGCTCCACCAATAATAGTTCGTTGCAAAGTCCAGAAGTAGTACCTGACTCCAGCAGCAGCACCCTTGACACCAGCAGCAGCATTCTTGACACCAGCAGCACCACCACACCAGCAGCACCACCACACCAGCAGCACCACCACACCAGCAGCAGCAGCAGCAGCAGCAGCAGCAGCAGCAGCAAGCTTGACACCAGCAGCAGCGCCCCTGCCCCTAGCAGCATCGCTGCCCCTAGCAGCATCGCTGCCCCTAGCAGCATCGCTGCCCCTAGCAGCATCGCGGCCGCTAGCAGGACCACCACCCCTAGCAGCGCCGCTGCTCCTAGCAGCAGCATCCCTGTCCCCAGCAGCAGCACTGCTGCCCCTAGCAGCATCGCTGCCCCGAGCAGCAGCAGCGCCCCTGCCCCTAGCATCAGCTCTCAGGCAGTGTTGCAAGATTCCAATACTACCACCACCCACAGCAGCACGCCAGAGGTGCTAGTAGTATCACCAGAAGATCTGATTTCAACTATTGCTACTAGCCCGAAAGATTCGCCAGAATCTCATGAGAAGGCTGATCTGGACTTTCCAATCGCGGATCCTCCAGCGTCCCCTCTTCCCCCACTTCCAACCATCCCCGGTTCCAACATCACATCAGCCAATCAGCTCCTCGCTTTCCAAACCCGCCTCGCGTGCCTAACAGCAAACGCCACGTGGCAGCTGGACCCCACTCCCCGCACCCTCCCCTGGTCGCAACCCCACGCGGTCAGTGCAGGTTGGGAGTGTGACGATAGGTGGAGGAGCCAGCCTGGGCAGAACAACTCCCGTTATAAGAATGTCGCCTTTAAGGAAGCGGATGAGATAGCCTTGGCAGGAGGTTCGGCGGAGGAATGGAAAGTGAGGGATACAGTGAAGTACAAGTGGGTTGCTGAGGGAAGCTGTGGGGAGTGGGGAGAGGTGGACAAGGGGAAACTTGAGGAGAAATTGGAGGGGTTGACTGTGTTTATAGTGGGGGATTCGATAAACGCAATGCTGTTCAAGTCGCTGAAAAATCATTTCAGACAGGCTTTGATGCCCGGTAGTGTGCAGCAAGGGGATCAGCAGGAGAAGCAGAACGGCAGCAAAGCAGGCGGGAATACCCTCGAACCGGTTGAATTCACTCCTGCTTTCTGCAAAGGCCGCACCAAAAACAGGCTGCTGCAGCAACGGCCGTACCTGCTTCTGTGCACCGGGGTTGCGCTGGGTCGAACCAAGTTCATATACGTGCGAGATGATGTGCTCAGCACTGACCTGAAGCTGTATGTGAAGCTCCCGAAACGGATTTCTGTGCCGTGGTTTGATGTGATTGTAAAGGGGGAGGAAGTGAGGGAGAAACGGAGGCAAGAGAAGGAGACGAGAAGGGAGGAGGAGAAGAGGAGACGGCTCCTGGAGAAAGGGGAGGGAGAGCAGAAACAGGTGGTGCAGTGGAGACTGTTTGGCTGGCCGTTTTCCATGACCCCACAAGCTTCTGCCATTAAAGACACGGTTACCAGCGAAAATGGGAGGGGACGCACGTATTGGCAGTATTTCCAACGGCATTTCAGGAAGCTATTGGCATCTCCCCAGGATGACCCATTTCCGCCCATTTCGGTTCTTGTGCTCAACCGAGGGGCCCACTGGGTGGAAACACCCTTGTTCATTGCTGAGCTCAATCATACATTAACTGCAATACGAGCAGCTGCACCTGATGTTCTTATTATCTACAGAAGCACTGCTACAGGGCATAAAAACTGTACTAGAGACTCTGCACCATCGGTTGGAATTTCAGATCCTTCGGAAATGCCGTATCATTGGGGTGATTTTGCCGAGCAGAATGAGGAAGCGAGAAAGCTTGTGGACTCTGTAGGAGGGGTGTTTATGGATATTGTACCTATGACAGCGGGGAGACCAGATGGGCATCAGGAACCCCCTCGGGATTGCCTGCATTACTGCTTGCCTGGCCCTCCTGATGAATGGCTGAGATTGTTGTACCATGTTTTGCTAGACCTCTTGTAACATCACTTTGTAAAGAGTTGGATTGAAAACGGTGTGCAAAAAAGACAGTGCATAAGGTTGGGTATGTCTGAGTTGCAGCGAAGATTGCATAACGTTATTTTGGCAAGGCATACCTGTTAGAATATATAATTTATATATATTTATGTACCTGCCTGTAGCTGTAGCTTTAGTGTAGTTATAAACTCTTTGTATTGGTGGTGCACCTCCTTTGTCTCCTATTTGTACCCTCGAGCCTATAGTGAACCCTCTCCTTTCTCGACATTCCACTCTCTCGCCACTCTCCTAGGTTCCTAACCTAGCCTAGCTTCTTGACATGGTACAGAGCAATAATCGGTCCTAAGGACCTTTTTTTTTTTAGGATCATGGGTCCCGCGTTTCGCTCTCTGCAGGCCCCACTCGATTCGCGCTCCGAAGGCATACTCGTCGCGCCCCGTGCGCCCTCCTTCCCGTCGCCCGCGGCCCCACGTTTCGGCGCCCCGCGGGTCACCCGAGTCGCGCCCCGTGCGCCCTCCCGTTCGTCGCGCCCCGCTGCGCCCTGCTCTGCCTGTTCATCGCGCCCCGTGCGCCCTCCAGTTCGTCGCGCCCCGATGCGCCCTACTCTGCCCGCGTCACCCTGCCCGTCGTCCGCGCCAACGCCCGCACCTGCGCCAGCACTTCGCGGCCAGCGCCAGTGCGGAACGCAGCGCCAGCGCGTGCGCAAGCCGCGAAGCGCCAGCGCTACGCCAGCCGCGAGGCGCCAGCGCCTGCGCCATCCGCGCACGCCAGCGCTTGCGCCAGCAGGGGACGCCGGCGCCGGCAGCTCCGTATGCCGCCCCCCCCCCCCCCCCCCCCCCCCCCCCCCCCCCCCCGCCCTTCCCTTCCGCGGCTCCCGCCGTGGGGGGGGGGGACGGGAGTTCTGGGGGCGGAGGGTGTGAACCACCAGTAGCTCGTCCCTCCCCCACTCTCCTTCCCTCTTCCTCTCTCCCTGCAGCACTTGTTGCTGTCGGGGAGAGGGGGGGGGGGATGAGAGATGCTAAGGGAGGGTAAGAGAGAGTGGTGGAACCAGTAGCCACGCATCTGCAGCTGCCGTCCACTGCTATGTGTTAGAATCTAGCAGCAGGAATGAGTGAACTAACAGGATGCAGGAGTACAAGTAGTAAACCCTAATTGGGTTGTACCCCATATGGGCTACCCCACTACAGCCTAAACAATATGCAACACATATAGTTTGACACACCCCCATAGGCAAAGTGGGGGAGAACAAGGGGTCACACGACCAGTCAAGAGAAGCAAAACAAGCTCAGGGTGGATCACAACGTCACCACGCATTCCGAGCACAAGCAAAAGGCCACAGGGCCAGTTCACATGCAGAGATATATATGCAGCAATAACAGTACAGTGATGGCTACCTAGCAAGAGCCAGCATGCAGGTATATATATAGATCACAGTACAAGTAGAGACTACAGCAAGTGTGGAAACGTAGGCACAAGGCCCAACAGAGTACAAAAGCGCTGATGATCACCAGACGGAAGTGCCTTGGTGAATATATCAGCAGTGTTGGCCCGAGTGGCCACGTGGCGAAGACGAAGCTGGCCTCGCTGCTGCAAATCTCGAGCCAGGAAGTAACGCAGAGCAATGTGCTTCGTTCTGTGCTCCAGTCTGTGCTCCTCACACAAGGCAATGGCGGCCTTGTTGTCGACGTACAGCACTGGAGGAGAACGAGGCTGCTCTCCCAAGTCAGTCAACAGGTAGGTGAGCCAGCGTAACTGTGCAGCCGTGGCTGTGGCGTAGATCTCAGCCTCACAACTGGAGCTGAGAACTGAAGACGAACGTGTAGAACGCCACGAAACTGAACCAGAGCCAAGGCTGAAGGTGTAACCCAGTGACGACCGCTGAGTAGCCTGGTCGTCAACCCAAGAAGCGTCTGAGTGTCCAGTGAGGACAACTGGGCTCGTCCCTCCAAGCACTAGCCCCATGCCTGATGTGCTGCACAAGTAGCGCAGTACCCTCTTAGCAGCAGCCATGTGCTCAGGTCGGTGCCGACCAGGAGCCACGTAGCGAGCCAGAAGACCAAGAGGGTACGCGAGGTCAGGTTGAGTGCAAGTCATCAGGTACATGAGGCAGCCGACTAGCTCTAGGTAAGGACCACTCGGCTCTACGGACTCGTCCGAAGGTGGAGCTGAGAGCGAATGACCTGTAGCCAGAGGAGTGGCCTGTGCTGAAGACCAGGTGAAGCCGAAGCGCTGAAGGACCTGCTGCACCATGTGTGACTGAGTCAGGGTGATGGTGCGGCGTGCTCTGTCCCGGGTGATCTGCAAGCCAAGGTAGCTGCGCAGCTCACCCAAGTCTGTGCACGTGTGTCTCTTCTGCAGCTCCGACTTCACGTGGGCGAGAGCCTCAGTGTCAGAAGTGGCAAAAACCAAGTCGTCGACGTACACGAGGATGTAGAACGGCGGCAGTGAAGTGTCGGTGCGCAGAAACAGCGACGGGTCAGCAGTAGAAGGCGCGAACCCAAGAGCCGCAAGCGTAGTCCTCAGTGTGTCGTGCCACTCACGTGGCGCCTGGCGGAGACCGTAGACCGGCCGCCGGAGGCTCCACTGGGTGCCAGGAGGGAACGACCCAGTGAAGCCCGGGGGGCGGCGCAGCCAGATCTCCTCGTGCAGGCTGCCCTGCATGAAAGCTGTGCTGAATTCAAGAGAGTGAAGCTCGTAGTCACGGTGAGCAGCAACATGCAGCAGCACCCGAAGAGTGGTCATCTTCGGGGTGGGGGAGAAGGTCTGGAAGAAGTCAACTCCCTCTCGCTGACTGAAGCCTCGAGCTACGTAACGCGCCTTGAAGACAGGCGGAGAACCCGGCGGCCGCTTCACCCTGAAAATCCACATGCCACTGATGATGTTCGCCCCAGGTGGGGGAACCTCGTCAACGTAGGTGCCTGTGGACTTCCAGGAAGCCATCTCTGCGTCCATGGCTGCCTGCCACTGAGAGGAGTAGGGACCCTCTATCGCCTCTGCGTAAGAGCGCGGAGTCGGGATGTCTGGTGCATCCGGGTCTCCCTCAGGGGCAAGTAGCGAGGACACAAGATGAGGTAAAGCAGCAGCAAGACACTGGAACTCCTCCTGCCTGTCCTCAAGGACGTCCGTGCTAAGAGCACACTCACCCCCGACGGACGGAGGACAGACAGACTCAGACTCAGCAACAAGACTGGCGGTGTAGTCTAGACGACAGGCAGCAGCAAAGTCAACAAGCTCAGCGACCAAGGCAGACGCAGCAGTAGACTCAAACGACGGGTCAGTGACAATAGTGGCTAGGAGACGCGTGACAGTAGGGTGCTCAGTACGAAACCGGTCAGACTCAGGGTCCGGAACGGCAGGCAGAGAGGACGCAGGAGGAGACGGCAGAGGAACAGGCGGCGGAGCAGAGGAAGGACAACGGACTACGAGGTGTGCGCCGGGGACAGCCGGCTGACGCGAACGAGGAACACGACGACCGGTACGACCAGGACGAACAGGCGAAACAGGACGCGACGCAGGCTCACGACGCTCAGCAGGACTACCAGTCAGCTCAGCGTAAGGAGAAGGAGCAGGCAGCGGTGAGCCAGACTGTAACGGAAGACCAGTAGACGACGGAAGAGTAAGAACCTGACGAAGAACAGAGGCAGACGGCGGCAGAGACGACGGAGACGGCGGAGCGAAGAACAGTCGTGTCGGCGCAGCTGCACCAGTACCAGCAGCTCCAGCAGCTCCAGTGCCTCCAGCAGCTCCAGTACCTCCAGCAGCTCCAGTACCTCCAGGCCCAGAGCCGACACCTCGAGTCCCAGGGTCTCCAACCTCTGTGTCTCCAGCAGCAGCACCCCCAGAACCAGCACCTCCAGCTCCAGGGTCTCCAACCTCAGTGTCTCCAGTAGCAGCACCCCCAGAGCCAGCACCTCCAGTCCCAGGGTCTCCAGCCTCAGTGTCTCCAGCACGAGCCCCTCCAGAACCAGCAACTCCAGCACCTCCAGTAGACAAAGGACCAGCACGACTCCGAGCTCCAGCAGCGCGGCGCTGACGGCGACCGTACCAGTCCTGCAGCTGCTGTGGGGTGAGAGGCACACGTGGACGAAGGCGGCCACTCCAAGGAGACCGCGCAACAGCAGACTCAGAACCCTCAGCGCCCGCACCCCCAACGGCTCCAGAACCTCCAGCTCCAGCGTCACCAGTACTAGGCCCTCCAGCAGCTCCCGAACCTCCAGCGCCAGCACCCTCAGTAGCTCCAGAACCTCCAGCGTCAGTACCGCCAAGCTCAGCACCCCCAGACCCCTCACACTCAGGCTCAGCACCACCAGGCTCTACACCCTCAAGCTCCGCACCCGCAGGCTCAGTACCCCCAGGCTCAGCACCCCCAGGCTCCGCACCCCTAGGCTCAGCACCCCCAGAAGTAGCACCCCGAGCAGGACCACTCTCAGTAGGACCTGAGTCACCAGTGACCTCAACCGGCGCAGTCAAGGGAGGAGGGTCTACCTGA